AACTCTGAAATGTACGCCATAAAAAGGACGTATCTATTTGAGCCAATAATCGATTGACAACACGCCGAGGTGGCTCTTTAAATCGGACGAGATACCCCAGCTCATTCCATAACTTTAGCTCTTGTCCCGTCGGATCATCGGTGATTCTGAAGATCAGGAACTGTGGATTAATATCTATGGCAGTTATACCAGCTTCGTGATTAAGCTTGTTGCTAGGATTCAATAAGAAAAGCTGTTCTAATTGAGAATATTGAGCATCAAAAAAATCTTTGAAGCCCCTTCCTTTCCAGAAATAACCCTGGAATAGAGCCAGCCCCGGAGCGGTTTTGTCCGAGAGTTCTATTGACCAACGATGCTGTACAGTAACTTCACCAGATTCTATTTCATGAAGTTTGATAATTCGCATCTGTGGACAAACTTTCTTCATCTGCTCCAGTAAATGATCTTCTTCAAACCACTCGCCATAAGTCATGATGGCCTTTTCATTGAACTGGTTGAGTGCCTGCAGGTTATCTTTGTCGCGATAATGAATCGATGGTAAAATTGTTCCGTGGCCAGTATCCAAAGCCATCTTCAAGCAAATCTTTACTTGAGACACGATTGTAGTCAATCCTGCAAAGATGCCAGTGCAATCTAGGTACACTTCGTTTTTCGGCCATTCTGTTTGCTCGCATTGTTGTTTGAGAGCCGGGAAGTCATAATCCTTAGGCTTATCTATCGAAAACACCTGTTCAAAGTACCTTCCAGCTTGAGGGTGTGCTGTGTAAACGGAAGGAAATGTGATTTCGGTAGATCGCATGAAATTCCAGCCATGATATAAGATAACACAGGATATGAAGAATAATGGGAGGAACCGGAGCAGAGCTCGAAGACGAACAACCATGGTGCATAGCCAGCATTGAGAAGGAAACGAAGTTTGAGTAAGATTATGGGGTGTGGGAAATTCAATTTTTGGCCTGAAATCCAATTATTTTGGTTGCAAGGAATCTCATCTCTAAGTTGGACAATATTGTGAAGTTACATATGCAGCAGTCCGTCCCCTGCAGATGCGTACGTCTGTTCACATCGGGCGGACTCCGCGGGGTAATCTTGCGGATTTGACATGGCGGCTTCAGGGGTAGAGGAGCAAAAGCGGCATGAGCTTGTGACAGCAAACCAATTGATATTCATTTTGGAAGAACATATCAGGCTAAAATCAAACTCAGTAGTCGCAGGATTTTTAAGCTAATTGGCCTCGTGCATTCCAAGGCACAATCCATGACATCTAATTTAACTACAGAACGCCTAAAATAAGTATACAGATAAGTACCCAATATTCAGCCCCATATTTTTACAAACGAGGCGATGGCGCGAGAGTTTTTTTGTATAGCCACTGTGCAAACCTAACAGTAGGTTCATCGACCAATTTTGTAACTATCTCCGCAGCCCAAAGAGTAACGGGCAAAATAATCAAATGCGGGACAAAGAAGCTAAGTTCCATGCCAAACGGCCCAGCTTTCGATATTGGAAGGATGTTTCTCCAGGGCCCCATCTCCTCAGACATTTCTTTTGACCAGCCGACCGCTGAATACAATCTATCGCCCAGCAGTACCATGACAGGTCCATGCACAAGATAGAAGGCAAAAGACACATGACCCATATACTGACAGAATCGACATTCGAAGAAGCTCTTCAGCCATGGAATTCGAGGAATAGATGCCACGAGAAAGGTTGCGGCGAAGAAGAGATAGAACCATTTGTAATCGAATACGGCTTGCGGCTTCAAATACGATAAATAATGCCATCCGGGAGAGTTTCGCAATACCTTCAGATCCGAATCATAAGTTGGTACACCTCCAAGATACATGGCGGCCATAAAGAGGTTGAAAAAGATGAGTTCTTTCCAGGAATCAAACTTGGAGAAGAAATGGGGCAAGTCATCATTTTCGGCGAGTAAATCCAAATCGCAAAGAAGCATACCAGCCACAAACATTGCATTGTGAGCACCATCCGCAATGTACATGAAGTAGTATATCAACCCGAGCTCGAGGTAAAGCCTGGCATTCCGTGAGCATCTCGAGAATGCCATAAGTGCCGTGTAAATGGTAATAGAACCTTTGATCTCAACGGGTATTGACCACACGTGAACATTATAGGTAAACCAAGGATCTCCTCCAGTTCGGAAAATATAACTGAAGTTCTTGAACTCCAGATACCATTTCCATACCTCGCTGGTCCACTTCTCTTCATGCTCTGATCTTGGTACAGGATAGATATTGAACATATGCCATATGGTGAGATATATGAGCGTCGTGGCGATCACTGGGAGCCATAACCGTATCCAACGTCTGAATAATGCCGATGCAAGATTATCTCCAAACTTTGCCAAATCTCCTGATTGAATGAGCATCAATGGTTTCCTAGAGAGAACATATCCTGAAATAACAAAAAACGTGGTTACAGCGAGATGACCACCGGTGAAGAATGTCCGCAGCAAAGGTAATTGAACCAAAAAGTATTTTTCCTCATAGCCAAAACCCATCTCCATGATCCAATTGCCATATACTAAGGTGTGGGCCCATAGTTCATGATGTAGAATATACACCAAGAATGCTGCATAACCCCTCAACCCGTCAAGCCACGCAGTTGCATGGAGCGGTCTTGCAGGTGCTTTGCTCCTGCTTAGAAATGAAGGCTTTATAAAATCCGGGCATAGCTTTTTCGGTTTCCAGTATTTCGCAGGTGCTTTGGTAGCGGTTGGAGACAATAATGGCTGGTCTGTCTTAATTTCATCCATGAACCCAACATCAAGAATGCCCTGATATTCGCTAGGCATTTTGAAAACGACTTTATCATTTACAAGCTGGAGGAGCTTTCTAAATGGCGCTGAAAGTCGAATTAGATGAAGAAACCAAGGCTGTAGATGATTTTTGAAGAAGAGATGTTACGCCAGCATCCCATACTGCTTCCAAAGCATTCGGAATTATGCAAAACTCAATGGACCGAGTTTTTTTTTCACGCAGAAGCTGCTAGTGCCGCTGCTATTAAGACCTGAATTCCAATCACAAGCAGTAATTGGCGATGTTCATTTTTTTTTTCGCGATTTCTACCCCCGAGGTTCGTGCCCGTCGAATAGTGCGGGGTATCGTCCGTATCAAAAGTGGAATATTGGAGGATCAGCGGGAATTCCCTCACGGCCTTTCATCATCTCCATGGGTAGTACCTTTGTACCCTTACCCCAATATATTGTGTTGTTCGTGTTGATCCGCCCTTGAGTTTTTCTTAATCGTGATGCGGTTTGTCGTAAGCTGACTTCGGAGGTAACATGGGATATAGGGTTTAGCGCCGGGAATGCAAACTGTTTGAACAATTTGATTGGCCAATGGCCAGGGAAAAGGCCGCTTCGTAAACCACTTGCCAGTCATAAAATCAAGCTTTACAAGACCCGTCACATGTTTACCGAGGCCGCTAAGATTACATCGTTACATTTTAGCGGGATACCCTGCTGGAGTATCCTGCATGGACATGGACATGACAGTTAGCCCAACTCCAAGTCATTGATCAGCAATCAAAATTGCCTTAGTATGCGGTACTTAGTTCCTATCTAAACAACCTTTGCATATCTATGCACTAATGTGCATAGACTTCAGGCAACGTTGAACAGGCACAGTAGGAGCCCACCCGGACAGACCCCTGCCAAGTCAAGCCGCCAACTTTGAATTTCACAATCACAAGCTTGTGAAGACCAGAATTTTTGATGAAAGAAGCTTCCCGTTAAGCTTTTCCCCCATGTCTGACCTTGAATACTTCAGGCTAATCGAAATGTCCCCATTTTGCTGTTTATTTGCAGACGTCCCATTTTCCCGCACAAAATTTCCTAGGTCAATCCATCAAATTAGTCAAAAAACCCTCGGGGATTGAAGTTTCTTTCTTTCATCTGATTTTTTTTGAGTGTATTAGTTGAATGTTAACATGCGACTGTTCCTCCCACATGCCGATTAAGTTCAGATCTCAGTGCTACAATAATGGAAAACCTACGAAGAACACGATCACGGAGTATGCAGACGACCTCCCAATTCGGAGGTCGTCTGCCGAAGCAAATACAAAGAGCTTTACCTATTTATGCCATTCTCATCCTTTTGATTTTGATTGTCTCAAATGTTGATACTCTAAAATCATCTACAGTATCGCATACAAAAAGGTCGACACAGAAAGTTCTGAAAGGCGTCACAACCTCGGAATTCCCAAGGAAAATATGGCAGACATGGAAAGTTGATCCATTGGGTTTCGCAGAGAGAGACCTTTTGAGTGCCAGGACCTGGACTCAGTTAAATCCAGGACACAGATACGAGGTTTTAACGGACAACAATGATATGTATTATGTCGAAACAAACTTCGGACTAGATGGGTTGAATAGGCCTGACATCGTAGAGATGTATCGATCGCTGAAGGTACAAATCATCAAGGCTGATCTTTTGCGCTACTTGATAATGTACGTTGAAGGTGGTGTTTATACCGATATTGATGTCGAAGCATTGAAAGCAGTCAATACCTGGATTCCCGATCGATATGCTCTGGGCGATGTTGATATGGTTGTGAGTGTTGAGATCGACCAACCAGATTTCAAAGACCATCCAATTCTTGGCCAAAAGTCGCAATCCTTCTGCCAATGGACTTTCATGTGCAAGCCCCGTCTTCCTGTTATGTTGGCACTTGTCGACAACATTCTACAGTGGCTACAAGATATCGCTGCGGCACAAAACGTCCCAATATCAGAGATCAAGCTCGATTTCGACGAAGTCATCTCCGGCACAGGCCCTTCAGCATTCACAGGTGCGATCTTGAAAGAAATGAGCATAAAGACTGGAAATCCGGTTGATTGGAGCACCTTTCATGCCATGCGGGAATCAAAACTAGTTGGAGGATTCCTGGTTCTCACCGTGGAAGCATTTGCTGCCGGACAAGGGCATTCAGATTCCGGAAATCACAATGCGAGAGGAGCTTTGGTGAAACATCATTACCATGCTTCGGAATGGCCTTTACTACACCCTCGTTTCAGTCACCCGATATATGGCGAGGTTGAGAAATGCAACTGGGAGCCAGAATGTGTCAGGATATGGGATGAAAATATGGCTGCATATGAGGCGCTATCACCGGAAGAGAAGGAACAACAGATCGCGATAAAGAAGGCATTGGACGAACATGATGCACTTCATGCACAGATGGGCGCTCAAACATTCGATCCGAACGCATTATCGATACCCCAACAGAATCTGAATCCGATACCTCAAGCAGCGATTCCACAGTCGCAACCTGGATTCTATCCAGATGGTTCACCTGTGAGGAATTTGGACGGTTCTATTATGAGAAATCTGGATGGCTCACTCCCTGTAAATCCAAACGCCCCGCCTCCGGCACAGAAACTCGAAATAAAGGACTTGTCCGCTCCTCATATTAATCCGAATCTCGCGCTAATGCAGCCAGAGTCTAATCTCCAGTTCAACGAAAAGAACCAAGATGACCTCAAAAATTTGCAACTAAATCCAGCAGGCGACATGCTACTAGGAGCTTCATAATCGTATCCGAGTAATGGAATGCGCACTGTTATAGATGGTATCAGAGGCAACAAGATTTTATGGCACATGCTTTAGATTTGGAGGATTTACTTTGTCTTAGAGCTCAATCTAATAGATTTCTAAGGGTACGGAGGAGGACTATAATGAGAGGGAAGAGCACGCCTTGAGGAATGTTTCGGCGGTCTGAAGGGTTATTTTTCCCTGCGGAAAGTTGAAGCCGAAAAGGGGCATTTATGGCTCCAAAGGAATGGTGATGCTTTTATATTCAGTTGGAGTTGGTGGAATTAATGACTGGCGAGGACTTCACATGAAAGAATTTCTCTACGAATTATGGATGTCATTTACGAAGTAATCTACGAAGTATATAGCATAAAGCTCATTTGCACAATCAAATCGCATTGTATCTTTCATCTATGAGCCAAACAAACAATTAATTTTCCATAAAACTATCTTCATGATTGATGATCGCTGTATATCTTCAACATGGGAATGTCAGGACACTATTTAACGTTCTAGGACCAATTGCCGGACCACCACAGAATCAACCATCGCCAAAGCGATAAATCACCTACCTCACTCATTATTACGCATTAAGGAGAAGGGAACTCAAAGATAGAGGCCAAAGCTACATTAATAGTTTTGATCATCTGATACCGATCAATCGATGCGGGGAAACACCTCCGGAAGTACGCGGATCATGACCATGGTGACCCGGGAGCAAACATAGAAAGCTTCGAACTACTGGGCTCGGCTACTTGCTAGTCTTGGAAAAACATGCGGCTATCCTTAGGTTCTGTCAAGCCACATTGATAAAACGTGGAGAGTTTCTGGTGGGTGATTAATGATGTTTACAGGATGAATGTTGTACCTTATGCTTTTTGATGTGGTGGTCTGCTATCAAGAAATTAATGCTGATTTTCTAAATTCACTTTGAAGTTTTATATGCAAGAACTACATTAAGGCGCCCTTGATATCTCGTTACTGGTGAGTGCAGAAAGTTGGCCATATGGAAGGTACCCGATTCTTGAAGACAGTTCACTCGATAACCAGTTACGTACACTATGATCCTGAAATCGGGGTCGACATAGACGCGTGAGATAGTCCTAGGAATATTTACAGATGAACCCTATAATGCGGAGTAGCTAGTGCTGTGTCGTTGTGTATAACGCCCAGACATCTACGGGACAATCCGCCATTGAATCCCTAACTATAAAGTGGTGAAATGTTACTTTTTTGCATTTTCAATGACAAATAGGATGTTGCGATGCTATGGATTTGATAAGCCGCTCGGATGATGGACTTACCCCTTTTTAAAAACCCTTAGATATTTTAAGGGACGATACAACCCAAGAATTTGTAAGAATTTTTCATATGGATATCCAGCTTGAACGCTATCCATTTGGAAGTATGGAGGTTATTCTTATCTTTTTTATTGATACCAAAATGCCACGATACCACGAGGCTTCATGAATCATTCTAGATACTCCAGGCTAATTAATAAAAAGAATTGTTGGGACATCATTCGGGATAGGCTAATCCAATATGATTCCTCTCGCGAAATCACAGAAAATGGAAACCTCTATTTAACACCCAATTTTCTATGTATCACCCAAGGTACACTTCCGTGTATCGATAATGTAAGTAAGATTATAGTAGAATACCTATTTGCATCGTCATACACTAAGTTGTATCTTCAGCCTCAACTATTGGTGTCCAAAAATAAACTAATCCTACATTCGTGCAACAGTAAGAATCATTGAAGAATTACTCCTATAAGGCTGTCAGTGTTATAAGGGTCGAAATTGGGGCTGTGCAAGCCTATCAATATTAATCAGCGATCTACGTGCAGTAGCGGGGAAAAATCGGGGCCTTAGATATGCTGCAAAATATGTAGGTGTAGACACTGCGTAAATGTAACCTCATCAGTTCTGACCGTGGATGATTTATTGTAAGTATGATTATAACCAAAGGATCGAGAAAGTGAATTCGCAAAATGATGAGATTTAAGGTTGACACGGGTCCTAGGAAGAAGAGGCTGGTGCGCTAAGGCGCTAGTGCACGATACTACGTTGGGGGCAAAACTGTTTGTACTCGGCCTGTCAATATTAGCGTATCAGTCGATACTGACTCGAGGTTTACCATCGTATAGCTGATCCTATGAATCCTCTTGAATGAGAAAAAGGAGACTAGATGTTGGCATCTAGAACCGGTTTTTGTCTCCAACTTCTCCACTATCTCACCCGGAAAACCACGTTTTAACCACGAAAGCAAATCCATGTGGCACCCTTCTACTGCGATATAAGTCTTTGATCGCGCTAATATTCCTGAAGATCTAGTTCATTACTGGTTGCTTTTTAATGTAGATATGGAACTGCTCAGCTGTGCGGCGCAGCGGCAGCGTTTGCTGTTCATCCGTCCACTGATGATGGCTCGCTTCAACTTCGTGCAGTAGTTGGATTGACAACAATAGAACCTGACTTGCATCTTACATGATACCATATTCTTTTTGAGCGATGCGGCTCGCCTCGATGAGGTTCCTACTGTATTTTCGTCTGAAGAATCTTGAGCCATGGCATGGTGTAGTGGGGTCGAAAATACCGTTGTATGTAGCTATTTGCGAATCCACACATATCAACATAAATTCAATGGTGTGTGATGATGGGGGCGTCTGGGCCCGATCAGATGTTAGGATGAAATTAACTTCTTCGTAGCTTAGGCTAGATATCTGGATATTTGATAACTTGTCCACATCCACCCCCGTTGTACTCTGTTGGTATTCCAAAACATTTCTTACTCTACCAAAGTACTGTGATTTGCAATAGATCTACAGATCTTGTACCCTTTGGTATCCCACCGCAGTACATATCTTTAGGTGCCAGTATGAATCCCCAAACGCCTCTACCTACCAGTACATCGGAGCCGGAAGAAAATACATCACAATATGGACGCCCATCCTCGCCAGAACATACACTTATTGAAAACGAAGAGTCAACAATCACTCTGCGCCCATCGTTAGAAGATGTAACACCTGAATTAAAAAGTATCGACTTGAAAAAAACTGATATACCCACAACTGAAGCCGAATCAAAGAAAAGAGGATGGAGATTCTATGGAAGTTTTGCATGTTTAGCAATCTTAAACTTAGTTTGCGCTGTTGACGCAACGATTCTTTCTGTGGCTTTACCAGTAAGGAGACTTCGATTCTTTCTTCCTATGCTTGTTCATCATGACTTGAACTGACTTTGGTGCATGAAGACCATTGCCACAAGTTTACATGCCACGGCTATCCAAGCTTTCTGGTGTGGTACATCATTCCTTCTTTGCTCTACAGTCTTTCAGCCTACATGGGCAGCTTTCTCGCACATCATTGGTCGTAAATCAGTACTCATGACCGCACTCTTTCTCTTCTCCGTCGGTACAATACTTTGCTCTGTTTCCGAGAACATTGAACTACTCTTGGTAGGAAGATGTATACAAGGTATTGGTGGAGGCGGTCTCGTGGGGTTGACTTATGTCCTTCTTGCCGATATGGTCACTCTCCGTGAGCGTGGTAAATGGATGTCGATTATTTCACTTCAATGGGCAATCGGATCTGTGATTGGTCCAGTCATTGGTGGTGCTTTCGCAGAAAAGCTAACGTGGAGATGGATCTTTTGGTTGAATATTCCTTTCTGCGTTGTCAGTGCTGTTGGTATTCCGATTTGTTTGAAGTTGAATATTAAAAAAGGTTCCATGTGGGCTAAACTTAAGGCTTTTGACTGGCTTGGGTCATTTTTGTTTGTTGCTTCTACGACCAGTCTTCTGATTCCTCTTACTTGGGTAAGTTACTTCAGCATCATCTTGGTTTGCGTGGAACTAATATTCAGTAGGGAGGTGTTATGCATTCCTGGAGCTCCGTCCGCACACTCGTACCACTACTCATCGGTATCGGTGGCCTCATTGCCTTCCTCCTTTATTCAATCTTCCGAAAGGGTGACCCCTTAATCAGACGTTCACTTTTCAACTCCCCCACAGCAATTGTCGCTTACTTCGGAACACTCGTCCATGGCATTTGTGTTTGGTCTGTGCTCTTCTACATGCCATTATACTTTGAAGTGGCCAAAAAATACACCCCGATCCAAGCTGGCATTGGTCTCTTTCCCATGACATTCACAACCGCACCAGCCGCCGTAGTAGTCGGACTCATCATTGCTAAAACTGGTCGCTACCGCCCCTCAATTTGGGCAGGCTGGGCTCTCACCACGTTCGGGCTTGGTCTTCTCATCCTCCTTAAAGAATCCACATCAATAGTATCCTGGATATTTATCAATCTCATCCCAGGCATTGGATTAGGCACCCTTTTCTCTGCTCAAGGTTTCGCCGCCCAAGCTTCAGCCAGTAACGCTGATCTTCCATTTGCCGGAGCCATGTATTCCTTCTTCCGAGCCTTTGGCCAAACAATCGGTGTAGCCATCTCCGGCGTCATATTTCAAAACTCATTCCAGAAAAAGATTCTCAAAACAGCCTATGCGGTTTATGCGAACGAATGGTCAAGAGATGCATCCGCGTTTGTCCAAATCGTGAAAGCATGGTCAGATACTGGCGCAGAGGGAGAGATGAAGCAAGTTGTTATTGGAGCCTATGTTGGGAGTTTGAAGATGGTGTGGATTGTTATGTGTGCATTGGCTGGATTGGCTTTTGTGACTAGTTTGGTCTTTACGAAAGAGATTCCGATGAGTAGGGAGTTGGAGACAGATCAAGGGTTTGATTATGAATATACCGAGAGGAAAGGAAAAGGATTAAGTCAAACAACTGTTCCTATTACGCCGCAGCGTAATGGAGATGAGATGGCTTAATGATTGTATGTGATGAAGTTATGATGGTATGATGGTATGATATCTTTGAATTTTGGTTTTATTTATGTCCAGAGAGGGGCGAATTTGGTATACGTGCCGGCGTTAATGCACCAGGTAAAAGGATTAGCGAAATACCCTCATTTGGAACGATATCATTTCGATAGTTTATTTATGGCGCACATCTATATCAAAAATCATAGTAACAAATTGGTGTTCTTAAAATTAGCCATGTACAACAACTCTTTAATCCACCCCCGAATCTCTGCACACTTCACTTCCGAGCTGGTTACTAAACACAAGTTTCCTAAATTCTCACCTAAAGCATTCAAATAAACCTGTCTTTCCGCCAGCGACTTTACTATTAAAACCCACTTCGCGCGATCATATTAATAGAGTGCTTTACGCATTCCAACTTTTTCATCACATATTAGGTAAGACTACCTCTGAAAAACATTTCCATTCTCACTCTTGATCTAAATACCCGCTATCCCTAGACATTTCCCTGCTACCTACTCAATTAATCAATCCATTACAAAAAAAAAAAGATCACCCACCGAAACACGACAAAGTAAATTCACATTTATAACCTCAGAGTATTGAGCCAGAGAATCCTAGCAGGGATAATTATGAGATCGACTAGACTTGGTCTAGCAGATACAATATTAATGCTCTATTCATTCCGGATGAGCTAGGGAAATGAGGACAGCTTGGTTGACTGTCTGATTTCTTTTTATGTTTGATGGATCAGTCATGATTTATACGATACTGAGGCGGGTAAAGCATTAAGTATTAAACTACAGCAACTAATCAATCTTCTATCGAAGAAGAAAAATTATCCTATTTTGAAGGAAAAGATAAGAATACACCACATATCAAATTGGAACAGCACGGCTAAAAAAACACAAAGCGTGTTTATGTATGTCTAAGTAAGTCTAATTAAAACAACAGGATAAAAATATCTATCTATACTCTATTAACTCCTCCCAAAACAAGTCTCCCGCTTCTTCTATTTCAATTTCCAAAAAAATTAAAACTCTCCCCTAATACTCCTCTCCAACACCTCACTCTCCCCACTCTGTGCTACCATCCCCTTGAAAACTCCATCCTCTATCTCCAACAACTCTTTGGGGCTACCAAACTCAGCCGCTACTCCATCACGCATAACTAATATTCGATCGAAATCAGCTACAGTACTTAGTCGATGCGCTACAACTAATAATGTCGTGTTTGCGAATTCTTCACGGATGCTGCGTTGGATTAATGTATCAGTTGTCATATCAACAGCAGACGTAGCTTCGTCGAGAAGAAGAACTTTTGGTCGTGAGAGAATAGCACGTGCGAGACAGAGAAGTTGTTTTTGGCCTTGGGAAAGGTTGGCACCGGCAGAGGAAATCGGGGATGTAAGGTTCAAGAATATGTTTGTGTTTTCTTTTGTTGAGGATTCGGCGACTGTGACGGTTGTGGAGCTGCTTGATGCGGCGGTGGATGATTCGGCTAGAGTTTCGAGTTCTGGGGCGGGAGTGCTGTCCGCAGAGGGAATGAGGTGGACGCGTTGGAGGGCTTCCTTTAATTGTTGATCGGAGAACTCATCGAAAGGATCCAAGTTGGAGCGAATGGTACCGGAGAAGAGTACAGGATCTTGGGGTATGATTGAGAGCCGGGTTCGGAGGTCGTGAAGTTTGAGAGTAGAGATGTCGACTCCATCGATCGAAATGGTACCAGCTCGGGCTTCCAAGAAACGGAAAAGAGCAAGGGATAGTGTTGATTTTCCTAAAATATCATTAGAGTTGTACCAGGAAAACCTTAAGAGTTTTACTCACCAGCACCAGTCCTTCCAACAACTCCAACCCGTTGATTTTTATCCACAGAAAATGTTAACCCTTTCAAAATTGCCGGTAATCCTTCGGCATACCCAACTTCTAAGTCTGTTACTTCTATTTTACCCTCTTCTGGCCACGAAGCGCGGATATTATCTGTTCCGCCCTGAGGTTCCATCTCTAATTGTGTATACTCGAAAATTCTTTCAGCAGCATTCATGTCGAGCTCTGTTGAAGCAAGCAATCTAATAGTATAAATAACAGCCCGTCTATAACTCAATGCAAATGCTAGTGCGAATCCAGCCAGTGACGCATCAACACCGTGAGTGGAGACAATAAATGCAGCTACACATGACGAGAAGAATGAACCAACCAATGCCATACGAAGTCCGAACCATCGATTAAACAGCCAATTATGCCAAGTTGCAGCCGCAAACGAGTCTACCAACTCATGCATCTTGGCTTCAAAAACCTGTGAATTTGCAAATGCACGGATGGTACTTAAACCTGCAAGAGCTGATCCAAAGTGTGAAATCATGGGGGATTTCTGGACTGATTCGAGGCGTTTGAGAGAGCGTGCGCCCTTAATATAAAGGAGAGCGATATAAGTGCAAATACCTAGTAGGATCACTGCGATGATAATGATATATGGAGATACAAAGAATCTAGATTTTCGTTAGCGATGCAGTTAGAAGAATACGACAATCAGCTCACGCAGATACCATGATTCCTATGATTTCAAGGAATGAAGAGGCGGTTTGAGCAAAATTTGTGGAGAGTTGCGAATCCATGGAAGTGAAATCTGCAGTGAAACGATTCAAAATCCGTCCTGTAGGAACAGTATCCAACCATCTCAAAGGAGTACGAAGTACGATATTCGTCATCTCCTTGAAGACATTCCTAGAAGCAGATAGAGATCCACGATAAATGAAGTAATATCTACCAGTGGCGACAACAACAGAGACAGCCGAAATCAGGACATATCCCAACAGATAGTAGCCCAAGGTATGGTCTTTTGAGAATGGATTGTTCAATTTTGAGACGAAAACTGATGGTTGAAGCTGCTGTTGCATGGAAGTCATGTAAGGCAGATGAGTAGAATTGAAACTGGACAAGTTTATCTCAGAATGTTCATAGGACGATGTCCATATCTTGATCCACCAGGACCTTCCAATGACTAGAGCTTCTGCGATCAAATAAAAGATGATTACCAGTCCCCAGAAAGGAATGCCGCCAGTCGCCATAAGGTATTTCGTGTAGACGCTTGCCTTGACACTTCCCGTTTCTCGTTTTTCTTCTTCAATAAGTTTTTTAGGCTTGGAAGCTGGTTCATCGGATGGCTTCTTGTCACCATTTGCCTCGGATGCATTCGCCTCCTCCTCATCTGCTACTCCGGAAACTTGCTCTGCTTTGATGATTTCATCGAAATTTCCTGTCTTTTTGAGCTCATCAATAGAACCGGCATGTTCGAGTCCTCCATTCTTCGATAGCTGAACGGCGTAACTAGCACGTGGGAGACACAACGATACGTGGTGTGTTACTAGAATGCGCGTGCGACCTTGGGATAGTTCTCCCATGAGGGCATTATCATAGATCTCTTTCCCAACGTGTGCATCAAGAGCCGAAAAGACGTCATCGAGAATCAATATTCCAGCACGAGAGTAGAAAGCTCTTGCTAAAGTCAAACGCCACTTTTGTCCACCACTTAAGCTTATACCTTGAGCGCCAACTTCTGTCAAGTCGCCGTCATCAAACATGTGAAGATCTTTTGTAAGAGCACATGCGTCAAGGACTTTTTGATATCGTGTAGAGTCGAAGGGCAAACCGAATAGGATATTGTCTTTAATGGTAGCATTTTCGATCCACGGAGTTTGGGAAACAAATGCTATGGCGGAGGGTAGAACCCAGTCTGCAGCTGTAGCTTTGCTATCATGTCTCTCATCGGCTTGAGGTGCTCGGGGTACAGTAATATTTCCAGATAGAACTTCTACTTCACCTAATATGGCTGAAAGTAGAAGTGACTTGCCAGAGCCCGTAGGTCCCGAAATAACACTCAGAGCATTGTTGGGAAAGTTAAGAGTAAGATCTCTAAGAATAAATCTGTCCTCATCTTCTGAAACCTTGGATTTTGATGGGAAGCTGACGGACACATTGTCGAGGGTAATGGATTCACCAGGGTATGTATTCTCTGGCTTTTCTGGGGACTGGAGAAAAGAATCGATTCTATCACAACTCACTTTGGCATTCATTCCCATCATAAATAGGAACGGAACCATTCCTAGGACACCTTCAAGTTGCATGAATACGCCCTATTTTTGAGAGGCAAGTCAGCTAAATCATTTTTTGAGTTCGTGTTCGACAATCAGTATTGCGGTGGGTGAAACCAAATTCGCCATATCTTTGAGCATGTAGAGAAATCCAAGAATATTGATGGTAAAAGGAGAAAACGAGTAACATACCAATGCTGTAAATGCGACTGATGGTAATAAGTCTCCGTGAATATAAGAGTACGTAGCCAGAGCCAAGACTGTCAGGAGCACTGGAGCCACATTTGAACCAACCATCATATACAAGTTGTTGATCTTAGTCTTCCACAATTTCCCAATTTCTTCCTCACGAGCTTCGAATATCTTTTTGCTCCATTGAGTTTCGTTGGCGGAGAACTTGATTTGCCGGATACCATTAAGTGCCTCGGTGACAATAGTAGTCTTCTTATCTCGAGCCTTCATCAACTCTCTTTGAAAACCTCCATATCTCTTTGCAAGGGCCTGATTTATTGGTGCCATGCCTATGATTGCTAGCATACTGTTGTAGATCGAGGAGTCAGTAAGTGGCCACCAAGGGTACATTTTGATGAAAAATAAAAAAATAAAGCCGTGTTAAAAATGGAAAGAATTTTAGAAAAATGGAAAGGAAAAAAAGTAAGAGTAAAATATGGAGGTCAGATCAGGGGAGTGAAATAGGTATGAAAAGTAGTAAAACTTACCCGGCAGCCGTTGACTCCCAACCAACTAAGAGCCATAAAAAGACAACCGAAACAAGGAATTTGCAGAAAAATAAAATGTAGAACTGATTGACAGCGCCAAAAACACCGACTTGATTTGCATCCACGGCAAACATATTGACAATGTCTTTGTCGGTCTCGACTTTTTTCTTTGCGTCCCCATCCTTCCCTTTCTTAGCGTGTGGTCCATGAGGTCCATGATCATTCGATGCATCTGGCTTTGCCGTGTCATTTGCGTTTGCATTTCCATTTGCCTTAGGTGCATCATCAGTCTTGGGTGAATCTTTTGTCTTGTCTGCTGTTGCGTCCTTGTCTTCTGCCTTCGGAGGCTCCTTGCAATCCTTCATCTTCATCATCTTTTCGAATATTAGTGATGTAAGAGTTGATCTAATCGGAATTGCAAGATCGGACCACATCAACCAATTAATTCGGTTGTCCATCAGGGTTTCAGCAATTGTAGCTGCGAAAAGACCAAATACCCAAATCCACGCTTGAGGATCAATGGCATCAAATCCTTGACGAGCTTCGAGATATTGAAGCAGTTTTAACACAGCAAACTGTGGCGCAGCATCGATAACAGACGAGATCATTACCAACACCCATTGAGTAAATATGGCTGTACGATATGCCCAGAAAACTTGGAGCCATAATGGAACTGTTGACTTCAATACTATTGATTTGAAAGAGTCTCTAACATCTTTCGAACGGACATGTCCATCCATAGCAGGGAGATCCGATACCTCAATTAATTTTTTCGAAGCGATATCAAGGAGCTCAGTGCTCCAATTGAAGGCATATCTATTCCATAACGACTTTTTAAATTGTCTCTCGACAACCCTTCCATCAGGGGTAAAGACATCGGGGCGGCGCTCAACAAAGTAGAATGTTGCAGCGCTGAAAGCAGCAGCAATGATTTGGAGGGCTGTGAGAATGACAGATGCGAGGCGGAAGGGGGCTTCATTTGGAAGGGGCCCCGATAGCACGAGACATGCGAGAACAACTATCAAGATACATGACACGGAATTAAATATTCCTTTTTGAAATTTCAATACAGGATGAATTTCTCTTGAAGTTTCCAATATCTGAATGAATGCGAAAATCTAATAATTGTTAGTATAAGGTTGTGTTTGTATTGTAGTTTTACCATAGGTTAAACTTACCCAAGATACGAATAACAACCAAAGTTGCATCAAACAATAATCCGAGAATCCCTCCTTCTTCTCAACCGTAGCAAAAACAGCCGATCCAAATGATACCAGAAGTCCCACAATGAGAGAAGTGAAGATCATCACGAATTGAAGTTTGGTGGAGTATTTCGCCATGGAATCTTCCGTAGCCACCCCATCTTTGTCTTCATAGAGAGCTTCATGATTGGTCGATTTGGGTGACTTGAAGTTTCTAGCAAATCTCCATGCGGTTGGTATGGTGAATAATCCAATGAGTGTAGGAGCTGCATAAGACAGCTGAATGATATAAGAATCCATCCGTCCACCTATATATGATGATAAAGTCCCCTACTCATTTGGAATTGTTTGCAGATATTTGAGGATTTGGATGTGATCCTTATATGAAGCGGTGTATCCGTAGGCAACCGCGTTGATGACAAGGAGTGAGATATGTTTAAAAATCGTGAATAGTGGGTGATACGAGCAAGGATTTTGATGGAGTACTTTGTGTTTTGACGCCGGTTACAAAATGCTCAGTAATAACTATTTGGGAGCCTGATATTCGATGTATGATGGAAGTTGTATCTTGGAAAGTGATAATCCTTTTGTAGGTTGGATGAAACCGTGATAGATATCATTGACTCCGACCTTCCGAACCATGTTGCTTACAATTCTAATTGCCCCATAAAATTTTGACGATAAGCCAATGAGATTTCACGATTGTTCACGGTGGACAACTTCAAGATGTGTTGAATAGTAATCTCATAATTGATCCCCTATTAGATAACGCGTTTGATCCAATTGCTTGGAGAATAGGTACACCAGTAGGTAACATACGAAATGACGAATCTCCGTATCTGCATACCCCGCACAAGAAAGAGAGATATATTCTCTCAAGAAATTGCAAGATGTGACAGTGAGCTCTTTCGACTTCACGATTGAAATCACCAAATAACCAGTACCCACTCCACCCGAGTATTCGACGATTCATTAACAAACAGCACATCAAAATGTCATCAGTTGTAAAAGGGCAATCTCCGCTAAGAGATGGAAATTGGCATGGTCGGATTGAAGTAGGGGGAGAATTCCCTCCCGAAAAGGATAGATACCACTTATACATTGGTAATCATTCCTCAACTCATAGCTGCCAATTGTTCTAACAAGTGTTTGCTCAAATAGGACTCTTCTGCCCATTTGCCCACCGGGTCAACCTAATTCGACATCTCAAAGGCCTCACTTCCATTCTCCCAATATCCATCGTGAAACCCTATCCCAAAGGCGATGACAAAGGCTGGCCTGGTTGGAAATTTGCAACAGAAAAGGATCCATACCCTGGCGCAACTGAAGATCATCTCTTCCAGTCCGAATACCTTCATGATATATACTTCCGGGCCTGGAAAGATTATGAGGGGAGATTCACAGTACCTGTTTTATGGGACAAAAAGACAAATCAGATCGTTTGCAATGAGAGCTTGGAGATCCTACGGAATCTGAATACTGGTTTCGACAGCCTATTGGATGATGAATACAAGAAACTGGATTTCTATCCCGACAATTTGACCAAGGAAATCGACGAAATAGGAGAATGGATGCAACGAGATATCAACACTGGAGTGTATAAGGCTGGCTTTGCGCCGGATCAAGAATCATATGACAGAAATGTTGTGCCATTATTCAAAGCCCTCAATCAAATCGAAGAGATCATCAAGAATAATGGAGGCCCATATGTGTTGGGTTCAAAAATTTCAGAGTTGGACTTGAGGTTGTACCCAACAATTTGTCGCTTCGATGCCGTATATGTGCAACATTTCAAATGTAACCTTGGAACCATTCGTCATGATTATCCGGTGTTGAATGCTTGGTTGAAGCATTTATATTGGGAGGTAAAGGGATTCAAGGAAACAACTGATTTCAAACATATCAAGGAGAATGTAAGAAGTCCAAAACGTCTAAAATGATTCGCGTCTAACGATAGTCAGTACACGAAGAGCCATCCGGGTATTAATCCAAAGTCCATTACACCAATGGGCCCTATTCCTAATATTGAAAGTGGTGTGGAACATGATTGGAGTAACTTGGTAGCAGGTAGGGTTGAGGTGAATTGAAAGCTGAGTTGGTTGGTTTAGTATTGTCATGTAGGTCCCCAAGAATCCACTCCTACCAAAATATCTCCAAATCTCCATCTACTAGTGATGCAGTTCCGTTTGTGCTTTTAAATGAAGTACCTTTCAATGATTGAGGAATGCCTGCGCATTATTGATGTCGGGAACACGATTGCTCTACATTTGCCACAATGTGGTTGCTATCTGTATTGCTTGCCCGCTTACTTGACTGAGATGTTTGATATAGTATCAAGTGTTTGTCCGCCAGTTGTGACAAGTGAACATCACTAGAACCTACCTACCTATCCCAACAAGAATTCAGTCAGAAGCCGTTTTTAGTTTTTAAATTTCTGCTCTTCGCTACCTATGATCAAGAAGTGAGTGATATTTGTTGTGTCTCAACACAAGCAGCAATGCTCCAGATTTGTTTGAGTTATTCGAGTGATGCAACCGTCACGAGGATAGTATCTATCGGACGATTGTTGTTGCTAGACGCGTCTGTACAAGTACCTACCTACATGAGCCCATCCATCCAACACCTTGCACCATCATGGAGTCACCTTGATATTCCCTCCTCAAACCGTAATCTACATCAAAACAAGCATAAGGTGAGATGGCCGAGTTGGTCTAAGGCGCCAGGTTAAGGTTATAGCTTAACACAAGGTTATCACAACCTCCTGGTCTAGTAATAGGCGTGGGTTCGAATCCCACTCTCATCAAATACCTTTTGTTTTTGTCCGTTTTTTGGGCTTCTTTCGTATATTCTTTCACTATTTTTTCAGTAAGATGAATGATTTCAAGGCTGGAAAGTCGGGTGGTTGAAAGAAAGGTGAAAAAATATTAGATGAATGTGGAGTAGGAGAAAATTTTGTAGTGTTAAAGCTTTTCTATTTTGATAGTGGAGTTGGTGGGGACTTTTTCGCGCCAAGGATTGTGAGCGGGAAGCGGAGTGGAAATAGAAGGGGGGGGGAGAAAAGATTAAACAACTCCTATATTTAATATTATTTTTCATCAACTTCGTTTGTGAATTCGTTATCATACATCTTGATTTAAAGATTTTTCGTGTTTCGGCGATGACTGTTGGCCGAATTGAATTTGTTTAAAAAAAAAAGTCAATCTTCAATCACCGACTCCACTTTTGGAGGCCCTCCAGACTCCCTGCTTCCGGACCCACGCAGCTCCCTGAGGCAAGGAGACGTTGGCTGTGTACACGAGTCTGATCGTGAGTTTGCACGAACACAATATGCATGGTTTCATGTACCTTGCTTACAATAAGACCTGGAATTGTCTATATCCTGTTAGAAAGCTCAACGCTTCCGGATTCATGGTCGATACATGGTTTAAACGTACGCGAGAGGAGCTGAATAGTAGTATCAGGTCTTTCAAAATGAGCTCGTAATTCCTGGAGACCCCTTGGCATCATGCCCTCAGATGGAATTTTCTTTGGATTTCATACTGAATTCATTTCTTATTGCTACACTGAACTACTTTTCTCCTCTTCATGCATGATCGCCATCTTCCGCACTAGGAAATGTCCGTACACACACTTATACCTGAGCTCACAAAGTCCTCTTGCATTAATGTCCCACGCAATGACAAAGTTGTAATATTCATGGAGGCTGAAAATAATAGGCAGGTGTTTGTCTTGATATTGGCGCAATCAAATCCATTCGGACTATTAATTGCCGCACTATTTTGATTGAGGGCCTCTTTTTTGGTGAATAGTCATATATGAACTTCCATGGCTGCAGTTGAGATGGATTTATCAGATGCAGCACTCCCTCGAGTGAACTGGACTAATAATCATCTATTATTAATATAGCGGAACTTCTCTTGGGCTGTTCTATTCTGCTTCCTTCACTGTACGACATCCTCTCCATCTTCTAAATCACCACTCTTCGACAATTTACTCATCAATCCATCAACAAACATAATCATAACAACAGCGAGTTAGTTATCCAAATACTCAAGGTCACTTCGTACATATCAAGCAACAAAGCACTTATAATACCTCCTTCATCAATAGATACATCAAACCCACATCCTCGTCATCATGGGAAGTAAAAACAGACGTGCTCCTCCAGTAAAATCCACCGAAGTCATCCCCAAAGAACCATCAGAAATCGAAACCCACCCCGGAATGATTCTAACAGGCAACATCCTAACCATTACCATCGACTACTGCAGTCCAGAAACCCAAACCGAATCCTCAAAATCACAGTTCATAGAATCTCTCCTCAAAATCCTCCCCGACTACGCCCCATGGGCAAAAATCATCCAACTCAGCATCCACACCGACATCCCTTCCAAAGAAACCCCCAACAACATCTACTTCACCCGCATCAACGACATGAATTCCATAGTAAAGCAATTAAATAAATTCAAGAAACTTCAACAAGTTCGCGTTAGGACACTTGTTGATCAATACAATTTTTCACAGATGAAACTTGCGGCTGCGATGTATGGATTGAGGCTAGGATTGGTTTGGCGTTTTTCGTATGTGCTGAAGGGGGAAATGCCGGTTATGGTTTCTTTGGACGATAATGTTATGGGGAGGCTTTGGGGAGTTTGGAAGAAAGAATTTCTTTCGAGGTTGGAGGTGCTTGGGTAGTGGTGGTTTGTTGAGGGGGGTATATAGAGGGGTGGTGGGGCTTGGTGTTCTTTTCTGGAAAAGAAAACTTCGAGATTATGGATCGGTGCAGTTTTGGGGAATGGGTAGATATTTTTTCGTGTGTTGTGGTAATTTAAAAGCTTGAGTAAATTTTTATTTTCATTGTGGAGTTTCGAGTGTATGAATCAGTTATGGGCCTATATGTCTACAGGATGATAGAAAATGATCATCTTAACAGTTGGCTAAATGAAAGTAAAAACTCAGTGAAAGAAAGCAAGCATTCGGGGCTACGTCACTAATATCTCGCACTGCAGTAAATTAGGGTAAAAATGAAAATGTTAATATACAGTGATAAAGATAGCTTTTTTCTTTCTGTATGATCGGCTATGAATATCTCCTTCTTCTGCTTCGCTTGGGAGATGAAAGAACATCCTGCATTGGATAGTGGATGGAATAGATTTTTATGGAACAGTATGGATTCATAATGTGGCATATACAAATTAAAAGATAGAACTCATAAAATAATAGCTGATTTGCAGGATGTGGTATTGGTTATATGTATCTACAACCCTATGGAATACCTAGCTTGAATGTCAAAACACTGAAAATACTGTCCTCGCTTAATCACCACTCGTATCTTCCAACTCAAATCTCCATAAAACCCTCCATTACCCATAGCATCAAACAAAAGCACAATAACCCCTCTCTTCCCCTATAAACAGCCCAAAAGTTCCATCACCCATTCAAACCCCTCACTCAACAATCCTCTCCAAGCCCCCATTCCCCACAATCTCCCTCCAGTACACCCGCACCAACCACCTCATAAAACAACACTCAGGCTCAATCTCCTGCAATCCCACTTCTTCCACCCCCTCAACCCTATAAGCCAAACTCCACTTCATCCTCCGCAACCCATACAACCCCGCACAAAACCTCAACTGCGAAAAATAATGCGCCCATTTGCCTATCACAAGTGTCATATGAAGTTCCTGTACTTTTTCAAATTTGTTTATTTGGGAAATGAGCAGTTGGAAATCGGAGACGTGCTGCTTGTATTCTATAGTGGACAGGCATCTGTAGGCTGAAGTTCGGATGGCTAGTTTGATGATGTGCGTGTAGGGTGTGTAAGAAGGGAGAATGGAGGCCAGGATTTTCATTTTGGTAAGTGTTTGTAAGGGCGTGGGGGTTAGGTCGATGGTGAGGGTGAGGGTGCCGCACCAGAACATTATGTTGCGATGGTATTGAATTTTGTCGAGATGGGTGGAGAGGATATGTTGGGTTGTGTTGTTCATGGTGGAGAAGTGCGTGGTTTGAAGGATTGGTTTTTGATGGACGGAAATTGTGAGAGTTGGTGATTGGATTGGTTGATGTTGTACTGATTGGAATCAGGAGTGTTAGACTTGCAGAGAAGATGGGGGAAGACAAGTTCAAGTAGCAGAATGGTATTATACCCAAGGAAATATATGTAAGAATACGGGGTGATTGCTGCTGATATACAGCCTGTCCAGAACCGTATCTAATTGCAACTAATGCGGTTTCTAAAACCCAAATATGCTGCTCAATAACGCATATCCTCTACCGCTACCGCAAGTTTTATGTATACGCCTACTTACCAAGATTAGTTGTAGCATTTTTGATGGAGCGGCAGCGGTACATGGTCAAACAATAGAATATGCATAACTAAGAAAGCATTACAAGTGGACATGGAAGTTACTAATAAGCATCTGTATTGTTTCCTATAGTCAATTTTTTAGCCGTTCTCTGCTGAATAAACTGACTGCAAACTCGGTCTCGGTACTTGTTTCCTATCAAGCATTCACTCTATTTTGTGGAATCTCGCTAATTCATTTTGCGATGCAGGAGGCCGGCTGCAGTACAGTTCTGGCTGTTTGTGAACCACAAACTCATCTCTATGTTACTCTGCAAGAGAACTATTCTCTTACGGAAAATACACTTCATTTCGCGATACCTGGCTAACATAAAGTCTACGGAGGAGAGCGGCAGTAGTACGGTCGTACCTTAGACAGTCGCACAAAGTTAATTCAGCGCTAGTGTCACCTACCTTGCTGTATTAGATACCACCGTATAGCAAATATTTCACCACAAGAATTTATATAAAGTGCTCACTATACCCTCATCATCCATCTTCCTGACACGCACATCTTCCTACTTTCCACTTGCAACAAATAACACTCTAGATCCATCAATTCGAGAACGATTTAGATCACAGCGAAGATATCCACCAGAATATTCACTTCATCAAGAATATCAAGGCTTTCTCAACAACTTGTTTCCTCAACAAAAGAAAAGAAAAAGAAATCTTAAAATGGCTAAATACATTGATCTCCCCGTAGATTGGGCTACACACAACGAGGTCGACGTCTCGGCATTAGAGCAGTGCATCCACAGAAAAGATGAAGCACCCGAAGAATGCACCTGTGAAATGTGCAACAGCGAGGAAAACCATCTTAACGGATTGCAATGTCCCGAAAATCGTGTTCGCACAGATATTTCTGCTAGACAGGCGAAAGGATGGCTTGATATGTCAGTTCCTCATCCTGGATCAGTAATAAATAAGGAATTGCACACCAAATTCAACAAAATCCTAAGCCTCACCATAAACTACACTGGTGATGAACAAACCGATATGTCCATGGTCCTCCGCCAGCTTCCAAACTACTCCTTATGGACCGGGATTCTCGAACTGATCATTCGCCCCGGTCTTTCCCGTAAAGAAGCTCCAAGATCCTACGTCAAACACGTTGAAGAGATGAAAGCATTGGTGCGCCAAATTAATTCATCCTTGTCTAAGGTGGAATCAATCCGTTGTCAATTCTTCATCGACTATTTCAGTTTTTCCAATTTGAGATTAGCGGCTGGATTGATCGATCTCAAAAATGATAATTGGACTTTAGCTTATGTGGAGGCTGGGGAGAAAAATTTGTTTAAGGATATTTATAGGAAGGATTCAATTTTTAAGAGAATTGAATGTGTTTATCGGGAGGATTTTGCGAAATAGGTGGGAATGTTTTACTGGGCGGATGGAGTCATGGGTTTTGGCCCGGGGGAATTTGGTATGGACCGCATGGTGGATGATTGATTTTGGGGGGGGGGGGTGGGGGGGCAGGCTTATGCCAGGCGGGCGGAGGGTATTTTAGAACGTTCTCGTTAATGAAGGAGTCGGTTTTGTGCGTTATTAGGGGGGTCTAGTTTTAGCTTCTATTTAGGCGAAGCATGGAGTAGGGGTTAAAGGCTCATTGAGATGAAGCTTGACCTTTCAGTAGATGTACTTTATTTAAATTCTAGGCTATTAAGATCTTTCAATTATGACTACACATATCTTTTTCCATTTTATTAATAATCCATAGATGTGATACTTAACCCATATTAACTTACCATCTTTTCAATTTTTTACACACATTCCCTCCTCTGTTCAATACTTCTCCATCATTTCACCTAAAGGAGGTTTTTTTTCGCTCCTTTGAACAACTACACTAACTTACCCTTTCCAAAGAACAAAGTTTATTAATAATTAAATGATCATGATAATTCTATATCAATGATTTTTGTGAAAATTTAATCTTTTGTTCGACGCCTAGAACCATCTAGACTTGAAATTACTAGAAATTTCAAATCATTAACTGACATACGAAAAGAGGAAATATATGTTTTGTTCTTTTGTCTCCTTTGAGCTTTCGAAGCTTTCTATGTTTTCAACTTGTGGTTTTTGTGAACAACGCAAATTGTTCCACAGTTCCTTTGTTTTTCAAGATAACAAAAGAATCTCAGTCTTGCGGTCTGGTTTTTGTTGTTAAGGCTGGAAGGGCTTCCCGTCACATTCATGCATCTAGCAATTTCTCTTCACTAGGAAACAGTCCCACTATAAAAGTCCACAAAGAAAGTCCTTCGTGGGTTCGTTTTTCAGTTTTCGAATTCCGTCCTAGTGACAGGTTAGTTGGCTTTCAATTACATTACGTTCACATGGAAAAGAAAGAAAGTATTGTGAATACTCAACTTTCATATTCAATCGGATTAGTCGTATATTTCAAAAAGAAATTATATTGTATTTGTCAATTTGGGTGTGCATAGCTCCAGCTTGTGTTAAACAAAACTCCTACTCCTGTGTACTGAAAAGAGTTTTTTTTAACCTAAGTTTGGAATGCCTGCGTTTGTCAGTTTTAGTAGATACTGTCAATTTGTAAGTAGAAAACTTCACCCCACTCACTCACCTTCGCTCAGTTTGAATCTTCATCCGATTTAAAAGGGTTTCTCTCAAGTTCCAAGAGCGGTTCCTCTGCTGCATCCTGATGCTGCCTGGTGGGAGGGGCGGGAGCGCGGCCTCGTCTTTCGAAAGATGTAGGATCTTCGTCTCTGTGGTCTTCTTCTGAGTCCCAATATCCTCCGAGTCGATGGTGGGGAACGTTGGGAGTTCTGCCCCGTCCTTCAAGATATGCGAGAGTTTCGTCCCTGTCTGCCTCTTTTTGGACTTTTTCACGAGCGTCAGTACGGTTACGGATAAAACTAATGGGAATGCGGGACTGCTGTCTGCGCCATTCTGGGGATTCTTCCACGTTAGCGGGCTCTCTTCGTGTTTGGAAGTTCTGGGGGACAGCCTGTGCCGTGTGTGGTCTTTGATCATTAGGCTCCTCCGGTTGAGAGGCTTCTGGTTCTGGCTGTTCGTCGACCCATCCCAAGTATACTTCCGACTCAAAAGTCGCATTTCGTCTGCAGTTGGGACATCCTTCGATCGAAGTGAGTGTCGGAGGCTCGAATTTTCCCAAAGTGAAAACCCTTTTCAGCCCCAGCTTGAGCCTCTCAGGTTGAGGTTGGTGTAGAGTGCGTGTTCTGGATGCTGTCGACTCCCAAGCCATTCCCAAGCTCAAGATACTCTTCAAAGTTCTCTTGAGAGCCTGGGGAGGCTCCTCTTTTGCACGTCCTGCCGCAGTTCGTGATTCCAAGACATGGCTGCAGGAAAACTTTGTGTAAGTTGAAGGCATTTTCGAAATGTTGAGAATGCGTTTGCTGGTTGTTGGTAATTATGATTGTGATAATGTTTGATGTTAATACATCTTCAAGTATATCGCTAAATCCAGGGATTTACATGCTCATTTGCAGACACTTGTCCAGATGTTGTTCATATGCTGTTCAGACACTATTGAAACACTGCACATAATGGAAAGAACAAGATGGACTAAGCACAACTACTTGTTCTTGGAACAATGGTAGAGAATAACTCCACTCACTTTGAGGTGACGTTTCTCGGAGATTGGCATGATAATATTTTCAAACTTCGTTGATTTGCCAGCGAAGTATAGTTGTTTATTAATAGTAAAACGACATGTATCAAGTCATATAATTATGGGATTTAACAATATCAGCGGTATGTGCCTAAAATCACAGGTTTATTTAACTTTAGGGTTAAAACATTCTTAGACGTAATTACATAGCGTAGCTTCCATGCCACGCGTCTCAAGTGTCTATTGACTTTAGAGAAGCATCATAAATTTACGAGTTTACCAACTCCATCATGTGGGCTTAAGATCTTTGGTTCTATTACTTGTGGCTTCGGGAATCTCACGGTGATAAGGTGATTAGCGCAGCATTTCTACGGCTCAAGTCATTCATTGGGCAGGGTACTTAATCTACTTTATGTATGTGATTCTTCGTCACATAACCAGTAAAATCTCTAGAACTTGTTCTTTCATAATCACGCCCTGGGTCAAGTGGCTTTGAAGAGTCTTTTGATAGGACAAAAATAGCAGGTTTGTGGTTTGTAGCCTAATTCAAACAAGGGGTTTGCTACGGCAGCTATGTAGTTCTGTAGTGCACGTGGAAGATGCTAGATGCTATTCTGAATGATCTTAGTGGACTGACTTCTACTCATAATTTTCTTACCTGTGGCCGATATTCTACTTCCTACTTCATCTATTCTAGCCATTACACCCTGATATCCCCAAAATACAACCTCCATCTAAATTCATCCATCTGCATCGTCAAATCTCCAGCATCTGTCACAGATTTGAATTTCATTAAAATCCCAAGCAAACTGCAATATTAATCGATCAAGAAGATTCGGAGAGGCCGTGTTTACTCCTCGGAGACTACCAGCAAGTCAAATCCTTCACAGTCATATTATCTAATCTCGCAGTGTTAATAAGACTTAGCCAGCATGGACAAGAAAAACAGTTCAGTCACAAATTCCAATCTTCCTTCAGTTCTCCCCAAGCCTCCCTCAAGCCTAGAGTTACACGAGTCGCTCTTTTGGTTAGAGAAGGCACAATGTCTGCAAATAATCATTGCATAAAACGAAGATAAAACTCAACAAGAGACTGCTCTTTACATGGCTATCTTGTTTGATCGTATATCTGAATATGGGCCATTGGCCGATAAGCTCGATTTTCTCATTCACCCACGAATTGTTCGCTGCTGGGAAAATCCCAACATCTATGCTCAGCACATTCGCCAGATGATGGCTCTAGTCAATCGAGTCAACCGATCCTTCATTGTCCTTACAAATGTCAATGTTCGACTTGAAATTGACTATGCTAACTTTCAGCAAATGGAATTGGCAGCTTGTTTTATCGCATTGAAGGTGTACTGGAAGTTGAGCTATTATGTCGACGGCATATCGTATCTCAACGAAATCGAAGCACACAGTCACCTCATGAGACGTCTTTGTGGTGTTAATGATAGAGATTTCAAGGTATAGATGGTCATAGTGAATGGTGCTTTTAAAGGGTCTATGATGAAGCCAAGGGATTGAGGAGGATCCGGTCAAAATATTTCGTGGTAGCGAGTATGACCTTAGACTTCGGGGTGTTTATAGAAAGGAGTACTTGAGTTTCCTCAAGTAGACGCATCCGAATGTTCTTGTGGCTGGGATGCAGGACTATTTTTGAGAGGTGATTTAGCAGGGGTAGTCGTTTAAGGTTGTTGAGGCATAGCTTCAGGAATGTCGCGATGTGCTTTTTGCGAATTACTTTTCTCTTTTCCCCTATGCTTCACATTTCGGATAACTGGGAATGAATTGTGGTATGGGAAAGTACTGGACGTCGGTAAAATTTCGCGTAGTAATCCAACAGAAGATAAACGAAACCTCTTTGCATGTAACTAATGTGTTGATAATGAGAAGTGAATATAAAGTAGTCGAATGAGTAAAATTAAAATGAAACTGTCAAACCTGGCTTGGGATCTATGTAGAACATATGTATTTATGCTCGAATTTAGGTAGGGCCAGCGGAATGGAATGTCGCAGCAAAAATTCACCACAGCCCGACATATGCATGTTCTTACAAAGGGGATAAAATGACTGCCATTATGCGTGCAACCGTGTAACGTTAACCCCGCATTTAAAGAACATAGGAAGCAGATGCTAAACATGCGAGGAAAATAAATATACTATTTCCTGTTGCAGGCAGACATATTCTCTCGTGCAATTGAATATAACCGAAAGTGAAGCCAACCAGGTACGACACGCGATAATTCGGCCGTACCTCCTATTCCAAACTTCGAGGGCACCAGTTTTCACCTCGCTAAAGGTTCTACAGTATGCCCACGAATGTCCATAAGATGCTATTCAATGAACAGCGGAGGAGGTTTAAATACTTAAGATACTTAAGAGACTCATGGGATGCGATGATTCAACACCTGTACGTGGTGCATCCTACGAACCTGTAATTTTTCTTACAGAGCCAAGATTGAATCAGGCTGAAGCTAGGCAAAGGTCGTGCTTTAAAAAGGAGCGGTACTGGGAGTGAAGGTATCGTGAATTTGGCCCGGAACAGAGGACTATCAGTCGAACGGAGATGAAAACTACCCGACAATCAACGAAACAACGACGGATTTCGAAGCGGAACCACCTTTACGAATCTGCAGTGGGATGCAGAGCCTGAGAATTGCTTTAAGGAGCATTTCAAAGCGGACTGCCTTTACGAATCTGTGTGGGAGCAGAGCCTGAGAAGGAAAGCGTTGTGCCGGTGATTGACAGGGCACCTCTGGGGCGCTAGCGTGCAGAATTTTCACGACTCAACAATGCGTACAATCTGCGGGTATACCGGATTGGAAGTTTACAGGTGTTTAAGGGGAGTAATCGAGAATGTATAAAGGTTGTGATAGAGTCTTATTGAGGCCAACGGAGGTATGGGTGGATTAGGGATGGAGGGACGCTTTTGGCACTTTGCTCTACGAATGTACAAGAGCGGTATCATGGCGGCAGAGGAACTCTCGAACGAGGGGGATGCTTTTAGCAAGTTTCACTCTTCTGCGAAGCATTCGGCAGACATCACGGCAGCGGATGAGCTCTGGCAGAAGCCACCTTATGAGACACGTATCCGATACGTTCTCAACCCTCCGCATTATCGATTACAAACTATACATTGGGGGAATGGACTTTGCAGGCTGTGCTTTGGTTAGTGAGCTGGAAACGTTGTATTTTTAGTTGCCTGGCTAGGGGTTAAGACACAGCAAAGCTTGCAAGATACGGTCGGCCTTGTTGTGCAGGAGAGATCCGGCAAGGTAACGCGAAACGGTGCACAAGCCGCGGGGCGTAGCGTATAATGGCAGCGACAGTGACACTGTCTATACGGCTCGAGAGGACGGATGCGCGTATCGGTCTACAATAGAGTACAAGGCAGCTGCCTCCCTGGAAGAGGATACCGAAGAACAATCGAAAGTCCTAGACTTAATCGAAATATTTCGTGAATATCTTGAAAAAGGAAAACTTACAAAAGCCTCAAATATCATCACATCACAAATCTCCCATCTAGAAAATGCTACCAAACGGATCGAAAAGCAAGCCAACCACCTTTCAAACCTCCCCAATCATACAATCCCCCCTACAATAAACACCCCTGGAACCAAAGCCAACTATGCCACTATCACCAAAACCTCAGGAGAATGGAACCTAGTTACAAAGGGAAAACCCACAAAACAGAAAACTACAGAACAAAAGGAAGAAGCCCCAAGCAAGCGACTAATCCTCATCAAACCCCTTATTTATCAGCTACACTCTTTTACACCATTAAATACAAGGAACAAAGTCAACGAAGCCTTCAAGAAAGCAGGAATCAATGGACCAATCATCTCAGCTATCACTACTACAAGGAGCGGCAATTTTATACTAACCACTAACAGCCCTTTCAATGCACAATTCCTGATGGAAAAGAAGGAAATCTGGGACAAGATCCTTGATGCCGAAAGAATACAAATCGATAAACCCTGGCATAAAGTCATCATTCACAAAATCCCAATTCAGGAATTCTCAGGTCTGAAAGGTATGGACCTAATCAAAGAGGAAGTCAATACCTTCAACCCAGGGCTCAGTATTATGGGTACTCCTTACTGGCTTACTAATGCCTCCAAGAGAGCCAAACAACAAGACGGAGCAATAGTCATTGCATTTGCTACACAAAAAGAAGCAGATATAGCTATTCAGAAAAGGCTATATATTGCAGGCATTAGTGTTAGAGTAGAAAGATTCTATCCATCTACTCCTTCATCCCAATGCAACAGATGCCAGGGATTCGGCCATAACGAATCATACTGCAAAAAACCTCCAGCTTGCGGACTTTGCAGTAATAATCATGCTACAGCCGGTCATTTCTGTATAATCTGCCAAGCAAAAGGCAAACCATGTCAACATCTAAGTGTCAAATGTGTTAATTGCAAAGGAGAACACAAAGCTAACTCGAAAGTATGTGAAGTATATCTATCAACCATCAAGAAATCCAACTAATGTTGTACAACAATACTCGCATTCTTCAAATCAATCTAAATAAGAGCCCTCAAGCAACCGAAAGTGCTCTCCAACTTGCTTTAAAACTCAAAATTGATCTCATAGTCATCCAAGAACCCTGGATCCTCACGAATCCTGAAAAAGACTTCTCCTCAACCAGATCTATCGCCCACTCTAGCTTCTCTCAACTCCTCCCAAATAATCCTTCGAACCTGCGTCCCCGAACTATGATCTACATTTCAAAAGGATTCAAACCGCTAGTAGCCCTAGCTCCCAACTCCCTTAATGATCCAGATATTCAAATCATTGATATCACTCAAGGAAAACATACAATACAACTCATCAATATCTACAATGAAGCGGACCAAGCCAAAGAAAAAGGCCACACCATCGAAAGATGCCTTTACAATACCCCTCTTACTCATCACACCATCCTCGTAGGAGATTTCAACTCCCATCACCTTTGGTGGGACCCCTTCTCTAACAAAAGCTCAAATGCCGACCTACTCACCGAATGGTTTGAGGATCACAATCTCATTCTATTTAATGAACCAGGCACGAGCACCTTTTATCGAACAAATATGATAAATCCAAGTGTCTTAGACCTTACTTTAGCCACAGATTCCGTATCTCCCTATATCACTGATTGGCAAGTCCTCCCTGATCTTGGATCAGACCACTTAAGCATTCTCTTTGAAGTAAAGGGCACTTTATCCCGTACAACGAATATAGCTCATCCAGCAAGATTCAACACAAAACTTGCGGATTGGGAAAAATTCGCGAATACCCTCAAATCGAAAATATCGATATCAACCACCTTAAATTCGAGTGATTATCTTAATATCGCTACCTCAGAATCCAACTCTCTTGATTCCCTTCTCGACAAGAGCCAATACATACAAGTATTGGATGAAGCTGCAAAAGAATTCACCCGAATAATCACATTAATAGAGTGATGAGCGGCTGAAACCAGTATACCGAGAATCAAGTCCACAAAAAGAGCTAAACCCTGGTGGTCCCCAGAGTTGAAAGCCCTTCTAAAACGACTCTCTAATGCATTTGAGAACGCCAAACTTTACCCGGAAGACGATATGTTCAAGAAAATCTATCAGTCAGCCAGGAATCATTACTTCCAAGCTATTAAAACAGCAAAGAAAAACCACTGGAATGAGTTCCTTGAAAAAGAGGATACCCAATCCATATTCAAGGCAATGTCATACACAAAAGATATACAAACCGAACGAATCCCGAATATCGATCCATCCCTCTAAACTAGAAAATTCTTTCGAGGGAAAATGCTCTGCATTTAGATCGACCCTATTTCCTCCTCCTCCATGCACCCCACCGCCCAATTGGGAAAGCTATAAACAATCTAAGAAATGGGAATGGCCTGATCTTACAGAGAGCGAACTCCTAAATGCGTGCTCTGCAAAAATCAAAGGAAAGACCCCTGGCCCCGATGGGATCACTCAAGATATCATTATTCAAGCGTACAAAGCAATACCAAAAGCATTCTTCACCCTCTTCAGTCATCTTATCAACCTTGGTTACCATCCTTCTTGCTGGAAACAAGCTACTGGAGCGATACTCAAGAAACCTTCAAAACCAGACTACTCGGCCCCAAAAGCTTATAGAGTTATCGCCCTACTAAATTGCCTTGGCAAGATAAGTGAAAGAATTCTGGCTCAAAGGCTTAGCTACTTAGCGGAGACTACACAATTACTTCATTACTCTCAAATGGGTGGAAGACAAAAGAAATCAGCCATCGATACAGCAATCTTACTCACTACCGAAATCGAAAGAAATTCAAGATCCAAGAAGAAAACCTCAACTCTCTTCCTGGATGTTAAAGGCGCCTTTGATCATGTATCTATGAACAAATTATTAGATATCTGCAAGAATCTAAACCTCCCAACCAGCCTAATCGCCTGGATCTCATCTTTTTTGAAGGAAAGGCTACTCAAACTCTCATTCGATGGCCAAATTGAAACCTTCAAACCGATCAATACCGGGATCCCCCAAGGCAGCCCTATTTCGCCAATCCTCTTCTTAATTTATATTCGAGATCTATTCTCAGCAAATTCAATCAAATATCTCTCATATATAGATGATATAGCTTTAACAACATTTTCAACATCCTGGAAAAAGAACATCATCTCCCTCGAAAGAGCAACTAAACAGATATATGCAATCACACAACAAATTTCGAAGGAAACTTTTTCTTCGAAATACGACCCTTTCGCGATCGATCTAGATCATAGCTATTAAACCAAATTGATTGCAACTGCCCCCAAGTGATTCTGACCAGTAGTTGTTGTGATACTGTCGTCGGCGCTCCAAACACGAAACTCGCACGAAAATTCGCGTAAAATTTTCACCTCAAACTATCAGAATAAGATCCTCAATATGAATAACTTCAACAATCCATCAATACTCAAGGATACAGCTATGATGGAGGCTTCTCCCGAAGCCTCCATCATACCAAACACGTATCCTACTGTTATTCTAGGTACCCCAATACCCTTAAGCCCTCCCCCGCCTTCTGAAAACCCTCAATTCGAAATCTCTAGCCCTAGTCTACCAACCAATCAGCCAACCAGTTCTGGAAGAAGAGTTGAAGACCTCAATCTACTTAGTGACCCCTTTATTACTCAAGATACAACCAATACTACCTATATATTCAATCAGAATAAGAAACATAGCCCTACAATGCCCCTTAGCAATCAGAATAAACAACCCAGAATAAAAAACAATCCAACTACACCTAAGGAAGCTATCTTAAAAGCAAGAGATCTTATAGTATTAGCGTCAACTCTTTCTCAATCATGTGATGAGCAATCGAAGCTATTAGATCTCCTAGAGATCTTTAGAGAATATACCGAAAAAGGAAAGCTCACCACCGCCTCCAATATCATCACCTCCCAAATCACTCATCTAGAATCCGCTACACGGAAAATCGAAACTCAAGCTAAAGCCCTAACCAAAGCTCCCTTGCCAATCAATACACCAACCACTAAATCGACATATGCAGCAATAACAAAAGAAGGAGAATGGAACCTAGTAGGCAAGGGAAAAACTATTAGATCTTCCCCAATAGATAAGAAGATCGAAATCACACAAAGACGCTTAATCCTGATCAAACCAGAGATCACGAACATTACCTCCTTTTCACCTATATCAATTCGAAACCAAATAAACGAAGCATTCCAGAAAACTGGAATTAAAGGCCCGGTTATAGCAGGAGTAACTCTATCGCTGAATAGAAATATAATAATTACTACAAATGCACCTTTCACATCACAACTTCTATTAGAAAAAAAGGCAATCTGGAGTAATCTCATCAAATTCGAAAGAATTCAAAAGGATCAAGAATGGCATAAGGTCATTATTCATAAAATCCCTATAAAAGAATTTTCTGGAACAAGAGGAATGGACCTCATTCTTGAGGAAATCAAAACCTTCAATCCAGAATTCAAGCCCATAGGAACCCCTTTTTGGCTTACACCATCATCAAAAAGAGCTCATCAACGGGAAGGAGCAATAGTGATTGCTTTTGCAACAAAATCAGAAGCAGAGCTAGCCATTCGGAAACGACTATATATCGCTGGCACTAGTACAAGAGTAGAAAAGTTCTACGAATCCAAACCAACTACACAATGCCAAAAATGCCAAGGATTCGGACATCAGGATACACATTGCAGAAGGGATCCCTCTTGTGGACTATGTGGAGGCAAACATATCACATCAGTACATCTATGTGTAGTCTGCAATATCAGAGGAAAGTTCTGCCAACATCTCGCTGCTAAATGCTCGAAGTGCCAAGGAAAGCATACAGCAAATTCAAGAACCTGCGAAATCTATCAAGCAATCCAACAAAAAGCAAATAACACCAACTTATGAGTTACACTAATATTCGAATTCTTCAAATAAATCTTAATAAGAGCTCACAAGCTACAGAGAACGTTCTACAGCTTGCAATAGAACTCAATATCGATCTTATTATGATTCAAGAACCTTGGATTATCAAAAATGGAATCGATTACTCAAATTCAAGATCTATTATACACTCACAGACAATCATATACAATTCCAGCAAACACCCTTTTCACAACGTAACTCTGGAGGAGCACATAGCCCCTCCACCAATTATGAAATCGCTCGCAGAGACGGGTTCCGCAGCCGCAGCAGTTAACGATATCTTCGAGAAGGTCGCCAGAGAAGAAAGGGAGAAGAGGGTGGTATTCGATGCTTTCGCTGCTTTTGCAGACGGATTAGTGAAGCAACTTAAGGGTGGGGAGCGCAAACGCGCGCTCGACTTGAAGGACATCATCGTAGACGCACTGCTGGGTCGCACCGGACACTCTCCGCCACCAACCGTTTCTTTCTCAGACTCAAGCAGGGCACACAGCTCTGCTTCTACATATGCCGGCGCGTTGAAAACGCGCACAAATACAGGTGCAGCTGGCCCCATAAAAGCTCCAACCACCGCGACAAGCTCCACACCTGTGAGTGGTCCGAGCGTCGACAAAAAGGAGGCCCGAAAAATCAAGGCGGAGAAGGACAGAATAGAGAGGACAATCCTCATTGCAGCGAACGGAGACGCTTTGTTGCAAGAGCCTAGCCCCTTTCTGCTTCGGCTCAAGATCACAAGGGCAGTCCCAGAACTCACCTTGGAGGAGATCCCGTACCTTCAGAGGAACAACACAGGCTGGTCGCTGAGGTGTAACACCCCAGCAACCCGTGAGAAGGTGATGGAGAAGCAGAACGCGGAGAGGCTGAGAACCGCTCTAGGAGCCACCGAGGTGCGCCGACTAGAGAAATGGTACTTGTATGCAGTGCCACAAGTCCCGCACGACTTCTACCGCGTTGGAGGCGCTCCCGCCCCCATTCCCGACGAACTCGTCAGGGAGGAAATCAAGTCCCAAACGGGCAAACATCCGGTAGTCTGCCGTCTTTCTCGAAACGGAGTACACCCGACGACACAAAGAGGGACCTGGATCGTAGGCTTCACCGCCTCGGTAAAGAGCTTTCAACTCTTTAACAGCAGCTCTTTCTCGGTGCTGCTAGACAAACCACGCAGCATTCAGCTGCACTCTACAGGCTGCCAAGGCTACTGCAACCCCTTCACTTGTAAGAAGACAGCCCGTTGTTCCAGATGTGGCAAGCAAAATGCAGAACATGCAGAGGGTGCTTCTCACGAACGCTGTACAAGAGATGCTCAATGTGCTAACTGTCACGGCCCGTTCGTTGCCGGACACAAAAATTGCCCCGCAGCCCCCAAAGTGCACGCCAAAAAGATCATCACTCAGACAGCCAAGTCCCTGGTTGCCATCCGCGCGGAGGGTAGGAAGGCGTACAACATGCTCAAGAGTGTCAAGGAGGCGGAGGTGACTAGGCCAACCCCAGTCTTACCAACCTCCTCCACGATTAGGGCCCCAGGAGCCCAAGTCACAGAGCACGAGAATGCTCGCCCAGCCAAGCGTCCTCGGGAACCGACTACACCGATCTCAGTGCAAACGGCGACAAGCACGAGAATTACGAGGAGTCGACCTGCGCCCAACCTTAATGAAGTGGCCTTAGCCAACAGAGTATTTGGAGAGACACTCACCTCTCCAATCGCTCCTACAGACAACATGGACACTACCCCCGTATGAACGAGTCGCCTTCAAGGGACTCGAACAAGGGTAGTGGGCTTACTATCGCTTGGGCTAACGTGGGCAAAGGCCACTCAAACCATATAACCTTGCTGCAAATAGCTTATGAGGCAAAAATCGATGTTGTCTGTGTCCAGGAACCAAGGAAATACTGGAACTCGACCACGCAAAACCACAACGCGTATGACAGGCACCAGCCAATCGACAGGTGGGACCTTCGTGGAGATCTCGAGGATGATGGACGAGGCCCTAGGGTCATGACGTACACCCGCAAAGGCGCAGGCTTGAAAGTATTGCAGATGCGCTCACTAGAGAACAGGGATCTACTCTGGATTCAAGTGAACGGGTATTTCATTCTGAACGCGTATCGAGCCCCACTGATGACTGACACGATGGATTATATAACGCATCTCGCCCCCAACGCTAAAACCATCATCGGTGGAGACTTCAATGCTAAACACCCTCTATGGGAACCTGGTGTAGGTGCTGCAAACCAAGGATCACAGCTTGCGCACTGGGCGGAGGCACAAGGGATGGAATACCTGGGTACACCAGGGCTAGCAACGCATGCGCGGGGCCATGTACTAGATCTCACGTTTTCAAATGTCCCTTTTGCTTTTACCGAAGTACGCGACGAGCTGCACTGTAGCTCCGACCACGTAACCCAAGTTACCACTCTAGTGAACCGAGGGGCGCGAGATCTGGTGCAGCACCATTACCGAGTGCGGGACTCAGATTTATGCCAACTTAACGGGCTAATGGCAAATAGGCTTGCTCATATGAAAGGATTGGATATAAAAACCAAAGAGCAAATCGATCAATGTGTCTATGAGCTCACTGACGCGTTGGAAGACTCCATTCGGATAGCTGGCAGACTTGACCGCAAGACAGGCAGAGCATCACCTTGGTGGACAGAGAAGTGCGCAGAGGCTCACCGCGAGCACGTACAAGCAAGGAACAGCTTGGAACCGGACCGAAGGATGAGAGCTGCGCACACATTGCGTAACACAGTCCGTAAGGCAAAGAAGGACTACTGGGCAATGCGCTTGGATGGAGTAAAGGACGACAAGGAACTGTACCAGGTCATTGGGTGGCATAAGCTCACCCCGGAGAATACTATGAAGGCTCCTCCGTTGATTATCGATGGACGAGAATACGTTGATACCAAAGAGAAGGCTAGTGCGCTGTTCACTGCGGTGCTCGATCGATTCAAAGCCGATGACGATTTGCCTGACGACCCCTTGGAAGGCAGCACGCAACGGGGCCCACTTCCGTGGAAGAGAAGGATTACCAAAGAGGAGGTCGAGAAACATGTGATTGATGTTTCAAGCACGTCGCCGGGGGTAGACCGGGCTACGGTCCGACTGCTCAAAGCATGCTGGGATAGTGTCAAAGCACCAATCCACGAGATATATGACTCCTGCTTAGCACTAAGTTACTATCCGGATGCTTGGAAACTTGCTGAGGTGGTCATGCTGCCCAAAGTCGGGAAGAAGGACAAGACATCTCCGCGATCATGGAGGCCCATAGCTCTGATCTCTTGCATAGCCAAGGGGCTCGAGAGATACATAGGCAGTCAAATCTCATGGACCGCGCTACGGCACAACGTGGTCAGCTCACAGCACTGCGGAGCGCTTCCCAAGAGGTCAGGCATAGATCTACTGGCCGCTTTTACACATGAGGCAGAGCTTGCACTTGACGCAGGGAAAATAGTGTCACTAGTGACTATGGACGTACAAGGTGCTTTTGATGCTCTGCTCAAGAGACGGCTGCTCAAACGGATGCTGAAACAAGGATGGCCCACCTCACTTCTCAGGATGATAGACTCGTTTCTCACAGGAAGACGAGTCAGGATCAGGCTGGAAGGGGTCATAACGAAGGAGTATCCGGTAGCCTGTGGAACTCCTCAGGGCTCTCCACTATCCCCAATTTTGTACATGCTGTACCTGGCTGAGCTTCTCAACCGAGATAAAGACACACAGTTCGGGTATGCAGATGATATCAGTATTTTTCACTGCTCAAAGGACTTTTCTACCAATGCGAAGGTCCTACAACGACGCGTCCGGAAAATCATCAAGTGGGGTGAAGATAACAAAATCTCATTCGCGCCCGAAAAGTTTGAGCTACTCCACATAACTCGGAGGCACACAACCGACAACCCGCCGTTGGTAGTCAACCGGGATTTGGTAATCACCCCTGTCCCAATTGCAACCACTGCAAAAACGACACCAACAATGCGATGGCTAGGGGTGTACTTTGACAGACGATTGTCCTTCTTACAACATGTCAAAGAGCGAACGACCAAAGCTATGAAGGTGTCTGCTCACATCAGGTCGATTGCAAGAACGGTTCATGGGCCGCCAGCGTCATATCTAAGGAAAGCGGTGATCGCTTGCGTGCTTCCGGTAGCGCTCTATGGAACCGAGGTTTGGTATGCAGGCATGACCAAGCCCGGTTTAGGTCAACACGGGCCTGATCGCTCCATGGACATGAAAGCACATTTGAAGCTGATAGACAAGGTCATCAACACTGCCGCACGAGGCACGATACCAGTATACAAGACCACGCCGATAGTCGCGTTGATCAAGGAAGCAGGTCTCCCCTCAGGGTGGGTGGCGTTGGAGAAGGCCAAGCTCAGGTTCGCCCTCCGGCTCCAGACAGTCGACTTTAGAAACCCTTTGGTAAGGCGGCTTGAACCCATCATCAGGAGAGCGGGGAAGAGGGCAGGCACTCCGAAAAGCCCTACAACTAGACTACAGCGACTTGGACGCCTAATCCCTGAGACGGAGAGGCCCCAACTGCTCAGGCCACATTTCTCGCGTGAATGTCGGACCAACCCTACGAAAGGATTTTCCAAAGAGGAGGCCGCGCTGGCGTTCAAAGAATGGTGGCCGCAGTTACCGTCCGAGGATTACACGATCTTCTCGGACGGATCAGAACGATGGGTCGATAGCCAGCACCATGTTGGGTACGGCTACGCGATATACCATGGCAGGCAGAGAGTAGCAGCTGGGAAAGGTCAGATCCACGAGACCTCACATGTGTTCGACGCGGAAGCGATCGGAGCGTGGCGTGGGCTCGAGCACCTGCTCAACCTGACCACGGACCAGCCCTCTGGCAAGATATGGCTCTGCATCGATAGCACCTCCGTCATATGGTGTATGAGAGGTAATGCCCCGACCACGTCACAGTGGGCCTTCCACAAGTGCCACAGAGCGATGGCAAAACACGACATAGAAGCTAAATGGTCACCTGGACACATGGGGATCGAAGGCAACGAAGAGGCAGACCGCCTGGCGAATGATGGAGCAATGGGCATGATGGATCGAGGCCTAGCTAACACCCCTACGGTAAGTGGGGTGCGCTCATCCTACAGAGAACTCTGTACTCAGGCGGAGGACTGCTGGTGGGGGGAAGCTAGGACTACGCTATCTAGCACCTACTCAGCATGGCATCCTTCATACAGCACAAGAGAGCCCAGGGAATTGTCACTGCCAAGGGGCGTGCTGCATCGACTGTTAGCAATGCGAACGGGGCACGGCGACTTCGCAGACTACCACCGCCGGTTCAAGCACGGGGACAACCAGCTGAGATGCACCTGTGGGCAAGAGAAAGAACCCTTCCACTTTTTCAAATGCCCCATCAACAATGAGACACGTGGTCAGTGGCCAACTGCACCACGAAGCGCCATCACCACCACCTGGCAGACGATCATGTATATCCACAAGCTTCTACGTGCTCCAGACACGTTCGCAGAGCTCTTGCGGGTCTCAAAGTTCTATACCCAAGTATGCCCGCTGTACTGACCTTGTGCCACCCCTCAAAATCCCTCTCTCCCCCTCGCTCAAAAGCAGAGCACAACACGCCACAATCCACTTGACTTCTCCAACTGGGCTATCCGACAACTTAGCTCTTCCCCTCTCTCCATTCCACTAAAAACACACACTGGTGTGCAAACACTGACGCCTAGCTAACCAAATGGCGCCCCCCCTCACTCCCCACCCTCTAGCTACAGAATGGGAATATATAAAGATAGGCCTTGCGAGCCCTTCCACACGCACTTATAAAATAACAGTCACACACATTCGCCACAACTGAGTGGACAGGGTGTTCACGCAAAGGGACGAACAGTCCCCTTCTCAGATGCTAAATTGTTAATTAAGGAGGTCAACAGCTGTCTGTAGTTAATCCCCTTAGCTTAGCACGTCTAAATACCCCTCGGGAGGTCAGAGTAGACGTTAATCACAATAATAATAATAATAATTTAATTAAAATAATAAGGATCCAAAAAAGTGAAAATTCATCAATTTTTGGTGTGATTTCGCTTAGTGTGCAATAAGTGATGATCGGAACTCTTACTTCGGCACTATATTCAATCTTCGGATATCTGTTATATAAAAATACACAGCAGTCTTCAACTTGCTAGTCTATAAAGTAATACAACTCCATCAAATCACTGCTTCCTTAACCAACAAACGCAATTTATTTCGAACAGTTCTTCCCATCCTCTTCATCCTTTTGTCATATACAGCAACAGAGACAGCATTCACAACAGCACACACCACCAACAATTGCAGCACTATTCCATGAAAGATTAGTATAAAATACTATTTTATTTGCAAGCAGACGAAAATCGGCTGAATTGGGGAGAACTTACTCTCTTTCTGTACGAAAATGGTGATGGTGATGGTGATGTCCACCCCCTCTTAGATTTACTGGGGATTCGGATACTGATGATACAGTCATTTCGTTGACTAGTTTCTAAGAAAAGATATTAGTGAAAGCAGGTGCTTGAAGTTAGGGAAGAAGACAAACCGGTTGTTCGGTATGAATAGGAGAAGGAATTTGTGGGAGATTCATGGAAGACGGCGTATGAGGGCGCAGCGGCTGTTGCGAATCTATTGATGAAGACATAGTGGACATGAGAGTATTGAAGCTTTATTTCAAGTTCTCAAGTCTAGTTTCAGGTCCAGGAGATAGACGATGATAGTGTTTGGGCAACCAAAAGATAAGCTTTCACAATAAGAAATCCAACAATTCAAGCCAAGATGAACAAGAACATCAAAAAGCTTATTTGAAAGATTTATAAGTAGAGACATATGATAAGCGCTGGGCTGTCGGCAGTGTTTGCAACTTTCGGACTACCGGCCTAAGAGTCGGTCAAGCCAACAACATTCTGAAGGCCATTCCGAATGTTGGCTATCCTCGATCGAACAGACTTCTGCTTGTACAAAGCAATGATAATATGAAAATCATCCATTGTCTTTTTAAGAACGACTACTCTACCCGGCTGAATTCCACAGAAACGTCGAATGGCAATCCAAAAATTGAAAAGTCGCTATCCGCACGTAGACGGCCTAAGTGGCCTCTTGGCGGTTTACTATGGCGGTGCAAAAAAGCTTAGAATTGCCGCCCGGTGGTGTATTGAGGTCAATCAATGAAAAGCGCTGGAATTCATCATTTGGACGGGTTCGACAAGACCTAGAGGATTTATAGCAGTTCCTGCGTCCAAACCACTAAAAGTTTGGCTTGAATGAATGTTTATTAAATGAAGCCTGAGTAAAGTTGAAAGTAAATACAGATTGGTGAACAACTAATAATCCTGATCTTCCATCTCCTCATCGTCCGCCATCCTCTCAATCTGATAAGTTCGACAGTCGAGACAAGCAAACTCTTTATTATAATAATCATTTTCCATTTTCTTTATGGTGGGTCCATAGGAAGATGATCCTCCTCGTCTCCAAGATCGTATCTCTTTTGCGGGCTGCTTGACACTCTCAACCTTCCCAATTTTTTCTGTGATTCCCTCGACCAACTCCCAAACTCTCGCTCTGCTCCCCACTTCCAATATCCCCTTTTGTAGATTTTCGCTCAATCATATATTGCTTTCCAATCGAGCCTTTGTGATTTCAGCGCAACAAAATCTTCAACAAATTGTTTGTGCTCATCGTCCCAATTTCCTTCTTCTAATTTCGAAAGATCAAACTGAATAACGTACGTCTTTCAGGCTTGTTCCAATTTCATCGTTGAAGTTAATCGACTTCCCAAAATTATGGAAGTCTCTTTGAGAATCAGATGTCGAAAGACCTGTTGAGATAGTTGGCCGAAATCCACGAGATACATAACGGAGGCCCACGCTGTCTTTGGCTTGGAGATTGAATAAAATCATGTTCCTGAGTTCGAGTGGAAGTTTTGAGAACGGATCCGTGGGGTTTAAATATACTGACTTTGGCAGTGTCCTGCATGGTTTTCTCATGTAGACAACTTGGTCATTTCGACGATCGCGCGGTGCGTAATGGTAACTCTCCAAGGCCATGCGATAGAAACCTACGACATCATGAGGGTTTGCCGCCATGTACTACCAATTCAGAAGTTAATCCATGACCAAGACATTCTAGAGAAATCGAACGATGGGAGACCCCAATTCTGTGCCAAGAAAATGGGGCCGGAATCGTTGTCTACATTCGTCTGCAATAGGTTCTTACTTGATAGTTTGGAAACGGCAAGAGCCACATACTGACCTCTAAAGAGTCATAAGCTAGTATTGACGAACGAGCTTTGTCACTAGTGCTTACATACCAAAGGGCCATAAATCCTTGAAAATTGACCCTTCCCGTCGAAGCTTGGATACACGTTCGAAGACTTTCCAGCAAGCATCGTTAAAGTACACCGAAGAATTCCTCCCCATCACCTATGATCTGGTAGTTCAGAGAGAAGAAAGATCCTGCGCCGTAAGGATCTCTTGGAAGATTTCCTGGCTCGTAGTGATCCTGCATTGTGGTTGTCTGATCTGTAATGAAAAATCACTGCATTTTCCGTAATCGGCCCGCATCTTTCTCTTCTGGACCACTCTTGGGCTTTTTCATGATGCAACGAGATGGATTGTACCTACCTTCATTTCTTCCCCCGAAATACGTGGCCGTTGTACCCTCCATTAAAGACACAACCTAAACCAGCGATATGCACACTATTCCTCCCGTCCACAGTGATATCCTCGCATCCACGTCATTCATCCGCTTCCAAGTAGGAGGATGTGTCTTCAGAGTATCCAGAGTCATACAATCTATTTGAATAGCCCCAACTAGCTTCTGCAGCTTCATATCTTGACAGGCATCGTGCTAAATCGAACGATACGCCACAAATTTAGCAGCAGTTTTCAAAATAACCCACGATGGACTTTTTAATGCGGATAGCAATTAGTATTGTATCTCAATATGAATTGATGTACAGGATTTTGATGTTCTCAGACGAATTAGCTTCTCATATTAGTCGTCGTCATTGCATGACAGACGTGCGTGGCCTCAACAGATAACTTTTTATCTTCATGTTTAGAGTTCTCAGCGTCGACGCTGAGACGTCATACCAAAGCAACCATGGATATCCACAATCCTGAAAGTGAGTACTGCCGAGCAGGCTCCAAATACCTTACTGCCCCCTATATTAAGGTCCGTCAATTGCTATGGGAGCCTAGGCTACTGCCCTGTTCCAGCCTTTGGAGAGCTTGATAGGCTGGCTTTAAATTAAACATATTTGCACAACTTTAACCTGCAGCACAACTGTTTGGATATCGAGGGGTTATATGCCTAAGTAATAGATAAGTTACAATAGCTATACGAAGAAAGGCACAAGTGTTTAGATGTCGGATAGGTCCGAGCGCCCCCGAAGTCTATGCCGGATATCTGCCGATCGACCCCTCCGAACATCCAAACCTCTAAACTATCTTCCACAGTATCTGAAGCAAACGAACTCATTCGCACTTCCTGTGAAACATCCTCCTTAAACCTCAGATTAGCCTCACAGAACCAAAGAATCATGGCCCTCGAACACGGAAACCCCGCCGACCTCCTCCCTATCCACTGGAAATCGCAAATCACAACCTGGTTTGCAGAAGATACTCCTTCCTTCGATTATGGCGGATTCGTCGTTGGAGATGACGAACGAACTGCGACTTTATACGGAAAATCGCGAGGCATATTGGCAGGCGTACCATTCTTCGACGAGGTATTTGCACAAGCTGGATGTTCGGTGGAATGGCATATGAAGGAGGGAACGTTGGTTGATCCTGGCGCATCCGGAAAAGTGGCCGTGGCTACAGTTACAGGGCCAGTACGGAAATTATTATTGGGGGAGAGAGTTGCGCTTAATACATTGAGTCGCTGTTCAGGGATTGCGACGAAATCAAAGGATATGGAGATTTTGGTTAGGAAGGCGGGGTATAAAGGGATTCTTGCTGGAACGAGGAAAACTACACCGGGGTTCCGGATGGTGGAGAAATATGGAATGATTGTTGGGGGTGTTGATGGACATAGACATGATCTGTCTAGCATGACTATGTTGAAGGATAATCACATTTGGGCTAGGGGAAGTATTACCGATGCCGTTAAGGCTGCGAAGGCCGTCGGTGGGTTCTCACTAAAGATTGAGGTAGAGGTTGATAGTGAAGAAGGTGCTGATGAGGCTATTGCCGCTGGGGCTGATATAATTATGTTGGATAACTTTTCAGGAGATGGGTTGAAAGTAGCTGCGAAAAGTTTACGGCAAAGGTGGGCTGGGAAGAGAGAGTTCTTATTGGAGTGTAGTGGCGGACTTACTTCTGAGAACGTGGAGACTTATATCAATAACGGTAAGCTTGGTTCAATCCCTCTTAGTAGATCGTTCCTAATTTTCACATTTAGACATCGATATAATATCCACGAGTTCGATACATCAAGGTGTACCTCACATCGATTTCTCTCTGAAAATCGATCATTAATGAATATATAAAGATGAAATAATATACATTACTCCGCATAGTACATGTCACCACATCTTCTCTTTCATGAGCTTTAATTGCGATCAAATAGTAGGTCTATATCCCGGCTACATAAGCACAAAGACTGAGATTTTCCCTTTCATGTGATAGAGTACTCAGATTGAAACCTGCCTCGATGCTCCATCACGAGCTGTCCAGTTGCTCACAGTCAAGAAAGGAATCAGCTCCCCCGTCAAGTATATGAACCTCGCTATTTTCTCTTCGGGCGCCTCCCATCTTGTTTCAGAATAGTCTCTCATTCCATCCTATCCCAAAAACAGACCATTTTTTCTACGAAAGTTGAAGTGATACCAAGCTTGACCTTATGATACTCGATATGCACTAGATTTCACGTCATTAGTTTTCCCAGCATTCCATAATAATAAGGACTGTGCGCTCACTCATAAACAACTTCTGCTCCCTTCCTCATCCCACTACCAACCCACATCCCACAATTGACCTTTCCACTATATCTCTCATCTCCTGTCTCCATTTCAATAAATATCCTAAACTTATAAGTGTTTGGATCAACTTGATCGGCCAACGCAGGGTCTGCTAGCTGAGCTAATATTTCAGAGGGTCCAGTTCTCCATCCGTGAGTTTTTATCACAATATAAGCTGGTGGATCATCATGAGTCTGTAGTAAGTAATTTGTTTCTAGACGAGCTGATCCATCGGGTATTATTAATTGGCTATCTTGGCCTCCGGGCTGTGACATATTAGTGATGAAGACGGAGACGGAGAAGGAAGTTCAATGTACTAAAACTATTCCTGATCCCCATGATCCAGACCACATACCACCTGTAAAAGATATCCAATTTCGATGTCCAAATGGTGTTGGTCCGACTGAGATCCGAGGATTTAGGGAAACAGACATACGAAAATCGAGATTTAGACTGGGGTGTGGGAGTGATAAATCTGGATGGGGATATGTAGATGCGACTTGGTTACCTCTGTGAGCGATTAGCACTCTAATTATTGACAAGAAATTTTTTCATTCAAAATTGAGATTTGAGCAGTTGAGTACTGGCTTTTCTAAAGCCAAAAATTTCCAATGAGAGATTTCCGTGGAATTGAATGAACAATGGGGATGATTTTATGGTAAATGACGCATTAAATAATATGAAACAAAATACAATAATCACTGAGATGTTCTCAGAAAACGCTGAATGACATACTTAGAACCATAATCTATATTCCACATAAACGGTTGATCATGCGCTAGAGACTTCCGCTCTTGAGTTGTTGAATCTTGTATTCCAGCAGATATTCGAGGGTTATCAATATCAATGCTACCCCCGAGGTTTCCCCCTGCGTCTTGAGGTCCATGTACAATCCAATCGTCTCGTGGTGTCGAAGGATTCATTGCGGGTTGAAGTTTCAAGTGATTTATTTCTTGTTGACGGACTTTTGTTTTTTAAAGGATGGGTGACAGTGGTGGAACACGGGATTGGAAATATATGAATGATGAATATGTTTGGCTGAGGTCCTCGGATTCTATATGATACACTAATTCGGGGAAGGGCGTGCTTGCTTGGGCTCAGATCAATACCTTCCTCGTACACATAGATTCATGAGAAGTCTAGAAAACTAGTGTCGTTATTTTGTCTCGCCTCGAAAACAGAAGTTGCACCTACAACACAACATTTTGGTCTAACCCAACACAATATTTCGAAGACCTGATGCAACTTGTTCTGCAGCATGTCCTTGGCACAACACAATGTCTGGTGGGGGCTGACATAAGCCGCATAGTTCGTGTGCCGTCCGAAAATGTCCGGCTGAAAATCTTTCCCCTCCATCCCAGCGCGGATATATACTTTAACAAAGAATCCCGAACATCAAACAAAGCAAACACAAGTCTGCCCGGTTGGCACAATTGGTTAGCGCGTGGGCCTTTTAAGCCGTTATATAGCATATGAAAGCCCAAGGTTGAGAGTTCGAGCCTCTCATCGGGCGTTTGTAATACTTTTTGGTCATTTTTTTCTGCCTTTTTTTTTAACCCTTCATTTGCCTTTCACGTGACTTCAACACGCCGCTGTGATTTCGGCTATTTTTAGTGCAGAATTAGTCCAATACCTTCTCCACACTTTTCTTTTATTCTTCGAAAGTTTCCTGGGAATCCCACTCGGAACTCCACTAACTGGAACTAATCCTCCGCTAATTATCAAATTTTTTGCAGGCCTTTCCTTTACATCTGTCAATTCAATATACTTCCACATAACAGGGCGCTTTCATCAATAATTAGAGAACGCGCCCGGCTAGCTCAATCGGTAGAGCGTGTGACTCTTATGATTCAATATCTATGAGTTCTTCTGAAATCACAAGGTTGGGGGTTCGACCCCCCCGTTGGGCTCAATCCCCTTCGATATATATCTTTTTTGATCCTCGTCTCAGTGCTATTTTTAGCATTTTTTGAAACTCAGAGAAGTAGAAGGAGTATCTCCAATGACAGCAACCTCAAACGATCTAGCAAGAAAAAATCTCGAGGCCCCTTTAACCTTTAACTTAAGTCCATTAATTGAGTACCATTTCTCACATCACGGTTCCTCGTGGGGATGCTTCCACATTCTATCAGCTTAAAACGCCCAGCTCAACCATTGTGCCAACCATGCAGACTTGTGTTTGCTTTGTTTGATGTCTGGCGGAGCATGGCGGGGCCCGCCCCGCTCTTTCAAAAATTCCCAGTCGAAAAGTTGATCAAAAAGGAGCAAGACTCATCCAAGGTCAACCCCAAAATGACACCAAAAGCTTTATTCTCTCAGGCGCGAGTCGAACGCGCGACATCCAGATTACAACGTACAATTACAGTCTGACGTCATAAACCAACTAGACGACCGAGAGTGTTTTCGAGTTGTAGCTCGAATGGTCACAGTTTGTTGTGTTTGCTTGCCCCGGGGCCAGAGTTTAAAATAATATTTAGTTGTATGCAAATATCGTGGGGCTGTGGGGTGAAGGTTTCTCCGAAGAGAATCTGCGTGGAGTCGAACATTGCAAGAGCTAGCCTCAAGCAATCAAAGTAATAATGCTGATAGCGGAATTAACCATCCACCTTCATGCTCTATGGTCAAGGGGCCTTCTTTTTACTCAATGGTTCTGTCGTTTACTTATTCAGCTTATGTTGGCCGATTCTTCGGTAAACGAGAATCACCCCTCAAAATTAATAAGACTTCCATTCCGAAATCCATTGCTCTCGTTCAAGTAGTCTTGACGGATGAGGCAAGCCGCCCAAGTATGGTAGTCTTTCTGAACTTGTTTTGGTTAGGATCTTGATGTATGTGTACTTTCAATAAGTCAAAAAACTGTAGAGAAGTTTGAATCTGCAATGAACTCAACCTCTTGAAACCCTGGAATACATAGAACTATTTGGGATATTTTCATCCGGTAATTACCTCAGATTCAATAGACCCTTAAGAAAGAAAATACACCCCCCATCTCCCAAAAAATCAAATTGATTCTTGTACCCGCGATCTCTACAAGTGACTTTGCCTCCCTTTTGTGTTCTAAATTCCTCTTTTCAAGGTAACACGATCAAATAAGCTATACATGCACCAACCTAACTCTAGCATCAAATCGCCATATCCGGCTCGAGATCATAATGTCGAAAAGCTGGGAAACCCGCAATAGATATGTCAAAATGCAAAACGTAGTTACATCCCACAGTATTTCATCTCAACCAAAGCTATTACCAACCTTAAATATTAGAAAGCTCCATCGACATTATGTTTCCAGCCGATTTGCTTCATCCATTACCACTTTCTTGTCTCAGTATGGAATCACATGATATCTTGACTATGATATCCTAAATGCAGCTTAGGAATATCCATACAAAGATATTGAAAAAACTATATCGGCTAGCAACTTATAATATAAGCAGCCTCCATGAGCCATCGAATCAAAGCTGCAAGCTCTAATGGCAGGCGGACGGAATATGTGTCTAGGTCCGGCGGAAATATCCCACCCGCCCCCCACAACGTACTGAAAATCTCGGATCATCCCATATGAAGGAACCACAGCCCAGTTCTTGGGGTTTAGACCAAAAGCATGGATGAATTCATTATTGAAAGGGAACTGTGTCATTCTGAATATCAAGAGCAATTTTATCTATTGTCCATCGAGGGAAAACAATGGAGTGTTTGAGAGTACAGACCAAAAAGGTAAGAGATGATGAGGAGATTGGTTGTTGAAATGCATTGAAATGCATTGAATTTATAAGAATAAAATTATTTGGAGCTTGATGAGCACTCGTTTGCAAGGAAGGATTTGATGGTTGGATGCGGGATTGTGCGGTTATGCGAGGATTTCGCATTACTAAAAGATTTTTGCTCTATGGTTGGCCGGACTCTGTTCTGATGTCGACTGTTTCGTGTTTACATTTGTATCCAAGCGTATAAAAAGTCTCTTTTACATTTTCCAATATAATGGCATGTGAACTCGCCCTTGATCTATTTACTGGCTAATCTGCAGTCAATGTAATCGATACCTCAAAACCATCTCTAGCTCAAGAGCCCACTTTCAATGATACCGCTAACTCTCTAACGGACAATATAGTATGGAACAGACCTATTGCTCGTGGGCTCCGTAGTCCCTTTACGATTCCAACGATAGAGACCCACAATAGTCCTAGGAACCAAACCCCGAAAATATCGCCAGTTGATCTCTTTGTGATACATCGAGATGTGTAAGTAATGGCGAAAAATAAGAACCCCATGAGCTTCCGACCAGCATCCTGTGGTTGCCGCTGCGATACTCCTATCACCCAGATTATGAAACCTCACGACCACTTCCGTCATTCGCAGGAAATGTTCACGTGTAGGCATTAGTGCGTTGTAGGGGAAAATAACATGTGTGGGTATGAGCTGAGTGTCTTGATGATTCCCGTCCAGTGTGTATTCAGGACTGTTTGGGTCTATAGCCTCGAATCCCATCTTATCATAGTTCGTTGGTTTCCAACCTGGTACTTGTTCGAGAGGTTGGGAAGAACTGTAGAATGCAGCTGGCATGTGGGAGCATTGAACATGTTCTCGAAAGTTTTTACCGAGAAGCAATACGTTGCCGCCTTCGCCGTTGGGTACAAACGTTACCAAGAGGGCATTAGCTGGGATATTTGGACTTGTTCGTATTGAAGACCTCTGCCGGAATTATTGACTCCATCTGTTGGAAAGAGAGAAGACATTCTTAGTTTCAGAATCTAATAATGGTTAGCTGCTATAGTACAATGGCGATGAGTGGATATCAGTTCAGAGGAAAAGGGTAGCCATATTGTTTGAACTTTGAAGTGTAAGCTTAGAAAAGGAAACTCTGTTGTGTAATGTTGTTGTTGTTATAATTACTTTTTATATTTTATTTTATACACAGGAATTATAATGTTGGGTGGAAACAATGTGAGTAATACAGTGTATGGCTTAAAGGAAGGAATTGAATTGAAAGTTGGTCGATCTAGACGGGAAGGAAATCTTACCATGTCGTAAGCAAACAAAAATGGAAAGGATGGAATAACTTTTGATTAAGATGAGAAGATATAAAGGAAGGACATTCGAAACCCAACTAAGACCTTGTTTTCTAGTAGAAGAGATTATCTTCTGATGAGTGCGAACCTCAGATGTTTTAATAGCGGGGACGGCAGTTCAACAATAAGAAAAGATCTATTGGGTTTATTGAGACCAGAAAGAGCATCCGATTGAATTGATTGATTCTCTAGCTAAGCAGTTAAGCTGCGAGTATATATTCAAAAAAAATAAAAAATGAAGGAGTAAGGTTAGGTATTCAGCCTTCGGAATTAAAGTGCTTTGAAATCAAAATATTGAAAGCAAACAAACAGTATACCAAAAAGGAAAGAATGAATTAAAAGTTGAGTTTTGTTTGCTCCTTATATGCATCATGCAATATATATGCATATGCTGCCAAGATCCCAGGAGGTCAACAAGATTTAATCCTTGGATTCATCTTATATGTTGGATAGATCCAATGGAATATTCCAGTAGGATAAAGTATTGAAACATTAAAATATTAAAGATTGAGTCAATAGACATACTTAATGACAAAATCGAATAGTTTCGTGTTGATTTGTTCCTTATTGAACATTGGACAATCAAGCAGGCAAGATACCTATTCTAGATAATATACCACAGCAGATTTTGATGATGTGCTCTAAGAAAGCAAAAAATACTTTCATGATGTATATTATATTTCATCACTGATGTACAGAAAATATTTATATGTGATGTATATTATGTATATAACTTTATATAGGCAAATGTCCAAAAGTGAGATTCCTAAATATTGAAGTATATGTGACCAAAAGGGTGTTTATAGACCAGCAATTGTATTTAACTTAGAATCTACAGGTGAAAAGCACCTGTAGATGGGGATAGCTACTCTATATACACACAAATGAATGGCCTAGCCGCAATGGCTAGGCAAAAAGAAGTCATATTTATCCCTCCAATGATCTTACTTTACCGATAACCATTGATACCTAGTACTTGTCCGGATCTGATCCTCAGGTCACCTAAATCGTATACTAATCCCGAGTAATCGTATCATGTGTGGACATGGTTAATGTACCTGAGGTTTCTTATATAATAAGGGTGGGAGGAAAGCAGGGATTTCCGTCACAATAAAGCTTCGAGAAAGAACTGGATCATAAAATTTATAATATAATTAAAAGGTATTTATCCCATTTTATATTTATCTACTCGTTTACAAATATCGTTTTTTTATTTGCAATAAATATATTCAATCATCATATCAATATCTTCAATACGATTCTGAGTTTCTGTCGAGGTATTTGTTACGACCAAGCCTAACAGCTACTCAGATGACTAATCTCACTGTCACATGACCCAATATTGTCCCACCTAGAATCACTCAACTATAGGCAGTGGGATATGATGGGAAGAGATGGGATGTATAATACGAAGGACTATATAATCATGATGAATTTCCTTTGTATAGAGCTTCGTGCTCAAGATCAATCATTTAGTATACTCTACTATTAGTTACGAATTGCATCATTGTCATGTCACGAACCACGACTAATATTATACAATAAAAACAAGTACGGGGGTTTAGGCTGTTGTTTACCGCGGTTTTCTTATCGGTAAGGAATCCTAGGACAAGTGTCCTAGGATAAAATGTGTCCCAGGATAATATTTATCCTAGGACAAAACGATTAGGCAACCATGAAGGCATAGGACAAGTGTCCTAGGGCGTTAGGCGTCCCAGAATAAAGTGTCCTAGGATAATACTTGTCCCAGGACAATTATCCTAGGAGCTATATTACCCCAGGATGAGAATCGTCCCAGGATTAGTGTCCTGAGGCCAATAAGAGATCACGTGACGTGATAGCTCTGCTAGCCAGCAAGCACAGCTAGCATTCAGGAAGAACGATTAGTATATAGTTAGAATAGTTTCATAGTTTAAGAGCTTCGTGCTCAAATTAGTTATCAATTAGTTTACCTATATCCTACTTGATCTAGTAACGAATTCACTTCCAAGTGAATACCAATGATAAAGCCTTAACCCACAACTACCAACCTGACGAAACCTTAGGCAGCCGCTGCCTCCAATACAGTATCGTTACAAGATGTTGAAAGCGGCGTCTGGCTCGTGCACGCACGTTGTCTGATGCGGCGGCCACTAAACTCGGGGGGCAAGCACCACGACTGAGATAATAATTTAAGTTTTTACTTTAATTATTATTTAATTTTAATAACTTTTATTTTAATAAATAAAAAAATTTATAAGATATCAAGTTGTACAAGATACGGGGGATCTCGGCTACGAAAAAAACCATCTTATCCCTTACCGCCTGAGCAGATCCGCAATTGATTTCATGCACCTCTTAAACCCCAGTCAACTATTCATGCTTCTATGACAAATAATGATAAATCGGGAATTTACGCTAGACACATAACAGGGGTAATATCAATCACAACACAACTTCAATCAGCTTCAGTAAGGTCTCCTAGGTACTTAAAATACAATTCTTGAAAGATGGATGACTTTCTGCATTATGACAACACAACGATACCTTCTGATCGCGCTAAACTCATTGAAACAATGCTATCAGTTGATCACAACTATCAGTATAAGCAATGGGTTGAAAATCAAGACGTCATTGTACAGACAGTCCAACATACTCTAAGGGGTATACCTCGAGATTTGTCCTCATTTGATCTTTTCTGTCGTTTATTTCGGACTTATTATGAATTATGCAAACAACATCATCAAGAATGGATGACCTCTGCCGAAACTATTGTCATCGGGTGGTTGATAAGTATGATGATGCAACAGATCATTGCAAACGAGACTAGAACTTCCCATGGACATGGCCGAGCGACGGCTGCCTACAAACGGATCGCCAACTCTACTGGTTTAACACCATCTCAGATCAAAGCATTGCGCAGAAGTTTCAGATTTTATAGTTTCTGGCTTGGAATGTTCATCTTCTTTAATCCAAGAGATTTGCGAAAGTAAGTAAGGCGAATTATATGTATCCTTTGATGATTTGAGTGCTGACCTAATCACAGATGGACGTCCCACAACGGCCTACAGAATCCCGATATATCAATAATATTTCATGGGGTAGAAAAGGGTACAACATACGAGCAGCGACAATCCTCGGACGAAATAGCATTTTCAATCTACTCGGAGATTTTGAAACACCTGGGATATTGTTCAAACGAGGTTCAGAGACTTGGAGTATATCAATCGAAATATAGTTCACAGCTCGCAACTTGTAATACTATATATGAAAGGAAAAAACCATTAGGTAAACTATTGATTCATAGGTATATACCCTTTGGCTATAGCATTGACTAGTGAATAGTACTTCAACAATCAATCAACATCGCGGAGAAAATGATTTTCGGTCCTCAGCTGTTCTTCTTCCCCACCCCGACCATTGCACGATGCGAAAACGTGGCTTCCTTGATGATAGACACGGCTCAGATGGATGACTTCTTTAAATCATTTCATTTTAAAGAGAAAGAATATGAAGGCAGTCTTTCCACATCCATCTGAGGCCAAGGAAGAATCTCCCTGCATGTATATCATAGCACCAATTTTCCAATCGACCGTAACGACCTGCCCTTCACAATAATACTCGATGAGCGGGTCCATCTCTTTGATAATTGGTATCGCTACAGCTACAGTTCCCGGGGGCATACCAAATGAGCCTTCAAACATAACGAAGATCTGAGGAACCCAACCATTTACATCAACTCGAGCAGGATCCAAAATTTGAGCGGCGGCTGAACTGTTCCCATGACGAACCTGTACAGTAGCGAAGAGGTTAATAGATATATAATATACATTATGAATAATATACATTATGAAAGATAACATACAAGACGTTGATGGTTATTTCTGAATTCTCTTTGGATTTCTTTACAGCTTTCCCGGGGTGGAAGTGCTGTTAGTGGTATTTCAGTAGCAGCGTTTACATCGTTCCAAATATCTATTGCAGCTATATGAATTAGATTCAGTATCTCCTGTGTCGGGGGTGATATGATTAATCTGGTCTCCCGTATAGCTGCCATCCTGAAGCTTGTTGGTTTGTGATTTAGGATCTCCGTATATGAAGTTGTTTTAACAACGCATTATCAATTTACCGATTTTTCACATGATCTTTAATTATCCTTCCTATAGTCCTAGGATCGATATCGATTGTGTCCAGTTGTGCGAACCGCGTTAGTGCTTCTGGACCGTGCGCATTTGGCACCTCATCCATCTCTTGTTATCTGGACATACTCTTTGAACCACCATCCCATACGATTTTCTATCAGAACACATAATGAATAATCCTCTCAATATCATTGCGGGCATTATAACAGTCGCTGGCCTTGTTTATTCTAATAGCAACACATTCTGCGGGTCTCAACAAACCAGGATGATCCCTAAGTGTTCCAAGATATGAATCAGTATATCCCAATCCTCGGTCAAATTTTGAAACAAATGAAAACGAATCTTGACGGTCGTGGTACGAGGCTATCCGAAAGCCAGGTCGTATACTTTTAGCAAGCGAAACCAACTCTCGAGGGGCGTGATCTTGCGATAAGAACTTTAAGAACAAGATGGGGAGACTTTCTAAACACTCTCAAGATGGCGGAAGGAGCTTTAGGGATAGCATCAAACTACATTTCAAAACAAGGGTATCACGATTCTCGGACGAGGCTAGTTGGTTGGAAAGAGAGTCTTCCTCTTGCATTAGACATGGCATTACTGTAAGGCATGGGCAATTTCCAAAAAGATTATCAGCTAATGAATTATGCAGTATTTTTATGTCCACCAATACAAAACCATTCAAAGCGCTTGAAACCAAGATGGCGGCGGTCGAGGGCAAGATATCTATCGACCTTCAGGTTGTGAACACACGTCTGAAGGAGTTGTTAACGCCTGAGCCAGTGAATGGGAAGGACACACAAATCATAACCCAAAAAGAAGAGTAGCGAATGGCAATTTTTTTTTCAATTTCTCTCATTCTCCCAGACAGCAACGAATGGAGCAATACAGATAACAGGTTATTCGGCGAAGCAAAAGCAATCTATGGTAATATTGGACAGATACCGACTAATACTGATAGTGCTAGTCATTCCTCGATGGCAATAGTGTAAGCGGCAGAGCAAGAATAGTTATGGGAAATATGAATGGCTCTAACTTTCTTGCTTTTTTGAAGAAGATATTTGGCCAATGTGCAACGTGTTCTTATCAATCAAACCACTTCGACTACTTTTGCTATATATTGTGAGAGGATGCGAAGGCTACTCGATGTCTACTAGCAGATGGTAGGTTATCTTTTCTATTGCGCCAAGAATACGACGAAAACTAGCTAATATACAGTGGCTAGTCGCAATGCCTGCCTCGAGGAGCCTATTCGAACGCAGGAATGAAGCAACAACTTCCTATTCCATCTGTAGCAATCTATTTTCTACAATCTGTGTTTTAGATCATCAATATCATTGGTACCCTCATGGCTCTGGCGCTTCGATCATCTGTGACATTTCTGACTTAGATTCGAGCTCATTTGCCTCTAGCGCAGCACTCTTACATTCCCGAACACGTGTTCCTTTACCCTTGATGACCTCTTTGACAGAACACTCCACTTTTGGCTCTGGCTTATCTGCCTCTAGTATAGCACTCAAAGATCTACCGTTTGCACTAATGTATTCGATGGCGGTCATCACCATGTGCCTGATGCCGGCGCCTCCACTTTCGCTCCTGGCCCTCAAAAGTCAGGAGGAACCCACAACCACCGGTGGTAGTCGAGTATGAATACGATGAGTACCGCATAGAGAAAAATATGGCCGAAGGCAAAGCTAAGGATGTGGGAAGGTCGCCTGAAGTCTTAGCAACACAAGCACGAAAGAAAGGTCGGCCACAGAAGGCTTTAAATCCGCCTTTCCCCTCCCTCCTTCTCTCTCCTTTTGGCGCCAAAACAGATATAGGAGGGAGATATGGTTTCGTAGACCCAGAACCTCCCCCGCGCCAAAACAAGTATGAGAGCGAAAGCCCCGCGCAAGGGACTCTAGAGCTCCCTCAGAGATTTCGATGCAAGCGCGGAGAATGGGTCGACCTATATAAAACATAGGTCTAGTAAAATCTAATACTGCTTTGTTTTTGTTTACTTCAGATTTCTTTGTCTTATTTGCCCTTCCTTAGTCTGCAGAGTCGTCGTCCGCACCCCTTTCAATCCTCGTTCAAGTTCCCAGAAGCGAATATGCCAGGGGCGATGCGAGGCACAGGCATAAGCTGTGGGCCATCTTGCTGGCTGACCCTGCCCCGTTGCTGGACGTACTTTTAGTTGCCACAACAGTTGTCATAGTGGTCAGGGGAGTAGCAACAAATCAAAAACGGTCCTGTACAGCTAACGTTGATCAGCTCCGCACATCATGTGCAGAGACGGCTGGCGCGGGTGATATTCGCGGCCTGGAGAATGATAACTGCATGATGGGATGACCAATAGGTGGTTTTCAACTTGAAGATGCGGTTCGGTGTAATGACACTAGGGAAGAACTCCGGATCAACGACAACGGCGGTGTTCACACCTTTAAAATGACTCGACGATAGGAAAGGGTCCTGCGTGTCGTCGATGACGAATACGAAATATAGAACATTGTGCTGAAAGAGCATGCTTGTATATATGCAACAAAGGCCATTTCATCCACGTTTCCCGACAACATACCCAACGACAGACTGATACAACGACTCTCGGAACAAGGTTAAGGAGTGCAAAATAGAACTGGACAGGTATTTATGACAAGATAAATCTGCCTAGCTGACATTCTCTTCATGCTCTATGCAAGAGGCATGTCAATATACATATTTTCCCTGTTTATATTCTAACTAGAGATTCTGGACCACTTTCCGCCATCCTATCATCATTCTAGATAGTAGTCTATTGGGAAGAGTATGCTGCACACTGCCTCAACAAAGATTAAGGAGATCATGGTATTCATCTTTCTTTTCAATCAAAACATTTTCCATCTCAACTCATCAAACTATCATTATGACTTCAACCCCTCCCACCGTTATGACTTCAATAGATTAACACTTAGAGCTCAAGAACGACAACAACAACGTAGCCGACTCCTGGCAATCTAACAACGAGCTCCTAGAGAACTTTGATTTTGATGAGTACTTTGCAGATGCAAGTATGGATATATCATTTGAGGGATTTTATCCTTATATCGAGTTCTTTGACGAAGAGAATGTTCAACCAGGGAAAGAAGAATCGCCAGACCTTGCTGAGTCTTCTATACCTAGCGTGCTTGATTCAATCATGAAAGTACCTTTGGACTTATCGGCGAAGACCTCTTCAAAACTCTCTGTTTCGATGTGCCCGGCAGCTACTGGAATTGTCGACAGTGAGGGTGTTTGTGAATCTAAGTCTTTCCCCAATCTTTTGGAGACGCCGATCTCGGGGGTGTTGGATGGAACTGCTCACGAGTCAGTGCTTGTTTTGAAGGATTCAGAAACTTCAGAAGTGGTTGACGATGAGGCTATCGTATCCAAACCTTCCGAAGTAGAGATAGTGAGTGGGATTATCTGCGAGTCAGAGCCTCCTTTGAAGGGTTCAAAAATATCAGAAGTAGTTGATGATGAAGCTCTGGTATCCAAACCTTCCGAGGTAGAGACAAAGTAGTCGATTATACATATGCAGTATCCATTAGACCCTGTTGTCATTAATTTAACTGAGTCGAGTGACGAGGAATTAGCTCCATTGGTGACCATTGGGAAGGTACAAAAGGATCAAAGTCTGTCATCCTCTAGTAAGTCTTCGAATCTTTACTTAATCTTGCTAATCTAATATATAATAGAAAGTTCGATTACATTATCAAGTAAGAAGCGTAAGCATTCTGAAACATCTAATTCAATTTCCAGTAAGTCCTTTTTAGTTACTTGTTGTAATTTCTTATTTATCTATAACAGCATCTGAAAGCTAAGATAATATATCACCGACTAGTCGACGTACAAGGCAAAAAACGTCATTCCGTAAACACCTCAGCGATGAGAATGTATTCTTGAGTTCTTCGATAGAAGATATTGAAGAGTTGCTTAAGGAGAATAGACAAGAAATGGAATTGGTTGAAAAGAAGAGGGAACGATTGATTGCATTGAGGGATAAATTTCTAGCTTGGGGTGCTCATGACCAGAAGGTGACAGGAGAATAGGAGAAAAAGTGTAATTGATATTAGGATAAGAATTTTTTGTATTTAGCCCTAAGTTCAAGTTAATGTAAATAAAGACGATTAAGTTTATTTATAAGTATATAATAAAACAGAAGAAAATGACGAGTATATATGCATATATTCAGGCAATTAATTAAAACGGACTTGAAGGAACTTGTGATCAGCATTATTTAACTTTGGCTTGCTATATCATCCCTTGGAATCACAATGCATTAGCCTTATTTTACTTACGATGAGGTGGCTCGAACAGCTAAATATCACACGATATACTCTAGCCTCAACATCATCAATGAAAAACGATGTATGCCTTTGTGTACTCTTCTGAACAGCAAATTATTTTAAACCAATACGCCTCCTAGCCTTAAGGTGATAGAGGAACCTTTTACAAAGCCGGCATTCTATTCTCTCTCTCTCCTTCCCTTTATTATAACTAGTGTTCATTGGTTTCGTATTTCAAAACATTCTCGATTATATATAGAGAAAATCTACAAAGATTATGTAGAGCTATTGTATTGAGTTGGGTACTAAAACTTCAACCACTTCTACTATTGAGCCTTGTGTCAGGTTGCCGGGATCGGAAAATTTCCTCGCGGGATCCCCTTGCTTAATCATCCTTCACTTATCCCTTTATTCAATAAAGAATTTGGGTATAGCATCACCATCATAAGTCTAGCCAATCCCGACAGGATTGTATGGTATTCTACTTATTGAAAGAACTTAAGGAACTTATTCTTTATTCTAATATCCACCTCTGGAATGCTTCAAAATGGGCTTCTTCTTTGAAGTGACAGCATCATTCCTATCACTTTTCCACCTGATTCTTTCATTCCTTGCTTCAAAATGATCGTAGAATTGTTCCCTTTGTGTCATTACAGTTATTAAATCCATAGATTATCCCTATAGATTAGTGTAGAGCCATAAACATCCTAAATTGTCATCAATCATCATGACTTCTAACCAAATTACTACTCGTAACCCTCCTCCTCTAATAGCATCATTTCTGTACATCATGGACCTAATAGCAGAGGCCGAAGAGTACCTAAATCAGTACCATCTGCTAATGCTCCTGCTCTCAGTCAAAATATGAATGAAGCAGAGCTTTTAGCCCTCAATCTTTCGAATAATAGAGAGTTGAATAGTGCTACCGAACGGTCACTTGTACACAAATTAGCCTCTCAGCCAGCTAATACCATTGCGGCTTACAGCCGTGCCAAAAAAAATATGGAGAGTATATTTTCCCTAGCTATGTTGTAGATCATCGTAATAATACATATGATGGCGAGAAAGTCGGCAATACAGCCAGAAAGACGATGTAACGTCGGAGCATTCTCGCCGTGAGTCAGCTTGACCTGTATAACCCCGCATTCCAAAAGGTAATAACCTTCGACACCTCACAATAGTTGTATTGTCACACAAATTTCTCGAGATAATCTATGATCAAGGGCAACTTCAAGATATCAGCGCTATATTGATTCCTGTTGTGTACTTTATCATTATCTACTGATCTCTCAACTTTGCATACTCCAAATCCTAAAATGCGCTTGCTAGAGTGCGATAATGCTGACGGATATCGGCTCACCAAAGCACTATTAGATAACAATATTCCTCCTTATGCCATTCTCTCACATACATGGGGGAGTGACGAACAGGAAGTCAATTTCGAAGATATAAACTCAGGTAATGGCAAAGAAAAAACCGGTTATGAGAAACTCCAGTTTTGCGGAAAACAGGCTGCCTATGACAACATCGATTATTTCTGGGTGGATACTTGTTGCATTAAAAAGACGAGCGACTCTGAGTTGACCGAATCTCTGAACTCTATGTTCCGCTGGTATGGGAAGGCTAGAAAATGCTATGTCTATTTATCAGATGTAGAGGTCGTTCAAAATGGTGTAGAGCAACCACAAAGCGTGTGGGAAGGGCGTTTTCGGGCCAGCCGATGGTTTACAAGAGGATGGACGCTCCAAGAACTCCTGGCTCCAATATCAATCGAGTTCTTTTCACGGGATTGTTGTAGGATTGGTGATAGGGAATCTCTGAAGTTGATTATATATGAGATCACGGGAATTGCTATTGAAGCGCTCCAAGGAGTTCCTTTATCGAAGTTTAGTGTTGATGATAGAATGAAATGGGCGGAAAACCGAATTTCGACGAGAGAAGAAGACGCAGCATATAGCTTGCTTGGTATCTTTGAAGTATCTATGTCAGTTATCTATGGCGAGGGAAGGGATAATGCATTCAGGAGGCTCAACGGTGTGATCGAGCCCTCTCTAGATAAGCGCTGCCTAATTGATCTGTTCATCACCGACCCACGAAAGGACAAACAACGCATCGAGGAACTTAAAGGAGGACTGCTCTTTAAGGTATACGAATGGGTCTTCCAAAACACGGAATACCAACAATGGTACAACGACCAAAGCAACCGCTTGCTATGGGTGAGAGGAGATCCTGGGAAGGGTAAGACTATGTTGTTATGTGGTATCATAGACGAAATACGGACATCAAATAATTACGCCTTAGCCTATTTCTTCTGCCAAAGTAACGTCGATACCATTAATAGTGCTATCTCCGTCCTACGTGGCCTTATTTATATGCTCTTAGATGAACAGCCTTCCCTCATTCGGCATTTACAAAAGGAATATGAGGTGCCAGGGAAGCAGTTATTTGAAGGTATCAATGCATGGGTGGCGCTCTCTAATATTCTGAAGAACATCTTGCATGACAAGAGTTTGAAGCCAATAATTTTGATTATTGATGCACTTGACGAATGCGAAAAGGATATGGTCAAATTACTTCGTCTGATTGTTTCGAGCCTAGCTGAGTTTCCTCGCATCAAGTGGCTTGTCTCTAGTCGTAACTCGCTTGGAATTGAAGAGGTACTAGGGCCGGTTGAGGAGAGAACATCGCTCAGTCTCGAGTTAAATAGCCACACAATATCTATTGCTGTCGACTGGTATGTAAGAGATAGAGTGGAAAAGCTCGCGAGGACAAAGAAAAATATTAAAAGAAATAGAAAGACGGTTGAATCGTATCTCCTAGAGAATGCGAACGGGACCTTCCTTTGGGTGGCTTTGGTCTGCCAAAATCTTGAAGAACTTCGATTCTTCACGACTTCAATGTTACAAGATTATTACCCTCGAGAGTTGGATCCCTTATACGAACGCATGCTACAGCAAATTCTAAATATAAAAGAGCATGGAGTAACTGAGCTCTGCCTTCAGCTTATGGCTATTGTAGTAGTAGCCTTTCGACCTATTACGCTCTGCGAGTTGCCACGTCTGATCGGATCGGAGATTGATTTGGAAGAAATCATTCAACTTTGTGGCTCCTTTCTGGTCGTTCGTAATCAGAGTATCTTCTTCGTTCATAAGTCGGCAAAGGATTTCCTATCAGAAAATGCTGCTGAGACAATATTTCCAAATGGGATCGGCAAGGTAAATGAGAAGATATTTCTAAATTCGATAACAGAAATGAGCAATATATTGAAAGAGAACATATACGACTTGCGTCATCCAGGCTTCTCTATTAACAAAGTCAAGCAACCCGATCCTGACCCACTAGTGTATATACGATATTCATGTACCTATTGGGTCAATCATTTTATAGATGGAAATCCCCCAAAAACAGAAAACCATATTCAAAATAATAGCAAAGTCTATAATTTTCTAACAGAGCATTTGCTGCATTGGTTGGAGGTCATGAGCTTGATGGAAAACATTTCTGGGTGCATTGTTGCAATAAGTTCTTTAGAAAATTATATCTTGGTAAGTCAAAACAGCTTCAAATAGCTTCAAATAACTTCAACTGATAAATATGAAGGTTGAGAAAGCTCCTGAACTTTCCGCTTATATTCATGATGCCAAGCGCTTCGTCCTTTATAACCGAGTAGGAATTGAACAAGCTCCTCTTCAAATCTATTGCTCAGCCCTTTCCTTTGCTCCAGAGAATAGTATTATTCGAAAAACATTTCAAAAATGTATCCCGAGTTGGATTTATAAAATATCAAGAGTACGATCAAATTGGAGTGCCGCCCTCCAAACGCTCGAGGGTCATTCGAATTGGGTTAGGTCAGTTGCCTTCTCACCAGATGGCACAAAGGTAGCTTCAGGCTCAGACGATCGGACGATCCGGCTCTGGGACGCGGCCACGGGCGAATCGCTTCAAACGCTCGAGGGTCATTCGAATTGGGTTAGGTCAGTTGCCTTCTCACCAGATGGCACAAAGGTAGCTTCAGGCTCAGACGATCGGACGATCCGGCTCTGGGACACGGCCACGGGCGAATCGCTTCAAACGCTCGAGGGTCATTCGGATGGAGTTACATCAGTTGCCTTCTCACCAGATGGCACAAAGGTAGCTTCAGGCTCTTATGATCAGACGATCCGGCTCTGGGACGCGGCCACGGGCGAATCGCTTCAAACGCTCGAGGGTCATTCGAATTGGGTTAGCTCAGTTGCCTTCTCACCAGATGGCACAAAGGTAGCTTCAGGCTCAGACGATCGGACGATCCGGCTCTGGGACGCGGCCACGGGCGAATCGCTTCAAACGCTCGAGGGTCATTTGGATGCGGTTAGCTCAGTTGCCTTCTCACCAGATGGCACAAAGGTAGCTTCAGGCTCAGACGATCGGACGATCCGGCTCTGGGACACGGCCACGGGCGAATCGCTTCAAACGCTCGAGGGTCATTCGGATGGAGTTACATCAGTTGCCTTCTCACCAGATGGCACAAAGGTAGCTTCAGGCTCTTATGATCAGACGATCCGGTTCTGGGACGCGGTCACGGGCGAATCGCTTCAAACGCTCGAGGGTCATTCGCATTGGGTTAGCTCAGTTGCCTTCTCACCAGATGGCACAAAGGTAGCTTCAGGCTCAGACGATCGGACGATCCGGCTCTGGGACACGGCCACGGGCGAATCGCTTCAAACGCTCGAGGGTCATTTGGATGCGGTTTACTCAGTTGCCTTCTCACCAGATGGTACAAAGGTAGCTTCAGGCTCAGGCGATTGGACGATCCGGCTCTGGGACGCGGCCACGGGCAAATCGCTTCAAACGCTCGAAGGTCATTCGAATGCGGTTTACTCAGTTGCCTTCTCACCAGATGGTACAAAGGTAGCTTCAGGCTCTTATGATCGGACGATCCGGCTCTGGGACACGGTCACGGGCGAATCGCTTCAAACGCTCGAGGGTCATTTGGATGCGGTTTACTCAGTTGCCTTCTCACCAGATGGTACAAAGGTAGCTTCAGGCTCAGGCGATTGGACGATCCGGCTCTGGGACGCGGCCACGGGCAAATCGCTTCAAACGCTCGAGGGTCATTCGCATTGGGTTAGGTCAGTTGCCTTCTCACCAGATGGCACAAAGGTAGCTTCAGGCTCTTATGATCAGACGATCCGGCTCTGGGACGCGGTCACGGGCGAATCGCTTCAAACGCTCGAGGGTCATTCGCATTGGGTTAGCTCAGTTGCCTTCTCACCAGATGGCACAAAGGTAGCTTCAGGCTCTTATGATCAGACGATCCGGCTCTGGGACACGGCCACGGGCGAATCGCTTCAAACTCTCAAAAATCATTCGGGTTTAGAGGCATCCTCAGCCTTTGAACGGTACTTTATATCAAATCATTGGATAGCTGAAAGATTAGATGAAGAAGTGCGAGATATTTTTTGGCTACCTTCAGACTATCGGCCAACTAGTACATATTTTTGTAACGGAGTTATAGTCATGGCATTTCCCACCGGTGGCATTTTCTTTCTGAAATTTGAGTGAAAATTTCATATTATCTAAGTAAAAATCAGTTTCAATATATCCATTACTAACTAACTTATTTATATCTTGAATATAATATCCCTTTTTTTTTCTCTCTCTTTAACAGAGAGGTTGGGGGAAGTCTATGATTATATAGACTTTCTATTTGCCACCTTGATTCCAGTATGTTCTAGTGTAGTGATGTGGTAGTTTTATTGGTACAAAGAAATATAAAGAATTATTTTATTTGATATAGCTTCGAGCTAATCATTATTAGAATTGAAGATCTGAAAGCATAAAGAGAAAGATGTAAATTCGATTCTATTCCCAGCTTTGTATCATATGCTGTATATATATATATATATATTGGAGTTTATCTCTGATTATGGTAGAATGCTATGATTTTAGAATACTATTATTCTAATCATTTTATTAAAAGTCAATATTAGTTTCATAATGATTAATCATATTGAATAAATTACTAGCCTTGTTCAAATATTTGCTTAAGCTTTGTTTAACAATAGTAGTGAAAAATATATCGATTCTATTACTTAAAATTTAAAAATAATGAAAGACGTGACAGAAACCCCTGCTTTCCTCCTACCCTTATTATATAAGAAACCTCAGGTACATTAACCACATTCACACATGATACGATTACTCGGGATTAGTATACGATTTAGGTGGTCTGAGGATCAGATCCGGACAAGTACTAGGTATCAATGGTTGTCGGTAAAGTAAGATCATTTGTTGCCCAAAAGTGACGCCACCCTTGAGGAGTGGTTAATTGGGTTCATATAATCATTCTTCAGGTCAACATCATTGGAGGGATAAATATGACTTCTTTTTGCCTAGCCATTGCGGCTAGGCCATTCATTTGTGTATATATAGAGTAGCTATCCCCATCTACAGGTGCTCTTCACCTGTAGATTCTAAGTCAAATACAATTGCTAGTCTATAAACACCCTTTTGGTCACAAAAGAGGAGAAAGAGAAATCTACATATAATATACTTCGAATAGATCTTGAGTTTGATGAATACAATAAAAAGTTCCAGAGGATTGGTGTATGAATTTCCAATATAATTACTTTTTGGGTCTTGTCAAGTATTGTATTTGAATCGCCATTATAATCCAGTGCGGAAGTGCATTATGGATCTTCTCTCAAGAGCAACCATGTTTTATCCTGATTATCGTTTCATATTCTTCCGATTCCTATAGAATACGTTTCCTCTTAATTTGTACTGTTTCTAAGCGTTCTTTGGAATGTAAAATATTGTAAGGAATGAAAGTTCTTGTGGAAGTCAATTCATCAGATATCAATATCCAATGCTTGGGAAAGAATGGGAAGATGAAGAGGCTCTAGGATATGTTGCAGCTGAAACTCGAGATTATATGTTGTGTCATGCCCAATTCCGGTACGTTTAAGGAAACATCTGAAAGCTCAGCCATTCATTGATCTATTTGAAGCTCAATGTCAATCTCAAGAAGCTGCTTTGGGGGTTGAGCATAAACCTCCGTCTCACCGTCAAGATTGCAATGAAAATTGGCCAAAGAAGCGACAGCATAAAAAGGTGGCGATAGGAGAGACATGGGAAGATGACGAGAACGAGCGTGCTCAAGATAGATGGGGGAAAAATCAATGGCAGCAGGGGAATATCAGCGACACTGATCATTCTGGTGACATTAGTCCTAATTCAAGTGACGAGGATGACGAATTCCGACCTAGAAAACGGCAAAAAATCACTTTAATACCTACCAATTACGATTCAACGTCATTTCATCAACGTAGTATTAAAGATCGTCTTAGAAAGCGCCATGACATTAAGATAGATATAGCACAGTCCCAGGGCTGTGACAGACATCTACAAACGCCTATCGATAATCACCATCGCTATCCCTCTGCTTTTTCGACACCATCTGGTATTAGCTCTAAAAATTCAAAATCTGCAGAGATTCCAACCCCTTGCAATGCTGTTGTATATTCCAAAGTACAGAAAGCAAAACCCTTAAGCACCTGTAGTGTTATCATATATTCGAAGGTGCAGCCAGCAATGCGAAAAAGGAGAATTTCAGCGCTATGGACACCAAGCGAAAATAAGACGATCCTTAAAATGAAAAAGAGTGGTTGCTTGTGGAAGTAGATCCATGATGCACCGGACGCTAGAAGCAATCCAGGTGCAGTACTCTACCAAGCTCAAGAAGTAATTACGCCTATTCCGTCCTCTGGCAAAGCAAGCAAATTAATTCCTCTGGATATGAAGCATAGTATGATATCGAAAACGATGGCTTTGTGAAGGACCACAACATCTATCTATTACGAGAAGGCTTGGCTTGTCTAACCGCGCAAGAGCTGCCTCCCTTTTGCCACACGTCCCCTCGATGATCACAGAATGAGGTCGACCCATGTGGTAATGACAAAACCACGCAAAGTGCGTCTGAGCTATTCTTTCCCTGCTGTGTTGAATGAGGACCGGTGAAGGAAGTGAGGGGAATACCTTTGGATATGAAGTTGGTTTGTTGTTACGACAATAACAGTAGGGGTTATGTGAATGGCTCAGTGGTGATCAGTGCCAAGAGCATTGATCCAGAACGGATGAGTGAGCTCAGTACTGAGGCTTGGTGATGGTTTCTTGAAGATTCGAGTTCGGATGAGATTGACTGCTGATGGAGGCAAGAGCGTTATAGATATCAGGTCGATGTTTCTATTTGAACCCATTTTTAATTTATCATCCATATTTATCAAATTTCCATTTTCTCTATAGACTAGGGAGGTATTAAAACATTGATCTTGATGAGAACCTAATCTTCTCCAAACTCCAAACTAAGTTTTCTTCTATACGCATAATTTGAAAATACCATATAATCTAAAATTGACGCTATCTCAGCTCTTAGTGGCAAGTCTCATTGTTGTAGTAACACCACCACCTGTTTGCCCTAGGGCCTTTGGTACAGATATCTAGTAGTTCGTAAACTAGGCACACTTCCAAAGCGCTTAGTTGAGCTGATATCATACTCGCAGGTTCTTTTGCTAATTATTATCAACAAAAGATTAACTGCAAAGTTCTCTACTTGCTTTTGGATAAGTTATTTATGTATGGCCATCATATTTACCACAAGCTTTTTAATGATATTTGTATCCGAGTCAATGTTATTGGATGTTCGATGCTGAATATACCTTGTGGATATAACTAGGGAAATGTATCGCTAATCTGCAGGCTCCAAAAGAAGATAACTATTCACCGGCTGCCAAGAATAGGATACTGTATGAGGAGTACATCAGAAAGTAGCTTTTAATTGTCAGTACTAGTTTGCATTTCAATCATCCAATACATACCTTAGAGGGAAACCCAAATAACTCAAAGTAAGCTGTCATCTTTCCTTTCGGTTTACTATTGTTCGCGAAAAACTATGAATACTTTTGTATGAAAGTATCAATGTCCGCCTCTCGGTCACTATCGGGCGGTTGCGCGTGAGCATATGACAAACCCCACCAAATCTTACTTCGAGCTTTCAACCCTTCCTTTGTATAATGAACCAAAAATGAGATTCAAAAATAAAAATTGAAAGATATATTGAGAATCTCAGAGAATCGAGAAGAGTGAAAGAATAAAGTCTACAATCGATTTGTTCGATTGTTATATGCATGTTCCCATTGACTATTGTTTTCTTGTACTACTTTACTTCAATTTGTACAAAATCTACCAGCTGAAGACTTCTCCTCACAGACACCTTCTACTCTTCTGCTATCTGAGCTGTATGTACAATAATTAATGATGATCATTATAAGAACTCCTGATCTGCCTCCACCTCCACCTCCACCTCCACCCCCTCTACCCTCTTCATCCTTTCCAATGACCGAAGATGCAAACGAGCAGCACAAAGTTCTACAAGTTCAATTTCCTTTAGCAGACTACAAATTCCAACTTTGCGAAACAAGCAACGATCGGCAAATGGATCTCGATATGTCGAATTCAGAGACTGTTACTGTGAAAGTCACTGCCCAGCAAATCAATCCAGGTGGAAACAATTGCATATTTATTTGTCGCTATCCTTCAGCCAACGACCAAGACCCAGATTCCGACAACAACAACAATAACGACTTCGACTCGAAACTTCCCAAGATATTCGTGGCAAAGGAGTTTGGGGATAGTAAAGACGAGCTTGATACTTATGAGCATCTCGCATCTTTACAAGGCGTTTATATTCCTAAATGCTTCGGGGAAATCTATTGGAAGGATGAAGACGGGTTAGTGCATAAAGGAATTGCACTTGAATTTCTCGAGGGCTTTCGACGTTTGGATGATACCGATGCCAAAAACGATCTTATGTATTGGAAATATAAAAAGGCTCTGGAAGCTATTGGAAACAAAGGGATATTTCACGGGGATGTTGCATTTAGAAATCTTATGTGGCACCCTCAGCGCGAAGAAGTAAGGGTTATTGATTTCGACCAGGCAAAGGCAGCAACTGAGGAGTGGAGAAGAGATGGAAAATCAGTTAAAGAACAGAACTTCATCGAGTTGGAAGGTCTTTTCAAGGTGGAGGATAGCGATATCATCCGTGAATATTTGCCAATGATATACGCCAAACCAAGGTGGATGTTAGATCCACCTATTTTGCCAAAGAAGATTCGGGAACGATTCTAGGACCGGAAGTAAATGATTGAAGGGAAACAGCATCATATTTGGAGATTAGTATACTTTAAAAGCTGTTAGGAAATCTGATTGTAATTCAATACCTAATATTCACAAACCACCAACAGCAAAGTTATCGGATGTGTTAAACTCCGAGTAGATCAAACTAAGCAAAGATGTTGAATTCCAAAACTCAAGCCATACCCCCGTTCTCTACTCCAATTTTGGAGTATCTAACGCCTTGTTCGCATTGTTAAGATACCATCGGTATTCTCCATTAACAAAGTGTCTTTTGTATCCAGCTGGATGTTCCCAATATACGTTTCCTCCCTGGTCCCAATATGGTTTTCCATCGTAATATATGTAGAATGGATATGATGGAAGTTTATACATACTATATTCTCAAAGTGATATGATTTATATTATTGTAGTCATCTTCAATTGTAAAAGTTAAGGATGCGTTGCGCATCCCAAACATAGTTTGTGTTGAAAGCCCCTCTCTACCACTGTCCGAATATTGCTCTAGACCCTTGACTCCCATACCCTCATTGATGCTTTTCAGATTGTAAATCTCCTATATAGGTTGAAAGGGCAAGTATTGTAAAACAAACCAAAGAGTAGCTCCCTATACAAGGGTTTTGACCAATAATATTAGGTCGCTAGTTGAATAAGCTTAAATGTCTTACAATATTTACCCTTCCAACCACTGTATTCAAACTACAGTATCCTTGCTGTCCCTCCTAGTTCCGGGGATTACGAAAAAGTAACTTGTTGACTTTTGTATCTCAAAAATAAATATTCTAATATCACAATAAGGCATAGTCGAAGTCGAGAAAGGGTTTGACCAGAGTACCGGAGCTAGAATTCTTTCAGAGAAATGAATGCTGTTGCGGGCGCTAAAAATGCGCACCAAATCATGTGTTAAGTGAAATGTGAGTCTCATTATCACCTAATATAAGAAAGTGCTTAGCGATCCCCATGGGATCAGTTAAAGAATTCGCATAAACGTCCAAGCACTTGCAGAGATTTTATCTGGTTAGCTCTTCTCATCATTGTTTGATCTCTTTACTAAGTAGAACAAGCTATGAGGGCTACGAGACCTGATCCCCGTTCTATCAGAAGGGGGGAACATCCATTTCATTGTATAAGAGCAAGCTGTGGAACGAGGCAATCAGTGTAAGCATTTTGCACAATTATAGGGAAGAATAACACAAATACGCTTCCCAGACCTCATTTCACCTTCTGTACTTTATTCAGTATATCCAATGACGGTAGAGAAACCATTTACTTCCTTGTTCTTGGAGACCAATATGTCGGAAAGTCTCTAATAGTTAGCCGAATGATCGACGATCTTCCTATTGTAAGCTTGTGCATACTCGGTTTCTCCCCCAATTCTCGATACGCTGAGTCTGATTATGTGATTTGATCCAGCTTCATCTCTCAGAAGATAACCACTCTAATTCTATGAAATATCCCGTTATGCCGGAGATGGGTAGTCCGCTAAAGCTCGAGCTTATACTCCAAGAATGCTCGACCTCAGAGGAACTAAGCACAATCATGACTAAAAATAGTCACTTTCCACGAAATATCGTTCTCATATTCCACTGTGGCTCACATACAAGTTTTGAACATTGTGAAGTCTTCTATCGGATGCTCCAGGAGCATCCGACCCGGTACAACTTTCTTTGGATGACTGGTCGACGAATCGGAACCTCGATTTTTGCTAACTTCACTGGTAAATCCAGACTTGGATCTTCGAAATATTATCAGCTCCTTTTTTTCTGATATCTCGAAAAATAACCAGTTTACGACTAATCAGCCTTTCCTCGATAACCAAAGCTCTTCTCGTTCCGGTATAACAACTTTTCAGCAAGCGCTAAAGCTAACATAAAAGTTACTCCGCAACATGCCAAATCTTCAGCTTCATAAAATGCAAATATCTTCCTATTTTAAATTAATAGGTTGAAGATACAGAACTAAATACCACTCACTGCTTCTTTTTCCCACCTGACCGTTTGATTCGCTTAAGGTTAAGCTTCATCACAACAATTGGTGGCCGGCCCTTGATCAGAGGAGGGAACAGTTGGAACTCGATGTCTTGGTACAAAAGTCCGACGAGAGCTTTTGGCCTAGTGGCAGTACAGCCAGCAAGATTCAGAAAGGGAGACATTTGAACTCGGAGGCGTTCATGAGCATACACCTCAGTATCGCGAACCCAATGGCCATTCTGAAGAGTGCATAAATCTTCAACAAAAAGCCCCGACTTTTCCTTTTCTGAATCGTTAAGTCCAAAATTGACTGTCAAGTTCTGCAGGATCCACTATTGCCAGATCAGTATAATCTACTGACAGAAAAAAGAGCAAAGATAAACACATACATTACGGATATCATAGAGAACGCCTTCATCCATATAACGCTCCGCTAATCGTGCATATACCATGCTAAGAACTTTCCAACATGTGATGATAGAAGACTCCTTTTTTATTCGTGAGTTCTTCACTCGCAGAAGAGGTAAGCCTTGAAAATTGGTGCTTTGCACATTTTGATGGTCGTTAATGGTTCGTCGATCTTCGAGACTTTGCAAAATCTGTTGAAAGAAAGTTAGCAATCATTCATAACTCAAATACTCGCAAAATGTGTTCTTACTGTTCCCACCTTTCCAATTCTGCTTCCATCATAGCTTTAGTCTCATCACTAGGATTCGATAATGTAACCCCTTCTGCTTCAAACTCGTTCATCATCTGCTGATAATAACTAGCTTCAGCATCGGTGCCGAATTCTAGATCGGACTGAGAATTATAGCCTGAATCTTGATTAAGACCAGACCTATCCACAGTAGCAGGAGACGATCCTTGCCGCTGATTCAGTTTATTCTTTCTTTTAACCCGCGTTTCATATGTTCGTGGTTGTTCTTTCTCGTTTTGTAAAATTGGGGCGGGTGGTCCATATTTATCGTGACGGAGGGCTCGACGTTGAGCATATCGTCGAGGAAGAGGGCAAGGCATATCGCGATTTGCAGTGGCTCAATGGCTCTGCGACGAGACATTAGCATATTTTGATGGTAGAGGAGGCTAGAGAATAAAGCGGGTATTTTACCTATAACAGAATACACAAGATCGTTACGACTTGCAGCACTTGAATATAATGAGGTTATACTTGATGTTTTCGATCTGTTTGGTTTCTGATGATTGAAGAGCGATGATTCTTGGGCTGTGGTGATATAAATTCAATAACGCATGAGAGTAGGAACTAAACAATTCCAGAATGAAGTTTGTAGAATGAGAAGCTTGTAAAAGAAAGAGCAAAGTTTGAGTAGTTGAAGTGTGAGATAAGAAAATGGAGAAGATGACGGAGGAAAAGCTGGATTAAATACCTTTTGACCACAAATTTAATGTGGCTGTGACTTACATTTCACTGCGAACCATCTTTGGGGATGCCTTCATTTTCCGGGGAGATACCCAAGAAGGAGAGGCAGAGTGGGTGAGAGCAGGTTGGTGTGGAGTTTGGAGTTTAGAGTTTGGAGTTTAGAGTTTGGGAATTTGGAATGGGAATTAGGAAGAATGTCATCGCACAGCGTCTGTAAAGCAGCAAGAGCCTAAGCTCGTTAAATTTCTGGCGGCCTGAGGATAAGTGGTTAAGCGAGTGGAATAGCCGCGTAAAACAGCGGGAGAAAACCGCTGAAAACAGGGTGCAAATCACCAACATCTAGTTACTTGTAGTAAAATTGTAATAAAATCTGTGGCTGCCAAACATATGACAGCAGCGTTTGTGGCTGGATATGATCTTGCCGGAAATTCCCGCTCCCCGATATTCTCCAAGCAGAGCAAAGAGTGGCCCATACGAAAGAAGTCCCTCTTTCAACGACCTTGGATGCCTTCATAACTGACCTGTCCTTTTAATCCTACCTATAGCATCTTATTACTCTTTGACTTTATAGAAGTTGGTATTTCAACAATAAGGGATAAATTTCTCTCAGAATCCAATCTGTAATGAATAAGGTTTCCATAAAATGAAGTGTCCTTTGTGTTCTGTCTGCCTTCGCCATGTAAGTGGCTGGCCAGGTTACACCACGATACAGCCTCGTCAGCAGCGCCTACGACTACAATTGCATATCCTTCTTATGCTTAGTTCTTCAACGTTCCAACCTTCAAAATCCCGATCTTCAAATAGCAATGCTTGTGTCAATTTGCCGAATTAGTGATACAAGTCGCACTTGCTATAAAATCGCTTGCAAACATCCAGTATGTCCTTTATACGCCTCTTGCAACGCAAACCCAATGGCGAGATCGTCTTTCGCGAATTTACCAGCAGCGAAGTCCCTACCTACGCAATACTCTCTCATACCTGGGGAGAAGAGGAGGTTGTCTATCAAGACTTGAAAAAAAGCAAGAACAAGAGCAAGACTGTGAATAAGGCTGGGTGGAGGAAGATACAGTTCTGCGCGAAGCAAGCCGCAGTAGATGGACTGGAATACTTCTGGGTTGATACCTGCTGCATCGATAAGAAGAATTCGGTCGAGCTTAACGCGGCGATCAACTCCATGTTTCGGTGGTATCAGAACGCTGCACGCTGCTACGTCTACCTTTCGGATGTCTCCAAGCCCGACACTGGGGTAGATGACCAGAGGGCATGGGAGGAAGCTTTCAGGAAGAGTCGTTGGTTCACTCGAGGCTGGACGCTTCAGGAGCTTATTGCACCAAGGCTGGTTGACTTCTTTAGCTCGGAGGGTAAACGACTTGGAAACAAGTTGTCGCTTGAGTCTGAGATACACGAAATTACCGGTATCGCAAACAAAGCTCTCCGAGGTGATGCATTGTCAAATTTTAGCATCAAAGAGCGGAGATCATGGGCAGAGCACCGTAATACTACTATTGAAGAAGATGAAGCCTACTGCTTAATCGGGATCTTCGATGTATCTATGGTGCCAAATTACGGCGAGAGAAGGGACCAGGCATTTAGGCGGTTGGAGGATGAGATTCACAGGATGTATAAGGGTCAGTTGTTTACATAGATGTACTAACTAAAGCAACGAAACTGACGAGTACAGGGGCCAACTTTGAGCAATTTGCTGTTGGGCTCAACCTCGCGTCATTTCCCGAAGCTACACAGTTTGTCGCTAGAGAGAAGGAGCTATCGGAAATTCACGAGCTACTTCAAGATCACAGTAGTCGATCCTGTGTCATCCTCCATGGTCTTGGGGGTATGGGAAAGACTCAGCTAGCGACCACATATGCCAGACGACACAAGGAGAAATATACGGCGATCTTCTGGCTGAACGCGAATGACGAAGACTCACTCAAGCTGAGCTTTCGGGACATTGCTCAACAGGTGCTGAGACATCATCCTTCCACCAGTGTGCTATCCAGCATAGACCAAGATAAAGACCTCGATCAAATTATCAGTGGAGTCAAGGACTGGCTTGACTCCACGCAGAACACAAGGTGGCTAATGATCTACGATAACTTCGATAATCCTAAAAGATCTGATAATCCCGATAACTCAGCAGTCGATATACGTCAATTCCTCCCTCAATCTGATCACGGCTCGATCATCATTACGACACGATCATCACAAGTTAAGCAGGGTATACGAATTCATGTTCAGAGGCTGGATGTCAGGGAAGGTCTTGAGATTGTGTCTAATATGTCAGGACGTAAGGGTATTGAAAAGGGTATGTTGGTATAATTGATAGTGGGAAATAATATAATACTAATAAGGCAGATTCTGATGCTATAGCACTCGTCAAAGAACTAGACGGCCTACCACTTGCTTTATCTACAGCAGGGGTATATCTCGAGCACGTAACGACGAGCTTCTCGGATTATCTTCAGCTCTATAAGACATCATGGTTGAAGCTTCAGATGACAAGTCCCCTATTGGATTCCTATGTAGATCGTACACTATGTACGACATGGCAGATCACTTTCGATCGGATCCAACAACAGAATAAAGCATCAGCAAAACTACTCAAGCTATGGGCATATTTTCATCGAGAGGATCTGTGGTTTGACCTCCTTCGGCATGCAAACTCTATAGACGATGAATGGATACAGAAGCTTATGAAGGACGAACTGAACTTTAATGAGGCCATCACTCTACTATGTACCTTTGGACTGGTTGATCCAGACAGGTCTCCTCAGCAGCAGGTTGGGGCTAGAGGGTATAGTATACATAGTTGTGTCCACTCATGGATAGTGTTTGTGCTTAACAAGGAGTGGGACAAGAGCCTTGCACATCTGGCTTTAACCTGTGTAGCCTCGGAGGTTCCTGATACAAATGAAAAGTACTGGTGGCTCTCACAGCGGCGTCTCCTTCAACACGCAACACGACAGGCCTTCTTTATAGAAGACGCCAAGGTAGATATAGACGGACTATATTGGGAATTTCACAACCTAGGCGTTCTCTACTCTGACCAAGGCAAGCTAGCAGAGGCAGAGAAGATGTATCTTCGAGCGTTGGAAGGTAAGGAGAAGGCACTTGGACCAGACCACACATCAACACTCGATACAGTCAACAACCTAGGCAACCTCTACTCTGACCAAGGCAAGCTAGCAGAGGCAGAGAAGATGTATCTTCGAGCGTTGGAAGGTAAGGAGAAGGCACTTGGACCAGACCACACATCAACACTCGATACAGTCCACAACCTAGGCCACCTCTACTCTGACCAAGGCAAGCTAGCAGAGGCCGAGATGATGTATCTTCGAGCGTTGGAAGGTAAGGAGAAGGCACTTGGACCAGACCATACATCAACACTTAGTACAGTCCACAACCTAGGCAACCTCTACTCTCACCAAGGCAAGCTAGCAGAGGCAGAGAAGATGTATCTTCGAGCGTTGGAAGGTAAGGAGAAGGCACTTGGACCAGACCATACATCAACACTTAGTACAGTCCACAACCTAGGCCACCTCTACTCTCACCAAGGCAAGCTAGCAGAGGCAGAGAAGATGTATCTTCGAGCGTTGGAAGGTAAGGAGAAGGCACTTGGACCAGACCACACATCAACACTCGGTACAGTCCACAACCTAGGCCACCTCTACTCTGACCAAGGCAAGCTAGCAGAGGCCGAGATGATGTATCTTCGAGCGTTGGAAGGCTATGAGAACGCTCTTGGTCTTGAACTTGCCTCGTCTTATCTACCGGCGTTGAATACTATGTTCAACTTTGGAAACCTCTTATCGCAAACTGACCGGAAAGACATGGCAAGGGCAATGTATAATCGAGCATTGTCTGGATACACAACCGTCCAAGGGCCTTCCTCTAAATTGTCCAGGCAAGTTGAAGATCGGCTTCAAGCGTTGCAAGTTGCGTCTGCTGGGTCGAATGTAGGTCGAAATGAGTTTACAGAGCCTGGAGTAGCAAATTCGAGGTCTTTGAAACAGAAAATCCGCAAGCTAGGAAGGTGGTTGAACATTAGATAAGCTACAAGGGCTTCTTTCTTATGGTTCTGCCATTAACTTACAAGTATTGATGTAATTAGAGATACCAGATCAGACATCTCTTTTAACTTCTGGTCCAGAATCGACCGCTGTTGTAATGACCCTGTATAGCCATTCTTCTCCTCACTAGCTTCATACGAAAACAGGAATCACCAAAGCTCTCGAATTTATCGAAGCCACGCGGATAGCCACTAGATCATGGCATCTCAATAGAATAAAGGAAGAGATGAGAGAACAAGATGAAAGAGAAAGGGTAACCTGAAGAGCGGAAGGGTTAGAATAACCCCTTTACAACCATATTACCAACTTTGCAAATTTGCAAAGTTAAATTATCACCCACCCAAACATTAAAACCATCCAATATCCTCGATCTGGCCGATTCTTCTGGTCAATTCAGCTAATACTTGATCACCTTGGTCAATATGGTCAATTTATTTGGTCGATTTGGTCAATTCATCTGGTCAATTTGGTCAATTTGATCAATTTGGTTGATTTGGTTGATTTGGTCAATTCATCTGGTCAATTTGGTCAATTTGGTCAACTCATTTGGTCAATCTGATCAATTCGGTCTATCCATCTGGTCAATTCATTCTCAATCGTGAGGTTTTACCACCCCAATTTGAATTTTACTTATTTCATTTGTCATTTTCCTTATTATATACGAAGAGTATTTGTAAGGCGGACATGGTTCCCTAGGATTAGTTTTCACTTCCCCCATTCAAACATTAGAAGATTGAGGCTCTCAATCTCCTCAACCTGTATTAGCTACGGTTGAAAAAGGCCAACTACCCTCCATTTATTATTGTTAGAAGCCTACAAAGCTCCTAGCCGTCTTAGATAGTCATAGATTCAGTGTAGACGTTAATTTAATCAATCAATCAATCTATCCATCTATCAACTCTATTAAAATATCGTGCGGCAGTCTCTCGATAAGTCGCCTTGAGTGGAGCAAACACTGCTACATCACAAGGTTGGAGCTTGTGGGAGGTATGAAAGGGGAGACGACATAAAAGAATATTATTCTTGAAACAGAACTCAGAGTCAGAGCATGCATATTGCCATTTAGGGGTAGGGAACGTGGTCCAGTTGCTTCGATGGGAATTCGCTGGCCAAATAATCATAGTGTTTAAATAACTACCATCATTACTAATGCATTCGATCGCAATCACAGTGGTACGCTTGACTCGCGCGCCTTTATAATCTCGTATGTCGTGCTTACAAGGACTTTGATAAAGCCTGGCATGGATAGCATCACTCCAGTCTCGAAGAGCCGACGAAAAGTGCAGAGCCTGTCCTTGACTGGATTACTGCTGATAATGTCTAGATTAGAGGTATTGACCATTAGAAAATGACTTTGAGCAATGGCGGAGGACATATAAAGGACATAGAAACAGACCCTTATGTATGTGCAAAAGTAGGATTTTGGATGTTTACTGGTTGGGGTGTATTTAGGTAAGATATTGAAGCTTAGAAATCCCGCTTCTAAATTTAACTTTACAAGTTTTTGAAAAAAACATTTCTCAAAGCTCAATAAAAATTTTGGAAACCAACTCCTGAAAACATATCAGACCTAAAGTTTCTAGCGCGTAGAAGCTATACCCAGCCTCTGGGGTATTGCCCTGTACTCTGGAAGCAGCGATGGGACCCTCAACGTGGCCTTAATTTACTTGGGTCATACTCAGACCTAATTGAAGAGCATATAAACAAACTCGGGGGTGGTATAAAGGGCTTTGATGACTTTGATATATATAATAGAGACTCTATATTGATTTATATATATAGAACTCTTATAAAGATTATTAGCACGCTTTACAACAAGATTCTGTGATAACCTACCTCTACTCAACTCTATCAAAGCGTCGAGAATATCAGAATTCTACTCCAAGGAGTTCAAAATACATATCTAAAACTCACGAATCTGTTCAAGAGATACGAAAACAGCAACCTCCATTAATACTGCAACAGATAGTATTTCAATAGCCACCAAGACATATGCCTCTACTGCAGCCTCCCGAACCCCTGCCTCTGCCCTCCAGACAACATACATTGACTTCTAAAAATCGAAATCAGCACAACAATTTTTATCCTATGAATTCAGATACTTGAACTTTATCCTCAGAAAGTCGTTCTACTGTATAGATACTCCTTCGATACAATATCGGATGACCTTGGCTCAAGTCGACATTCGACATAGAGGATTTCTGAATGTACATGAAGAGGGAGAAGACAATACTGTAGATAAGGCGGAAGACGCCAGTCGGGAAAAGAAAAAAAAATGATTGATTAAAATCAGGGATTGGAGGCAGTGAGTACCGTCTGGGAACTCTAGCTGGCGTTGCTTTAGCTCGGCAGCATGTTCTCGAGTTTGGAATAGAGTTGCTTCGTCGCAAACGCGATTTGAAAGAAGGGAAGGGGGAGGAAGAGATTATACGCTACGCCCCGCGGCTTGTGCACCGTTTCGCGTTACCTTGCCGGATCTCTCCTGCACAACAAGGCCGACCGTATCTTGCAAGCTTTGCTGTGTCTTAACCCCTAGCCAGGCAGCACAGAATACAGCGTTTCCAGCTCACTAACCAAAGTGCCCTTGTACAACCCTTCCTCCCAATGTATAGTTCGTAGCCGTGTAAAGAATCGACTCGAGACATATCGGATGCGCCAGATCAGAATCGAAAAATGCTGTAGCCCCTAGTAAAAGCATTGTAATCCCGTATTATCATCTTTGGATCTATCTCTATAACAGCGCTTCTCTGGAATCCGCAGAAACCTCCACACCATATCCTTTTACATACGTTACAATGTTCATTAGACCTTCTATAAACCCTTTACAATCGTTCTCTTCCCCTTTTCATCTTCCACTGGACTCAAAAAGACACTGTCTGATTTGCTCCTTTACACTACTATTCCCCTCAACCATCTATGAACTTCTAGCAAGATATACTTACAAGCCATACGCATTGTTGGATTCCGGACTATACTCGTAACACCCTAGAGGTGTCCTGTCGACCTTCATTTACGAAAGTTTCCTTTGCAGGCTCTGCATCCCATTGCAGACTCGTAAGGGCTGGTTCAGCTTAGAAGCTCATGAAATACGTCACCCATCAGGCTCTGCATCCCATTGCAGACTCGAAAGGGCTGGTACCGCTTTGAATTCGTCATTCATATCTTCGACCATCGGATGGTTTTCATCTCCGTTTCGCTGGTAGTCCTCTATTCCGGGCTCGTCGCGAGCGCCTCAGCGACGCTCAACTGCGTGTACCTTCGCTCCAAGTACTGCCTCCGATTAGTGTACGATCACCACCCAGTTCCAGCGACTCTACTTAGCTCTCCGATAACAAGATCGAAGGTTCGTAGGATGCATTACGTACAGGTGAGAGTCATCGCATCCCTGTAACTCTTGGGAGAAGCATAGTGTCCTAGCTAGGTCGTCGACACCAGCTTCTTATTATGTCTTGTATTGGCAAGGATGTATTTTACTTGAAGCGTGGTCATATATATGAGCTTCCGGGAGAGCTTAAAGATATGAAGAAGTTACAATACATCTTCGCGTCATACTGGAAAGTACGGGTATGTACCTTGATTCCCTTGTTCTCTTCGAAATCTCATGCTCTTTGTAGGAAATTGTTCGATGTGGTGTTTGGCTTCTGGAAGAATTTTTGCAACAAAATTTAGAGCAGGATCAAAAGGCTATAAATATTTTGTCTCCAAACTTTCTTTAAATTTTCTTTGATTGATAACCACAATATAAATGAAATATATAATGTAAATTATGTTTAAAACTATATTATGAACTATAGTACCTGAAGACCTTAGGCTCAATTGTCAGCAGACATTAGTAGAACCTCGGGGACGGAACGATAGCACGTAACAGATAGATTGATAGAAAGTCGAGCAGTCTACCGGAGATCGACTGATAGACTGTCGAGCAGTTTATCCAATAGAGAAAGGTCTATATAAGCAGAATGTATTTCCTTAGTATATAGAGCTTCGTGCTCAACTTAAATAGTAATCTCAACCATTAGTTACTTAGTTACTTCTCGATTGGAAACAATTGTTCAATCCCCTGCTTGACTGCTTCAAACTTAAAAGTTGGCTGGCCTCAGAGAAGGTACACTGCTGATTTCCTCTCACAAAGCCATAATACAAGATAATATACTAGTGAGGATAAATATTCTCAGGGTCAAAGCTCAGGGTCAAAGCTCAGGGTCGAAGCTCAATCCCATGGGCTCTGGCTACATGGCTCTTAAAATGTATCAAATTGTTAAGAACCAGCCCCTTAGCTTTGCATATAGGATGGTGGCAAATAAAAATTCCACTCACTGCTTGATCGCGCAAATGAACACTCTCAACATGGTCCCACATATGAGCAACACGACGAAAGGACCGCGTCCGTTGTTCGTACGAAAGACGGTCGTTCCCGATGCAAATGATACATTGGGTCTTCGCGCAGATCACAGGAAATTCATCAGGTGATGGGGGGGGGAAGCCGGAGCAGGAGACTCCTTTTTGTCTGTGTCCTTGAGGATTAAAGCAGACCGTGGCTTGCGAGTTTGGAACTCTTGTCGAGACGCGAGGGCGACCATGAGATTGATAGCAGAAATCTTTCGAGAGACAATATCTTGTTGATTTAAGTCCTTGGAGAAATCGCACAGAACCTGCTGTAGTTGATATCGCTCATTGAGTTGATGTTGGATAATAGGCGTATCCTCCTTATCCTCCAAGGTCTTGCTGGATGGTCTATGCAATTGCTTTTTCATCATCTCGTTATGAACACGAAAGAAGTAATCCTTTCGGAATTCCTTCTCAATCTCGTCTTTCAGGTTTTTCTTAACATTCGTGAGGTTCTTTCGAACATCTTCGTACTGCTTTCGAATCGTTTGCGACGCGCATCTGATAAACTTAAAATCCCGCTTGATCTGAGTGTATAGCTTCTTGAACTGTCGCTCAAGGTCGACGACATCTGGATCTGCAGCCAAAAGTGATTTCATCATTTCGGTCGGAACTTCCTTGGGTACATCTCGGTTGCATCGAATGCTCATATGTGTAAAAGCTCGAGTAAGCCCATCATCGGAGATCTCACTTTCAAGAAAAGCATCCTGTACATTGAATCTGACGATGTTGTTTATATAGGCCCCGTTGAAGACTCCGGTGAATGGGTCATGTCTCATGACCTGATCACGAACAGCGTCTGAGGCGACGCCTAAAGTAGCTGTTAGCCTAGAGAATGAGACAAAAATATCAAAAAATACATACCATCGACTGCATTTGCAGTTCCCCGGCGAAAGCAATAGCTTGTCAACTTGTCTTCAAAGCCAGTATCCTTTCCTAGACGATCAATATAAAAGGTATAAGTCGAATAAATCATTGGTTCTGTCTTTGACTTCACCCAGCCATTAATGGAACAAACAAACCTTCGGAAGATTAGTCTTTTGAGCCATTCTGGCTTCCAATGTACCTTCATAGCTTTCATACCCTGACCTCCAAGGTCCGTTGTGAAGAAGGGTTCGGCAGATGTATAGCCATCGACGAGAATGGCATCATCACGGATCGCACATGTCAGGATGTGAGAGATCGGACAAAGAATCGGTAGAGGATTTTCCCGGAATAAGAAGGTCGTGCTGAGATGAGTTAGCCAGACCTTCGAAGGTAGGAAGGAGCAACATACGGTTTGGGCTTATTATCGACACCTTTATGATGCCGTAAGTGAACTTCTATGGCAAGAAGGTCTCTCCCCCCAGGCCTTGGATTCTATACTATCCAGAGGCAGATATCCTCATAGCAAAGTGCTTTGTACTGTTGTATCGCCTCACCAAACTCGTCGTGTTTAACACCAATACAAGTCTGCGGAACTGATTCCCCAGAGCCGCTAATCTCAATAGTACAGCCTTCGTTTGTGTTCTCTGCTATGGCAATATCTGTCCCATCGGTGCCGTAACCGCTATTAGGATCACCTCTACAGTCCATATCGTCGTCAAGCTTATCATACTCAGAATCGTCGGCATCCTCGGTATCGCTTGTATCGTCGCAATCGTGATGCGATGATTCTCGAGGTTGTACATCTTTATCGATCTCTGCATTGCCAAAAGGATCTTCGCCAACTTTGCCCTTTGATGAATGAACAAACTCTGCAGATCGATCGCCAGTATAGGATTGAAACAGCATTGTAGTGGCTACATCATATCGATCGTCCTTGGTAGGAAAAACGGATTCATCGCGAGCCCAATGTTGAATAAACAATAGAAATAGATCATCTGATCCGGCCACTGGTTTGGCTTTTGCCGTGGTATCCAATCCAAACTTATCCTTTAGTGTACCATTGATATACTTCGCGAGATTAATATGAAAGCATAAGAATAAAATATAAAGGGAAGATTTTAATATATTTTAACAACCTTGTTTGAATCATTTACATTTACAAAGGTGCTATTAAACCGACGATAGAGCATCTTAAAATCCTGCCAGTATTGATTAACAGACTTTCTCTTCCCCTTCTTTCGCTTCTTCGCCAGATATATCTCGCAGACCCAATGAAGAAATAGCATCATTATGCCTTTGTCGCAATTTTATGTTAGGATAGTTGTTCGCTAATGACCGATACCAATATGATTGCAATATCTATATATTCTTCAGTCTGATGAAACTATAAAAGTAAAAGATTTTACATACCTAATAAATTTCTGTCTGATGTAGTAGATATTGGCTTTCGTATTCTCGGCATCGAGTGACTGCAAAAACTATGTATTGTTCAGATCAACCCACAGAAATCGATAATCCTCTCGGCTAAGCATCTTCTTCTTCCTTTCCTTGAGTATTTTGTTGTTATCGTTGCATCGTCTTAGAACATTCTAGAGCGTTTTGAGCGTGTCCTCCACTGGAATTTGGATGGTAGGCGCCATGATTGGTCGAGATTGGGACTGGACAAAGATGGCAGATTTGTACTCGAAAAAGGCTTGTAGATTATTGGGAACGAATAATAATAAGGGGCGTTTGTGAATTACTGGAAATGAACAAAGGGAGATATAAGGAAAGAAAACGAAGTAGGATTTCGAGGATAAAACTGGAAAGAAATAGAATATAATGAGAGTAGATTCTATAGTTATAAGTAATCATAGTAATTGAGCGAGTATTGCAAATATTTATAACACAGACAACTATCAAGGCAAAAAGGACAGGCAAGAGTTCCCATAATGAAAAAGAGAAGAAATGCCAAAATAGGATTTTGGATCAACAACATATTGGAGGGGTGCTTTTTGGGATACAGGTTTCTGGGATGCGGGTTTCTGGTATGGGGGGGAAGTTTAGTGTAATCACGTGCTCTGTAGGCAGGTTTACCGAGCGGTTGAGGCTGCGTAAAACAGCGACAAAACCCGCCAAATACAGTAGCTCAAACCGCCGTACTTAGACATATTGTATAATCTCAAAAAGAATAATTTTTTTAATAAATTATTTTAAATAAAATTACTTATTTGTTACTGTTACGAGGTTTGCTGTCTAGATCACGTGGAAGCGCTCTAGGCTCTCGAGTGTCACGATTCACCATTAGGATTGATGGTGTTACGATGGTAGCAAACTGATTAATTAGGAGAGCTTAGGCCTTGTGCAAACACGATCAGATTTCATCGAATTAGTATGTGATCTTGGTCACCTGAAGATCGTATGCGCACGCACCATCAGAAATCACGTGATAAGGAGCCCCAGGAGCTTCGTGCTCAACTTAGTTATCAATTAGTTTACCTACATTCTACTTGATCTAGTAACGAATTCACTTTCAAGTGAATACCAGTGATAAAGCCTTAACCCATAACTACCAACCGACGAACCTTAGGCAGCCGCTGCCTCCAGTATAGTATCGTTACATCGAGGTAGGTTTATAACTAGGCGTCAAGCAGGGACTTAAATAATGATAATGATGCAATTCGTAACTAATAGTAGAGTATACTAAATGATTGATCTTGAGTACGAAGCTCTACAATAAGGAAACTCTTTCCAGTTATATAGATTTTCGTACTATGCATCCCACTGCCCTCTATCGTCCCATCAAAGTGGGAATAATCCCACCATGGTGGAATTCCCCAGCTCGGTAGGAATCCTTGATCACGTGTTTTCGGTCAGATTCGATGTCTGTACTTGCTCAAGGTGAGGAGGCCATATAAGTCAATTGCCATACAGTTTTATATGTGAATCTACTTGCTTTTCCAAATGGTTCAAGCTCGTATGGACAGATCGGCTGTTACTTCGTAACAGAAATTAAAGTACATTTTGAAGTACATCCTTGAAGGATCAAAATACTTCCAGAAAGTATTATTCTAAATTTTTGATCGAATTTAGCCTTACTTTTCCTTCAGTAATGGTCAATATTTAAGGAATGTATTTTATATATGTACTTTTTGCTTTCTTAGGGGTGATGATGGAGCGATACAATTCACCTGAGGAAAAGCATCAGCTGGTCATGACCAAAGTTTGCATGTTTGAATTTAGAGATTCACAGGGAGAGCACCATGTCACTAGTGCTGCCTGAGAAACACCCATCTTGCCTTTTGAGTTTATGAGTAAAAGCAAGATGTCAGTCATAGTTACTGCATCTTTTTAAAGGACATAAGACTTTCAACCATAAGAGTACGAACCATACACTATCCTGCAATGAGCTAGACTTCTACAGTGCCAAAAATGGAGCATGGTCATCCTTGTACATTGTAAGATGTGCAACATAAGTCTTCCATACCAGAGACCACGAATTAACGAATTTAAAGCTCAATAGACTAGTTTTAGGTCCCGTTAATGGTCGCAACTAAATCTCGATATATAGTCCAACGTTGAGCCCACTAATTCTTTCAACACCCTTGCATAGACATGCAACAGAACAATAATTTATATTTGCAAGAAGCAAACTGTTATGAAAATGTCAGCGGGAGATACTTAGGGAACTAAACTGCAGATGTCAGAAGGACACTTTTACCTAGCAACTTCACAGTGAGCACCCCAAGTACTAGGTAAATTAGCGAGCAGGTTCAACCTTAACCGGCCTTTTCGACGATAAATTAGAACCAAACATAACCTGCCAAGTGCCACGCAATAGACAATCTCGAAGCTAAATTGAGTGCATTCAAGGGTAAACTATGTCCGATATCAAAAGATCAGATAAAACGGTCAGTGAAAAGACCCGAAGGTCCAGCATAGTTGCAAAACTAAGTATGTGTAAATTGGCACGTGATGCGGTGAAAATGCATCAAGCGGCCGCATAACCGCTTGAACCTCGACATTGACTTTCTACTTATTTTCTAAGCAATATCGGTCGCGTCAACACTCCATAAAATGAAGCGCATCAGTCAATTGCCCCTGGCGAATGGCCTGAAAGGTCTACGAATATACAAATGTCAATCTCTAGCTCCATTGAGCCAAAGGTGTATACACACAACTCCACCATCGCCCGCAACAGTTGCACCTGCCGCATTCACGGCATCTGGACCACCGCCAGCTGCACCAACTCCCAGCGCCGAGCATGTTGATATCCGGGTGGCTAGGAAGAGGAAGCAAGCAGAGTTACTCAAGAGGGGTCAAGATATGAGAGCTGTGGCTAGTGGAAAAGGTGGTGGAACGGCGAAAATGAAGAGGTTCTGGAAGGATGTGAATATACAGCATACGGAAGGTAATATTTGTAGATTTTTCATCTTAGCTTGAGAAACAAGTTCACTAATATGTGTTGCATATTCAGAGGGATTGCAGATTTTCCTCGACAAACGAGCTCTTCGACGACCTTCCAAAGAAATTCTCACAATACCACATCATAAGCCACATTTAGCATCAGCGATTGCCCTCGAATGGGATCTCCTCGTATCAGCACAACAAGCTTTGAAAACCCATCTTATCCCAATGACATCTCTCGTGAACCGGGCTCTTGACATAATAGATGAAGAAAAAGAGGGGAGGAATACGATAAGAGATAACATTGTCACAACTGTGATGCGATATCTCGATACAGATTCCCTCTTATGTTGGGCACCTGAAGCACCTGAAGATCCACCAGGATATGAAAGTCATGTCGACAGAGTCGAAAGTCTACGAAGCATTCAGAGGAAATCTGCAGAACCTATAATCCAATTCTTGTCTGAGAAGGTTTGGCCTGGGGTGGAACTTATCCCGGTTTTGGACGCCGATAGTATTGTACCTAAGAGTCAACCACAAATGACTAAGGATATAATAAGAGGATGGGTCTCCGGATTACCTCCCTTTGAGCTTGCAGGGTTGGAAAGGGGTGTATTGGCCGGAAAGGGTCTACTTGGAGCTGCACGATTAGTAGTTGAGTGGAGTACTGAATTTACCAATTTACGAGATGACACTGCTAAAAAGACATTCGGCGTAGAAGAGGCAGCCAAACTTGCAAGCTTGGAGGTGGATTGGCAAATTGGTATGTGGGGAGCTGTTGAAGATACACATGATGTTGAGAGAGAAGATATCAGGAGGCAATTGGGAAGTGTAGTATTACTTGTATCTGGGCAAAGGAAATAGGTAACCTGTATTGTGGCTTTCAGAGGCAATATACCATGTTAATGATGAAATTATGATCAAGTAAACATTCAAAGTTTAACCTCGCAGTTATATTCACTGATCATATGAAAGAAGTGAACTCTTCTCAGAGTGCTTCAGTACAGTTATAAATGAATCCCGGGCGGCTAGCTTTTGTAGTTGATTCTCCTACCGTAATCTTTTTGATTCTTCACGCTGATGCCATTGTTCATTACGGGTGTATGTCTGATAAAACAGATATGACATGTATCAGCACTCAAGTGTCGGATCTTAACCTTGAATTCTCTAGTCTTGGAGCGAATTCCCCATCTCACATATGCCAAAACCTCTTGACTTCGTTCGAATGATATACATTATCTATATTGACTGACTGACAGCCTTTAACTAACGATCTACTAGATTATTCATGCATGTATGTATTTTCTTGTGTATCGTTGCGTCTCGTGATAAGCCACCCAAATTATCGCTAAAAGTTTGGGTCGACAGAAGGAAATGTTATGGAAGAAGATTTATACTTTACGTTTATATATCCTACACCTTTCTTCTCTACCGTCCTATTCACGATGACTCTTCTTCTTTTACATCAAAAAAGATATCTTCAACACCTGCCCATGCTTCTCCAGTAGGAGCCTTCTCCCGCTCATTCCAATATTTGTTGTTGAAAGCCCAGTATTCCTCTCCAGTAATTGGACATTTAGATTTCTCGAACCAGTGAGGAACGAAAGTCTCGCCACGCCTTTCACGCTCTTGACGTCTGGCACGTTGCTTCTCTTCGAGACGATTCTTCTCCGTGGCAGCCAAATCGTACTCGCCATCCTCCATAGCACGCTGATCAGGTCGTAATCGAGAGTCTGTGGGGGGCAACCAGGGGCGAAGGTTATCGTTTATATCGTTGAAAGTGAGAACGAAAGGAGTCAGATTGAACGGGATCCCGATTGGTCGTGGATTAGCTTCCCAAACCAGAAATGCTTGACTTGGATCATTTACGCTGCCTTGACGGCGAGAAGGGTCAGATTTTGGTTCTTCAACAGTTGCCTCATAACCAGGCGTGAAACGGGCATAAATTTTGCTGTTCCAGCGACCACCAAGACTGAATCGAGTTTGACCATTTGCATCGTTGACTCTACCAGTAATATGATAAGCGCTGGAAGCTTTCCAACCTCTAGCCTTGAATTCAACGTTGCACACTTCACCCGTTGTCCAGTTCTTAATCTCCATAGGTCCATAGTTATCGACTACGGGGTTACCAGTGATGATACCAATAACGGAAGAGGTGACCTTTTTCCAGGTATATAACTCTTCTGGACCACCGGCCGTAGGTCGAAGTTTGAGAAACCAAGTGCCAAGTGGATTAATATCGAAAGACTTGCCATAGAATTTGGACTTCACAGCCGATTCTCCATAATAAGTCCATTTCGGAGACTCAGCCCATGCAGCACCAATTGGTGGATGATGACTGACTTGCTCGATAAAGAATCGATAATTCTTGTCTGGACGAACGTATTCGAAGGTTTCGCCGAGGAGAGGATTAAAAGGTTTTGCTACTCTATCGATGGTAGATGCATACTCACTTGAGGCGAATGCTGCAACATATACCATACGCTCGATTGAATCCGCTCGATCAGCTGCAATATCCAAAAGATCTGCGTATTCCATATCTTCACCGCATCGATAGAGCAATGATGTAGGTTCGTTAAAGGACACAGGAAGCGTCATCTTTGTCATGTCCTTGCCAATCATAGACTTCAGGATACCCTTAAAAAGTGTTAGTGATTACAAGATAATTGGGTTCAGGTACATACCCATAGAGAAATCTTTGGTCGATCATCAGCATCCATCTTTAGACGAGTCCGTATGCCATTTTCATATCCCTTAAACGCTGAACTGATATCTAGTCCCTCCGCTTTGACGAGTCGACTCTCTTTTCCTTCCTCAACTTCAGCTACATCAGGGTATGAAGGTGGTAGAACTTTGACCACTTCTACTTGTCCAGCATCAACAGCATCAAAAAATTCGGCATCATCGTCAGAGTCCGTATCAGAAATATCAGGCAGGCCTTCAACAATCGCTTTCTGTCGCAGTGAGCTTTTACTAGTTGGAACATGTCTCAAAGGAGCGGTGCCGTCATCATTGAGGGAAACAACATCAAGAGCTTCGGTTATTCCGGACTCCGTTGATGGTTCACCTCTACTATCAGGTCTAGATGCCGTTCGAGTGACTTCACGGAGTACTCGCTTTGTCAACTTTCTTTTTTCTTCTGATTCGCCCATGCGAGCCATTAACTCATCTTGTTCCCGAGCTACTTGAGCCATGCTTTCTTCCCACATTCGTCGCATGTGCTCTTCTCGATCAAGACGATGTTGCCAATACGCATCTCTATCTTTGGATATTTTCAAAAGATCGCCGACAAGACCCTTGAGATTACGAATGGCCGAATCATAGGTCGCGGCTGCTTGGCTTGCAACGGGGTCAGAAATGACAAGATTTGGATTTCTTGATTGCTCTACTTGTAATGCAGCATTTACTTGTCCCATGAGTTCAAGTTGGAGTCGAGCAGATTGAGCCGTGATTTCAAACGCATCCTTGCCTGCCGGCATCTCGTGCTCACTAGAGCCATCGCCATACTCCTCATCGTCATCTCCATCCACAGGCCCAGTTCCAAAGAAATGGCTTGTTGGTCTACCCCCATCGCCCAGGAAACTTGGGTTGTAAGATCCATAGTTGGTTTCCTCATCATCGCCGACACTACCAGTATTGCTTGTAAATGCGACTCGAGTACTTGACATTCTGCTGAGACTAGTCTGAGGCATAAGCCTGTTGCCCTGAATGCTCTCACGACGTGAATCTGTGTAGACAAGGGATGGCTCGTTGATCCCATTGTTGTCAGAGCACTCCTTTGACCCGTTACTGGAGTGGTCTTTCGCCTGTTGTAACAACTCCAATCTCTTAGCCTCTTGTTTTTCCTCTTCCTTGGCCTGATCTTTTGTCCATTGAATAGAATTATTGAGTGCCCAAAACCACCTTTTAGCCTCAACTTCATGGTTCGCTTTGAGGTGATATTTGACAGATGATTTTCCAATAATCTCAAACTTGGTTTTCTCCGTGGGATCCATGTTGAGCGTTGCGATGCGCATGTTGATTGCACCACGGCAAGCGGATCCTGCATCATCCTGATGTTTGGAATAACTTAAAATGCCATCTTCTAAGGTAAACCAACGTAGTTGATAACCCTTGCGATAGTTTGTCCACTTTTTTAGATAGCCCTGCATCTCCCGACCTTCTTTACCAGCTAGAGCATCTGATGGGTTGGCGTTGACTATTCCTTGTTGAGATGCGTTTCCAAGGACAGCTTTTTCCTGAATTCCACGTTGAGCGGCAACTGCAGCAGGGGACTTTTTCAACATGGCCTTGGTGGCGTCATCTTTCGTAACGTCTTGCGGTAACTTTCCTCTTCGGTCGCGGCGGAAAGGATCAGCACCGTGTAATAGCAAGACTTGGATGAGCTCGATGTTCTTTTTCCTGGAGGCTTCATGGAGTAAAGTACCACCTGAGTGAACCGTGATTGGGTCAGAACTGAATTCTCCACCATTGATGTCCAAGACTGTCTTCACTCGGGATTCCTCTAAAACTTCGCCCAACGACTTATAATCCCCTCGTGCAACCAGTTCCTGTATTTGTCTAATTTTGCTTTCCACAAATAATGAACGAGAGAGCTGTAGTTGTTGAAAAATGTCTGGTGTCCGAGCAAGGTCGAGAGGCAGACGGCCAGCATAATTTGGCAATGAATCATTAATACCAGGCTGCTCAAGAAGCAAACGCACAATAGGGCCACGGCCTAAGCTTGCAGCAAGATGAATAGCAGTATTTCCATCACGATCTCTTGCATTGACGTCGATCGTCCCAGCCCCATCAGATAACACATACTCAATTACTTGTTGTTCGGCACATTGAATAGCTAGATGCAGGATGGTGGTATCTTCAAGATTGGTTGAAACTGTTGCCCTGCTAGAAATGCTCATTCGACTCCCGTCTGACTCACGGATCGCCTTCGATATTGCTGCTGTGTCACCATTCTTTAATGCCTCAAAAATCTTAAATTTTCGTACAGTCTGCTCGATTGACATCGTCTTATCAGGGGACAGAGCAGCTGTCGTCCGCGGATGGGCGCTGGAAGCCGATCTCATGAGTCCAGCTGCACTCGTCGATTTCTTTGAAGAATGGCTTAGAGGAAATTGAGTCGATGTAGTCGGAATCGTGGGTGAGTGTGCCGTAGTCGCAGGGGACATCGGAGCTTGGTATTCTGCATTTTCATCGTCTTTTCCGTCTCTCCTGCTTCGAAGGAGTGATAAAGCAGACGATTTACTGCGTTTATGACTAAGAATGACGAGGTTAGCAGGTTGTCACTGTCCACAACGACATCAAAACATCAAACACCTCGAGGGGGATAAGCTCTACTTACGTTGACTCTACGGGGTCCGTCATATTTAAAATACCACCCTTATCCACGGTTTCGATATTTTGCAAAGTCCTTCAGAAAGTTGATATTTGTGCCAACGAGCAAGTTGGTCGGGGGGTAAATGCCAACTTTCGGGCTGAGGTCGAATGATCGACAGTACCTTCCTTCCCAGATTTGAGGAATTCTTTTGGAAAGAATGTGATGCTTAAATGCAAGAGAAAGCGAAAGAAAATCCAATAATGGTTCATCCAAATATCATGTCCTCGAGGAAATGTACAACCAGACCTTGAATTTCTCGAGGAAGGAATTAATTATGCAGCTGTTCTGGCCAAAACATTCGGGCCAAATAGATTAACAATGACGTTTTAGCGAATGTGGAGAGATTATGTAATCATATATGTCGGGTACCGGAGGAACAATAAACAAGGGTGGAGAAGCTTGTTTTGAGTGAATGTGTCGACGTCCTCAAGTATACATTGCAGCCCTTCATTGATTCATGAATTTGATGTGCTTAGAAGAGAAAACTCCCGACTCTTTCAAACCACATGGAAATTCCCATAATACCCCAACTTTATTTTGATTAATTCAAAATAGGGGTATATAGCCTCGAGGCTCTTGTTTTAACGAGCCAATTATGTATAGCCTCTCTTAAGACTTGAAGATTCTTGGAACACTGCTAGGCGTACTTTTCCGTAGAAGAGATGTGAAGGGTCATTGGAAATTTCAATTCAATTGAATATATACAATAGTCATGGCCTGATTGGAAACTAACTGGATGCAATCCCATTCCCGAACATCATTTGAGCTATTCCTTCCCACTTATATCCTGATGAATCCAATGCGGAGTAGAAGGGATACAAAATCCAAATGGATGACATTGTCATGAAGTGCTAGATTTGTTTAATATTTACATTAAGTTTATTGTTGTACGCCTATGTTTACCTCTTTGTAACTTCGACTGTCTTTTATCATGTTTGACATCTGTTTGTAATCTACAATGTAATGGAGCCTGGTGTATCTTCATACTTCAAACCTCAGTTGCACTTTTCATACTGAACACCGATCACAATAGTGATGAAATTCGTGGCCTGATGATTTAGACAGTCCTCGTCTACACATCTCCACCGAGAGTGGGCACATCTATATCTATCAGTGTGTGAATTAAACTCTGTTTATTATTTCTTGATGTTTCTGGCTTCAATCTACTTTCACATTTCCTACTGCATTATATTAGTGTCCATTACATCATAAATAAAATTAATCTTTCGATCAAAGCTTCTTGTCTATTGACCTTCATCACCTCATCAACCGAAAAATAACAGCCAATAGAGCAGGACTTGAAACTGTTGAGAATCTTTTCTGTATTTATTTGCTTAGTTTATACCTAGCCAGGCAACAATTTTACCATTCTATCTCATCTCCAGTCTTTTTAATATTCCACTTGGTGAATCTCGAAAGGGGTGATGTAAGAACTGGTGTCAAACTTTTCAGCTTCCGGATCTTAACTAGATACTAGGTAAGTTAAAAAGCCAATCATCACACAGTGAATTACTCAAATCATACCACATTAGTCTTGTTATCTCGCCATCTTATATCCCCAACCACGTCCAGGGTCCTTAAGCTCTCTAATATGTCAGCCATGTGATGTATCAATCGGAAAATATGACATCAATGGCTAATCGATAGTGTCTCAGAGAGGTTTGCAATTTCAACTCTTTGGGTGTTGTCGGGGTTATGTTTAGGTATCTGTCAAGGTATGTAGCTTTTCTACTATGACTCAATTCAGGTAGCCAGTTCTCATGTTCGAGAGAGGAAACAGAACCAGGTGATAATATAATTACCTGCCTTCTGCTGTCCTCCCAATTTCGGGTAATTCTGAGATGCCAGTTTCTTGTTTTTCCTAATGAACCTCTAAATTCCGGGTGCTTTGTTCTTAATATCTTTTGGTCCTCGGACTCCTCTTCCCCCCTACATTAGCTAGGAAACCGATCTATAGAGTCAGTCAATCTTCCTGCACAAGCCTTCTTTACAACCAATACAAGCCACCCAAAATGTCTCGCAAAATCCAAGCACCAGATGATGAATTAGCCATCTTTTTGATCCTCCGTGTCATGGTCCTCGTGGTGTTTATATGGACTATGGTGGTTATATGGACCAACTGGTATGAGCGCAGATCAGTTTACCTGCAATTTGCACATTCGTGAGTCTTGGTATAGCTCTAGGTAGGCATTCTGTTACCTAATCCATTGAGCAAGGAACTATATCTAACAATACAATAAAGGGCTGCAGCTACTCGCAAGATCAGTGTTTCTTTTATATGGAGGTCATGAAGAAGCTTATTCCGTTTCGTAGCTATTTTGAGTTCGAAATGTGAGATCGTGCTAGAAGAAAGAAGAGGGAAGGAAGATGATGTGTTTATTGCAGTGATTGATGTAAGTTATTTCTTCCGCAGCCGATCGACAAAAACAATTCGATTTGGATGACTGCTAATTCTCAATCCAGAATACCTTACCCCACACCTATACAAAAAGAAGCATTGGGTCGATATATCCAGCACCGGAAACCCACCTACCATAGGGAGAAGTCTGAATTATGGAAAGAAGAATGCGATGTTTTAAAGCATACACATCAAATACATAACTAATTTGAAGTAACTATCCCAAAGCATTTCACTTAAGTTTTATCATTGCGGGTGATCGTGAAACATGTGTTCATGAGACATGTGTGTGTTTCTCTCTCCTGGAGCCATAGATCACATGTAGAATATGCTGCTCCTATGCTGTTAGTAATTCCAGCAATTGCATAATGTATGAACGTAAGTCCAGCACTTCCTCCGCAGCATGTAGCAGTGATAAGCTGAGTGACTTTAGTCTAGAATAATCTTTTTTTTTCAGCAGCAATCGCTTTACAAGTGCTGATGTGTTGCTTGATCACCAATCCCGCAAATATGACAGTTTATATGCTCCGATTATGGATACTGAAGTTTTATTGTGTGAAGAGAACAGTGTTGAGCCGTCTAACTCCCTTGTCCAAAAGGGTCATGCAACTGCCCAACTAACTTCAACTACTACACACCTCTATGCACGGGACTGTCGTCTTACTTACCAAAACTTCAATACAGACGATATTAAAGAACAAATCATCATTCAAACGCAGAAAGAAGCTGTAGGTAGTCCCCAACTGAAGTCTCTCCCGACCTCTCCGAAATTTCCACCTAATCTTTTGTCAGATATTGACTCTTGGCATGCATGTGGAAACGGCATGAAGGACTTAGATCATATGATGAGAAAATCTGGGATAAAAAAGTATCTTTGTCGATTCGTGCTGCACCTGCGATCAAGTTACGGCTACCTTTCGTCAATTATAGTTTTTTCTTCTCTTATGGATGGCTTTGATTGTGTGTGGGTGTATGTGAGACTGTGAATATTCATGGATTCCGTACACGGAGCGCCATCAGTACTTTTGGAAAGACGTATAGCTTCGTTGATGAAGCTGGTATTTCGTCTTTGAGACGCGGGGAATTTGGTGAGGTATCATGTAATTGATTTTGCGTTTTTGCCCTCTTTCTAACATAATTAGTAAGATAGGGCTTTGCGCATCTAGTGCTGGCCAATACTTAACAGCAATAACCTCGGATTAAGGGTCGTAGGTGAAGGGGAGTCTGATCATAGGAAAGAGATGAACTTCGAGAAGTCTTGTTAATCAGTGCATAACGCCCAGTCTACAATTGATAGCGAGACACAAATCCACGCCGCTTGGAATAGAAAAGAGAGACAATTGATGATATGTCTAGGGCTCAGATTCGAGGTTCCTGGACTTTGAAGTGTAGTTTGGTAGCAATAAAATTCATTATCCGCAACCGCTCCGGCGTACACTTCAAGATCATCCTCGTGGTTTCTATCAGGATATCCAAGTTTGTGACGAAAGTATCTGTTCTCATTGAAGTTGATGATTGAATTCATGACATACACTTCAATATCTAGCACAGGGTATCACATTTGGATAAATTGGAGACCTGGACGACGTTGGGCTAAGAAAAGACGATAATATCTCGACTGGAGTATTATTTGCTAGGACACAGATAGATGAAATTGAAAGCTAGATGACCAAACACCAGAATAGACATCCTAGCCCGCGGTACTAGCAGTATAACGCCCAACTCAAACAGATTCAATACGCATTCATGCACCCCTTATCATCATCATCATCGATATTCCAATCACCTTTTCGCAATCAAGAAACTTAAGTTCTTACAATTGCACGTTTTGCCCTTGCGGAACCTAGTCCGCGTTGATTCTGGACTCGCCCATAGCCGCAAAAGTCATCTGTATTTCGAGACGCAAGTCCAATCAGCAAAGTATACGCATCGGTGTTCGTCATTGAAAGAAGGAGACGTCAAGAATCTTACTATTGCATGTTCACCCCTTGCCGAATTTATCCGCGATTGATTTTGAAACGACGTATTGCAAGAACAATTATCCGCACTTCTAGAATCATCCCTCAGCCAAAACGTTTGGCAAATTAGGCATAGCCGCAGTCATCTTTGAGAGGAAAGAATGGATGGGAAAGAGCTTCCAATACCCAAACCATCCCGCTATGACCTACTGCCTCTTCAATATCAACGTGATCCTCAGTACTCTCATTCCTCTTCGCTGTTAGTGTTACCACAATCACCAAAACTATCGCCAACTCATTTATTTCGAAACTCTGCTCTATGATGAAACCACTCATTCACTTCTATCTCTGCACCTCAACCAATTCCCCCAATAATCTCAGTAAAAATTGGCTTGATAGCGTGACACTGGCATGAAGTTTTTTGCTTCTTACCGCCAGGCGGGCAGGAATTTGAAGGCTAGGGCATAAGGAAGATAGATACTTCATCCTCACTAAACTTATGTATCCTCTCCCAAACAGCAATACAGCAATACTACCGAGCACTCCACCTACACCTACGAAAAAACATCAATAGTTTTATTTTCGCAATACATATCGAGGGGAAATATCGAAAGAGGTGAATTTTCGAGATTGTAATACCATTAAATATAAAAGCATTCGTCCACGATGGAAAACGCAAATGATCATGACCAAATATCTATCTTATCAAGAACAGACACCAACTGTTCTAGATGCTGAACATAGGTATCCTCCGTCAGTTTAACGGTGGGGACATATATAATTCATAAATTACATCTTAAAGGAAAAGAAAAATTAAGCGACTCGATTAATTATTTATAAAAGACTCCAGAATAAGAAAAGAGTATATCAATTGACTAGTAATAAATTATCTCCAGATAGAAAAAAAGAAAGAAGAGACAGTCTAATTAATCGACTACTTATAATATAAACCACCATCAAATAAATAAATCTAGAAGAGTAACCTTACCGACCTCATTCAGCCACTTTTGGAGCATTTCCACGAGTTTGCCTTGCAGTATCGGCCTTAGAAGCTTTAGCAGTAAGGGACCTTTTGATTGGGAAGTGCGGACTGTACACGTGCGTGTAATTGAGCGAAATTCAGACAGACGCATTCTGTAGATATCAGCTTGAAGATTTTCAAAAGGGTCTGTGTTTGTGATTGCAGCTATGAAGTTGCAGATCACAAGGATGTCGCTATTGGAATCCTTGGTTTGGGAAGCTGAAACATCCTTGACGATATCTTGAACTTGTGCTACCTCGGGAATGCGAGAAACTGCCGATCAACTTGCCGGCCTTGGACACATTCACGTCAACTTTTAAGGAGTCATATATCTCCATGTATCAATACTGATTCTTTAAAGAGCCCATTCGTTTGGCGATTGCACCAACCTAACGACTATCGTCATCCGACCCTAGCTTGACGCACCAGGGATCCCGTGAGACTGAAGTAGACTTATACTTTCGTGCTTTTGGTGATTTTTTCTGTGCACCATCAATATCTCATATTTTCACTGGGTCGAAAAGATGAATCTGACGGAGCTCCAGATATAATCACGATCAAAGAACCGCACACTGCTGTCTCCTTTAACCTCTGGCCCACTTGGAGTCATTCTATATTGGCTCTCAACGATGTTGTCTTTCTGACGCCTTTGGTTCCTACCTGAATATCATCGCTTCTTGGATAATTTGAGATGACCTTTTCAATTAGCTTGGAGATTGGACCACCTGGTTTCCGCGGATTTGCCAGAAAATTTTGTTGTTGTCTGACTTGAATGGTTATATTGGAGTATGGTGGCTTATCGCTAGCTGCGGCCCATTCGAGGATATCTGAAATGCACTTCGTCGGTGTGACTTCATCTTGAAATAATTTTGTGAGGAAATTTGAGACAATGCTGTTGAGAGCAAGATGTCTTTGGTATCAGAATTGCGAGAAACTGTTCCAACCGAAGCTCTTGGAAAAGCAGATGTCCATCTAATTACCGCCAAGTTTGCGATCTCTTTTGCATCCTGAGCATTAAGAAGGAAAAGGATCCCGATGCCAAATGATTTCGCCGATATCACCAGATTTTTTCCATATGCTTTGAGTTGTTGATATCAAGCACAAACCTGTTCCTAACCACTGTATTAGTATAAACCATTCTTTGTATCAATACCATAGTCCAGAGACGAAATCGCCAGACGAATTCATCTGTTCACCAATGGAAAACATGAAATCTACCTTTGAGCATCATTAACCTGTGCCCATTTATCGCTTCCCTTCTCCCGTTCTCCCAACCTATTGTAAGCTCTGGATTTTGCAAAGTAATTTTAGAGCCAGCCACCACCCTGTACCTGGGCTTTCTCCGCTTCAGCATCCCCCTCTACCTCCAGGTTCAAGAGATAAAAGGCCAGTAACTGGCGGGTTGTACCCTAAGATACCTCCGCTTTTCCTTTTTGGAGGAGACCCAAGATGGCAACTATCTGATCTCTGCCTGCCTTCATCCTGAGATGCGTGTGCGACTCCAGCTTCTTAATCATTGCCGGGAGGAGACGGCCAGCTTGAAAGATTTTGCCTGCCATAAGAAATCCGACAGAGTGATCGGAGACTATCTGACGACATGAGCTTCTTGACCAGGAACTAAGTACTGGTAGCCTTCCAATGTTGATAGGATTGCACGGTGCTTGAGCTGTAGGTTTCGGACCTCTTCAGTGCCTTCTTTGTTCTTGCGGGTCCCGAGCGAGACTTTCTCCAAGTCTAGCAGAAAATCTGGTCACATTGCTCGCCCGGATACGACAGCTTTTTCAATCTTCTCCAATGGTTTTCAATCTCCCGCTGGCATTCACGACAATAGCAAGTTGTTTGTCAGCCTCCTGAACAGTGCTTTCAACTCGCTGGATAAGCGCCTCCCCGTTGGGTCGACTCAAATTAGCCCATTCTGGGTTTTGCGCGAACATTTTTGCTGAATCGATTATCCTTCCTTGTAGGATTTAATGTTTGAGTACCGAACTTCGATTACCCTCGCAATGGCCATTTCAAAGGGAATAAACCTCATCCTCATCGTCATCGTCATCCTCAACTTCAACACTGTCGTTGCTAGAGGAAGGTGACGAAATTTCACCCGCTACTAATTTCGACTTTAGCTTTGATTTTGATATTCCTCCCCTCACGAAATTCCTCGCCTTCTTTGGCAACTTTTATCTGATGAAAAAATTTCCATCCTTGTATCCTTGAATTCTCTCACATTAAAATATCCAAAAGTCATTGTGTTGGGCCATGAATTTCGTGGGGGTGGAAACGAGTGATTTCGAGCTCGACAATTGCATGTAAAACAATTATTGAATTGGCATCCGTCAACACATCAAGGTTGGGTGTCTATAGCCTGTTGGAATATATACCAAGCAGAGTAAGCTGAGGAACCTTTTACTCAACGCAGCCTGCCAAGCAAGTTTATGTTAAGGTCGTAAATTTGGTTGGTTCCAGTCATACATAGGTTGTCGAATTGTCATCCCGCTTACCCTAAGGATTGGGTGTCTCTCCAGCCACATATTTTCTTATCCCTTCTGCTGGTAGATGTGCCGCGATAACAATTGAAGAGATTGAAGGGTATTAATATCACACCCCACCACCAGCCAACCTTTCTTGATTGTTTCATCTTCCCTTGACCTGCTGCAAGACAATACAGCAGCATTCATACCTGGAAAGAATCGATAGGGTCGACAGGCTTACTATCTGGTATGTAAGTGATTCACACCACTTCAACCAAACTCGAATGAAACATCCATAGGCACACCAAGAATAAAACACTTCCAGTCAAGCTATCCTCGTTGTGCAAAGACATGAACACGACTGGTGATAAGTGGGGTGGATGAAATAGGTTCTCGGAACTCACATCATAATCTTCTGTTTCAATTCCCATTTATCCACTGATATTCCTCATTCCTCTCACGTACCATAAAAATTTGCAAGTAAAGTGATGCAGGTGATGCAATTGGAATCCACTTGTAATAAGAACACTTCATCAAATTTTGAAGCCATGGAGGTCGTTCTTGCATGGTATCAAGTTGCCCCTCACTAAAAATTGATTGCCCCTCCACCAAAGATATGAAGTGAATGAAAATTTGAGTCAGGGATTCCATAAAGATAGGAAGCCACTAACCACTTTGAAAAATCATTGCCGCTGGTGAATCCACCACCAATCCACCCAGATGCATGAGGTTCAAAATTTGATGAAAATGATTGGTTTCTCGTATAATCAAGATAAAACCATTGCGACTAGGTGGGTTGGATGGTCTGTAGCCTGAGCCTGAGCCATCCCAGGAGCCCAATCGCCACATTTTGCCTCTTGGAAAAGATTTCTTCTTGTTGACCTGACACTGGCCGACAGTCCTAACTTGAACTTTTTCACTATCAAAGCTTTCACTTGACTTAATTCCAACGGTGTTAAAGCAGGTAGAAAATGAGGGGGTAAGTTTAGTAAATGAAATAAGTCCACTTTAAATCTTCACCGAACCAGTCATACCGACTGAAACCATAGAAAATTGAAAAAATTGATGAAGGTCACATGATCATACCCCACTACTTAGCGTTAAAATTCTATCGCTTAGCGTGCCGCACAACTCAACTTTTTTTTATAAACCCCGCCCTCCTCTCGCAACTCTCCTTCTTCCTTCTTCGTCGCACATACCTGGATTCAAGTAATCATATCTGTGCAGTAAGTTTTGATCTCCTCCATCGATAAATACTTCTCTTCTACATCAACTTATTGAAGATCGATCAACTAATATCTTCTCATTTCAATAGATTCAATTTAAGAAGAAACAACTTCCACAAATAACCAAACACAACCTTCAAAATGGGGTAAGTTTTGCATCCATGAGAAATTTTCATCATCACTTCGGTCTATTATTTGATTCATATATTGATAACTCTTTGCTGACTTGTTCCTCTTTCACAGAAAGGAAAAGACACATATCAACGTCGTTGTCATCGGACACGTCGACTCCGGAAAGTCCACCACCACCGGTAAGCAGCCTCGCCCGCAGATCTGCGAATACGATCTTTGCATCTTTTCACGAACAGGAACTTACATTCTATACAGGTCACTTGATCTACAAGTGCGGAGGAATTGACAAGCGTACTATCGAGAAGTTCGAGAAGGTGAGATTTTCCCCTCTTATCCTACATTTTTTCTTTCGACACAGTCTTTGTCCCTGTGCGGATTGAGTGCTCAATGCCCAATCTCATCGCGCTGTGCCCCTCGGTGGGGTAAAGATTTTTCTTGTCCCACCAGCAGAATTTTTTTGCGACCGGACATTTATTTTGTATGACTATAAATTTGTCCGGGTGCATCGTGCCGCACGTCAAATTATCGGCTCCACATCACCAACTGCGATCAATACCAACTATCTTTTACAATTGTCACTGACAATCATTATAGGAAGCCGCCGAACTCGGTAAGGGTTCTTTCAAGTACGCATGGGTTTTGGACAAGCTCAAGGCTGAGCGTGAACGTGGTATCACCATCGACATTGCTCTCTGGAAGTTCGAGACACCAAAGTACTATGTCACCGTCATTGGTAGGCTGCCCTCGCATTCACTTTCCCCTCATGCAACCTTCTAACTTTACATCTAGATGCCCCTGGTCATCGTGATTTCATCAAGAACATGATCACTGGTACTTCCCAAGCTGATTGTGCCGTTCTCATCATTGCCGCCGGTACTGGTGAGTTCGAGGCTGGTATCTCCAAGGATGGCCAAACTCGTGAGCACGCTCTTCTTGCCTACACCCTTGGTGTTAAGCAACTCATCGTTGCCATCAACAAGATGGACACCACCAAGTGGTCTGAGGAACGTTACCAAGAAATTATCAAGGAGACCTCCAACTTCATCAAGAAGGTCGGATACAACCCAAAGACCGTTCCTTTCGTTCCTATCTCCGGTTTCAACGGTGATAACATGATCGACAACTCCACCAACTGCCCATGGTACAAGGGTTGGGAGAAGGAGGCCAAGGGAGGAGCCAAGTCCACCGGAAAGACCCTTCTCGAGGCTATTGATGCCATCGACCCACCTTCCCGCCCAACTGACAAGCCCCTCCGTCTTCCCCTCCAAGATGTTTACAAGATTGGTGGTATTGGCACGGTGCCAGTCGGTCGTGTCGAGACCGGTATCATCAAGGCCGGTATGGTCGTCACCTTCGCCCCAGCTGGTGTCACCACTGAAGTCAAGTCCGTTGAGATGCACCACGAACAACTCGTTGAGGGTGTTCCAGGTGACAACGTCGGATTCAACGTCAAGAACGTTTCCGTCAAGGAAATCCGTCGTGGTAACGTTGCTGGTGACTCCAAGCAAGATCCACCTAAGGGTGCTGAGTCTTTCAACGCTCAAGTCATCGTCCTTAACCACCCTGGTCAAGTCGGTGCTGGTTACGCTCCAGTTTTGGATTGCCACACTGCTCACATTGCTTGCAAGTTCTCTGAGCTCCTCCAAAAGATTGATCGTCGTACCGGTAAATCCATTGAAGACTCTCCAAAATTCATCAAGTCTGGTGATGCTGCTATCGTCAAGATGGTTCCATCCAAGCCTATGTGTGTTGAGGCCTTCACTGAGTACCCACCTCTCGGACGTTTCGCTGTCCGTGATATGAGACAAACCGTCGCTGTCGGTGTCATCAAGTCCGTCGAGAAGCAAGAGAAGGCCGGTAAGGTCACCAAGGCCGCCGTCAAGGCTGGTGCCAAGAAATAAATGCAATAATGGAATGAAATAAAATTTATATTCATCTTTGCTTTGTTTCGGGTTCACGATGATTTATGGCTAGTAACGCAAAGCACCATTTCCTTTTACCTCTTCGGGTTACGATAAGATGACTGGGTCTGGGTTTTTGCAATGGTTTAGCTCTTTCCGTTCTGGTATCATACATAGAACATAGTCGTCTAGAATGCACTTCAAAAGTATCTTTTTCTGCGCTCTCACTGTGATTTTGTGAATTATTGTCCCTCTCACGAGTATTTTTTGCAGTCTCGTAAGCGTTGTATGGTTGCTAATCCTGCACCTCCCTCTCATGTCCTGCCTTGACGTAAAAACAGTGTATTTCAGAGATATCCTCAACAAGGTAAGAGCTGGAGAGGAGTAAAGGAAAGGCAAAATTTTCTGGTCGCCCAACCAATCCTCTGGTCATCTCTTCCCTGACATATCTATCTCGTGCTACCTATCGATGCCGCTGAGCTTCGACTTCATGATCTCGGGTCCTCATTATATATTTCTGTCATCACAGTGTGATGGTTATTGTTGCAATATGGGAATATATTTCAAGTGGAGAGTGAGTATGTTTATTTATTTATGGGTATGTGTTTATGAATGGGTGGGTGATAAAGTGTTTGAATTGTTTAGATAAGTATCTATCTAGGTGCGGGGGGATGGATCATTTGAAGTGGGTGGATGATTGAGATGATTGAGATCATTAGATGAGAGAGGATAAGATAATCTATATAGATTGGTTATGTTGGGTAGGTTAGGTAGTTAAGTCTTGTATATGTTTTTCTTCTTTTACAATCATTGAAGTTCTGATATTATCTACGAACCTGGATAATTATTGTGAAGATTACGTATTTATCACCTCAGCACGGCATTCCGTCACCGCACTATGCTTCCATTGTCATTATGACGAGAAAGAACGGATCTGAGAACATCAAGCAACATTCTATTCACAAAGGTGGATGATATCAAATAGACTGACTGTGTTTTGTGGTAACCGAGAATAAACGCGCAGGAGTTGAGCTATTTCAATACTAATAGTACTTGGTTATGCAAGAACTTTGCGATCTAGTGAAGGAGTTACGGGCATCGTTAGTTGTACTGGGCCTCGAAAAACCCGCTGCAAGTTAAACTCACTCGCAGATGTACGTGGGGAATACCGATTGACTAACCCGCTCAACTTCAGATCTAGATGACAGTCACAACCGTCAGCGACCACCTAACATCATGCTACTTACCCATCAGCTATATTTTCCCGCAAAACTTCATGTGTGAAGCACGTTTTTTGGTCACTGGCCTCGGGCAGATAATTAGGAGTATTAGGAGTATGAGGAATTGGAGAAGCTGAATTATGTTTGATTATTTAATGCGTACCAAAAGACGATTATTAAAGAGACTCTATACTTTCGGAACCTTTAGTTGAAGCAACAAGGTCAACAGACGTTGGCTAGTGCACATGATGACAGACTTAATGCGTCTTCGCCTAAGAAAATTCAAAATCGTCTGCGTAATCCGCTTGCCACGGAACTCTAGGCTGTTATGGAACTTGTGCCTCAAGGTGATTATGGTGATTATGAGAATGAGGCCAATGGACCCAGTGGATTGGACGATGGCACTGGTGCTTTTGTATATTGTTGGCTCGAGAAGAGGACATTTCTTAAGCAATAATTTCTCTGCAGCACACACTATAAATGTTCCTTTTTAAAAGTTTGCATTATGCGATCTGAGCTACTTAGATTCAATGCAGGTGGAATATTTTTTCTTGAGAGGTCCATTGCGATCTCCAAGTTTGAGGAAGAAGGAATTAGGTCCTCAAGGTGTTGAGTTTTGAGATGCAATACTGCTGGCTAGGGACTGAAGGATCGAGTGACGTATTTTGTTTACATATATGCGCAGGACTTGGACGTTATTTTTAAAACATCGTTATTTCATAGCTGTACCACATGTAAAGTTGTTATATTGGAATGCAAAAATGAAGTATTTCTATTTTCTTATGCTCATCTTAACTTTTAGCCCTATATTGATGCCTATATTGTAACAGTCTACTCCAAAGCCCCAACCTTTCAATCGATGGTAATCTGGAACTCCGAATCTACCATCAACGCCATCTTATTAGTGTATATTGAGCCCGGTTAACCTCACTATTAGAGATGATTTGAGTGTGAAGTACATCAAATGAGATTTACCTTGTATGAAAAGGATTCAAAGATTGGATCCATCTGTGAATGGGAGAGTGATGTTGAATAAGCCTCTTGCTATGATAATGAGACATCATCAGTAACGATGTGAAACATAGTCAAAAACACAGCATAGATAATTTTGCCTTTAGAGATAAACTAGTATGAGAGACGGAAAATACACTGTTCATCGCCATGGTATTTAAAAGATAAAAAAAAGGAAACTCAAGCGCGGATCCTCATTATGACCTCCCCTGCCGCTTATCAATGACCCACGATGCCTCACTACTCTCCATCTCTTCAGTCCCTCGCCAATCAGGATCCTAACCAATATTCTCAAGCCCAAACGCCTTATGCCAAACAAAACACTTCGCCAAGTGATGCACATATTGGAATGCCACTTCCCTAGGTCTCATTGCATCATCTCCCGACCTCAAATAATTCCTTTATCCACCATAAATTCACACGAATCTTCGCTTTTCACTTATATTCACTTTCCATACAACCACCCAATAAACCCCACAACTCCCAAAAACACAACCACAATCTGGACAAAAAAGCCTCCATTACAACTACCCTCGCCCCCATCTCCCACACTTTGTGCTCTGCCGCGCTCCAAATCGCGCGTCATAGTATTACTATTCCGTATTCGTGACTCCCAATGCGAACGATCGTAGCGTTCAACCGATGGGAGTGTGGCGTGATAGTTTGAGCGAGGGGAACGTGATGGAGTAACTGTATGGTATTGTTGGTGCCATGTCTGTTGGACTGGAAGTGGATTGTTAGGAAAGGGAGATGGATGTTGAAGGAGTGATTGTCTCTCTGCTGTGAGCTCGCACTGGATATGGCGATCTGTGGTGTGGTCGTAGGTAAACCATTCTCGAGTGAATGGTACAGAGGGAGTTGTTTGTATTTGGGGATTTCTGGTTGCTGGGACAGTGGGGATGGAAGTTGCGGATGTTGTAGGTTCAGAATGACTTCTTTGACTGGGAGTTGAGAGATTCGCTTCAGTGGTGTTGCCCCTGATTTCCTCCCATGGATCGCTAAAAGTTACTCTTTTTCCTCTTTGCCTTCGCTGTCTTCTTTCCGCACCGTTCACCTCCTTCGATTTCACCATCATCGTGTCCACCCATTTCATTCTAGCCTCGTTCAAATTGAACATGTTCGCCAAATCCATAGAACTCTGTTTACAAAGCCTCGTATCGAAAGCTCTAGAGTCAGGCTTGAAGCTAATGGATCGGAGCATGGAGAGTGGAATTGGGAAGAGATGTTCGATGATGACAAATGATTGTTTATTCATTTCTCCTATTTCGAGATATAGTTTAATTTCAAGATCGAGGTTGTCCATATCTTGGGGTTTTTGCGATATTGGGATACGAGTTGCGACATGGTATTTTTTGCGTGTTTTAGAGGTTATCTGATCATATTGGGTTCTATTAGCTTCTACTTAACTTTTAAACTATCAATTATACACATAGCTTGTCAATGAAAATTAAAGGAATCATTACCATCGCAATATAACATATATTACCCTCATAACACAAAATCACAACTGGATGGTTATACCCATCATCGTCCAATTTCTTACCATCACAACAACTTTCCCCGCGACTACACACAAGCGACTCATCACTTTCTATTTTTGCCGGAAGCCATACAATACATCCAACGCATAAATCTTTCTTTTTCAAACTAGGTCGAATACTATTCCCGACATGTGGTTCATGAGACGGACTGCGTCGGGAAATTCGAGTAGCATGGCGGCTGCGAGTACGAGGCATTCCATCAATTACCTAGTAATAATTCGCGATATAAATTCAAACTTGGGGTTCATGTACAAGATATAAATGGTCAATCGACGAATAAAAGCATAACAATAAACATTAACATGAAAGAAAGTAATGGAAATACCAACCCTTATCAATTTATCAATCCCCGCCTTTGTACAACCCGTGTGCCCAGCTGTACAACATCGACAAGCCTTATTGTGCATGAATTCGGCACGGAACGTGGAATTTGCGTAGCCAATAGAAATATCTTTGTGAGAAATTAGTGGTTGGGAGTAGAACATGTTGGTTTTTGTGTTGTAGTGACCTCTTGGGAGACCCGCTGTTTATGGCTTCTCGCAAGGCTAAATGTAGATGAATGTCGTGGTGACCAATTAGATGGTGGGCTCGTGATATACTTTGAAACGTGATCAGGAATGATTTTGAGGGGTCTGCAGGAGGATTTTCAGCTTGGTGTTTGTGGATTGAGGGAATGATTAGTGGTTAATGATTACGGTGTCTTATTGCTAGAATGCACCGCTTAATGCCCGTTTCGAAGGAAACTTGAATTTCATAGTTTTTAGACAAGCAGCTGAAAAGCCTGAACACTTAAGAAAAAGCAGTTGTTTGCTTAAGTACGAAGATTGAAAAGACTGGTATGGAAGGTAAAGAGGGCCCTAAAAGACATGATGACAGAACTAAACTTTCAGGTATGACAAGCTGGGAGATTCATCAATGACTAGGAGAAAGGAGCAGGAGCTTACCAAAGAGGCTCTGAGTTGAGAAGTCTAAGATCGTCTCTCAAGCATGAGTAAGTTTGGGTCCAGAACAAAAGAGTGTCTTACTAGTACTCACCATGAATACTGTGTATGAAGCCACGTCATGTTATACATTGAGACAACTTTCAATGTTTTGGATGTTTTTCAAACCACTGAATTACCAGCCAATCTGTGGACTCAGGCTGGATTGTTTTTGTCGCAGCAACCTTGAGTCTATACAAAGGAATCAGGTTTTCTTGAATGATGCAGAAACGGTGAGCTCCTCCTCTACCCAATATTGACCCTCACAATGATAATCCTTATATCTCTGACATCATCTTACCAAGCAACTCGTAGTACTTCTCATCCCGTCGGAATCCTTCGGTTTTATATTCGACTCTTGGGCATTCGAGGCTCTTAATAAGTAGCTGGTGGTATTTATATGACCGATACAATATGTTATTACCTGTGTATTTCTGAAGTTGGGCTTTGAGCCAACGTGGTACCTCCTCTTTCATTGCGGTATTGATACGGGGGAGCACCCCACGCCAATTTTGCTACCAGTAAATTTGTATTCGTAGCTCCGCCAAAAAGATCCGGCCCCGTAATGAGGAGTATACATAATGCCCCCTCCGAAAGTTCCGGTTAGTTTCGTTGCCTGGATTGCTAAATATAATCGAATTGGTATATTTACTGAAGGTGGAAAGGCCCATTGTTTTTGTTGTACCACGCCATTGATAGTTCCAGGTCAGCTGCTCGACTGATGGCTTTTTTGAGGCTGGAAAAGACAATTTTTTCCTATATTGTCACCAAATGACACCATATCGGTAGTATATCTACCTCGAGGACGTCCAATACTTTTACCATCGCAGTTGGAGTCATCACTTTTCTGATTATTCTTTTTGTCTACTCCAACTTTGATGTGATCATGCCTTTGCCTCTTGACGTTTGTTTTTGATGATCTACTTGGCATAGACACTGGCAGCGGGAAATAGATTCAAGGTCAGACTTATAGCAATGACCGTTAGATTCCATGCAGTTTCCGTCGCAGATTAATATAGTTTTGCCGAAATTTCCTTTAATGGGAGGCGTCATGTCTCTAACGGGAGGGCCTAAGATTCCCACATTGCTCTTGATAAGCTGAATGCCGAAAGTTGCCTCCGATGGATGGAAGAACAAGCGCAATAAATACTGGACTAACAGTGTAGGCCCAAATGTTGGTCGTGTTGCCGAATATCCTCTAAACTTTGGAATAGTTGTTATGAAGTAGTTTCCATTGACTATAATGTAACCTCCATTAAAGGTCCAGTGGTGGCAGTATCCCAATTCCATTCAATACGGCTCAAATGACCAATAAATGTGCACGCAGGCGCCAACAAGCCGACATAACAGTACCAATACGGTTCATGAGCTGACACTAGTCCGACAGGAATATAAAATAGCCGCAAAAGTTCTGAGAAATGGGATAGGAAAGCAACAAATAAATAACGAAGATACTCTCAAGTGATGCAATGGGTCTCGTTATACTCTCAAATGTCCTCCTGAACCCTTGACTAGAGGATTGCGTAGTGAAACCTCGATAGAGGCTATCTATTGTCATAATGTACTTTCATTTTGATTCTATAAAGTTGCACGTCTGTGAAATTTCATGCACAAAAGTAACACGATTACGGCCGAGAGGTAATTGGGCTGTAAGGTGACAGTAGATCGTGTGAATAGTACCAGGCGAGATGAATCAATGTCTAGGTTGATACAAGGTAACGGAACGACAGTGGAAGACCTACCGAGTAACTGAAAGAATGATAGACACTCAAGTAACCTTATTTGCTAATATGCTCGCGGGATATTATAACTTGTCTGGCCTTCCATAGGAAAGGAGAAACAACTCTTCACGCTTTAGATCCCGAAAATTTTTCATCTCTGCATCTCTGCCACCACTGATGGTGAGGTACGAAAGGTTCACGGCGAGGAATCGAGTAAGAGTACCTTTCCACTCGTGAAGATTGATCGCCGATAACCACTTCGAAAAGTCCCACTGACTCTGTTTCCCTGAAATCTTTGATGGTGGTTGTGTAGAGGACACCATCCTAATCGGACTCGACACCACCAGAGCAGGTTTTGTCGGGCTTATCGCTTTTGCCACCATGCTCACCATGTTATCTATGGTTGAAACTTGGACTTTTTGCAGAGGGTTTGGAAGTCTCAAGATGATAAAAAGCTTTTGAATTGCCGCTACACAATTTAACTTCATAATCATATCCATCGCTATCCGAATCGAGCCGTCAAACGGCAGAACATAGGGGGTCTTAATTCAATGCAAACGCGGGGAAGTCGTCATTCAAACACGTGATATATCCGGACCAATATCTCTCCGGTGATTTCCATATCTTTCTTCTGCTAAGAACATTCATATACAAATCAGAATTCGACATCATACATCGGACTGTTGAGCTCAAGTTTGTTTTGACAGTCTTGCCAAATAACTCATAGATAATTGGCAAAGAAGTCACTCCATAACTTATATCCACGATAGTACTCTTCACGAGTCCTTAGATTCTCCAAGTCTCCCCTAAATATTGATTCTGATCAGCAATCCCTCAGAAAGTCAAAGAGTTTAGTAACTTACTTTGAAGACATCCAACCATGCACTTGATCATCGAAAGCTTCAAAGTACTTGTCGACCTTCATATTGTTTTCATATGCTTTGCATTGCTACAAGCATTTCATCAGCAGGGTTCTGTCTCATGTTGGAATCATGACAAACCTCTTTATCCTCATCCTTACTAAGTAAAACAATTTGTGGAATTGTTACCAATTTGGCATCCTCAGGGTCTACCAATGATGGATGTGTTTGAGCTCCTGCCTTGAAGATAGTCCCTTCTCGCGAAGCTAATGTCACTATCTATTTGTGAACAATTAGCACTTCATGTTGGTATTTATTTGATTGACTTTATTCATGAAAATAGCTTCCGAAGCATCAATTACGAACCTTTGCGCCCCAGCAATATCCCGCAACCCCCCAACTTTCCACATTCCTTACCTCATCTCTCTTTTTCAAAACATTCATGAACTCTTCTAGCTTTTTCATATTTTTCTCTTTTTCAGCTTGCTCCCTGAATACTTTCAAGATATAATCCCACTTCTCATCTGTATCCGCAGGCCAATAAGCAATATCAGCTTCATTGCCGGGCCCAAAGAAATCAGGCACGAATACTTTTATACCACTAGGGGATGATGAAGTTTTCGTGGCAGCGAGAATATCAGCACCAAGAAGCGTTTGTGTCCAAAAACCAAAGACATCGTAAACCAGAAGAATAGCAGATGTAGCATTCTCAGGTCCACTCACGTCTGCGTGGTAATGGTTAGTGAGTCTTGGGTGAAGGGGAGGGGCACATATACAGTATTTGGTCCCGTCAATGTCGATAAATTCACCAGTGAGCTTGTATTCCGGTCCATGCAGAGGAACTGGAGTACCTTTGCAACAGGCTGTGCTTGGTTGTGTCATTTTGACCGAGTTATGTCAAGACTTTTCGATTTTTCATCAAAGGGAATTTTGTAAGGAATATTGAGAAGCTCAACGTTCAGTCGAAGCTTTATTTATCAATTCGACATGCAATATAAAATTCAAACCTTTTTAGTTACACAAGCTTCAGGGTTCCACAATCTATGCGATGTGATTACTTGACGAGGAATGAGCCCATCATAATGTTCGAGATGCCTTCGCCAACCGCATGCGGAGCCGGATAAAGGGGAAAGTGCGGGGATGATTGGTAGCATAACAACCTATCGGATTTTGACCTAGAAAACTACTCCTCAATTAATCAAAAGTTTGTTTTTCATAAGTGCCAGTCGCAATTGAATACAGGCGGAATGAGGACGAGAATATGGTGTTATGTGATACCGATAGGCTATGGTACATAGGTACGATCAATAATCATCCCACGCCGGTACTCAGATTCCGTCCCAAATCCCGCGGAACTGATGCGGAGTTAATCCCGAAACATTTCCTGTCAAATCTAACCAACTATATGAGACACATACGGTGATAAAGAGTACCTTGACAGCCTTTTTATTTTAGAAAGTGGATAAGATATGAAGTGAATCCTTGCGGAAACTTGATCTGCACGTTGGGAAATTTACCCACTTGAATGCCAATGATGGGTTATAAAAGTTACTCTGAGTCTCAGCAGATGACAGAAGGAATAATAGTGCTGACTGAGGCTGCAAATAGTAAAATGCGCGGGGATGTGAATTCAGGATAATAATGAACAGCATTGCTTTTGTTCTAATCATACCTAGTCAATATCGTTGATTAATATTTTGATGTCTTGAAAGCTACGGAGGATAATACAATGCCCCCTTCGTCCCATCTTTCAAATTCCCAGCTGACGAAATTTCACCATCCATCTCAGCAAAAGCTAAAATTAGTTACTAGAATGACAGTAAAAATTTCAAAGTCAAGGCTGGATTTTTCTCGAACGACAAAAACTTCACACATGCAAATTTCAACACAGGCAAGAACCAGCACGTGCCTCACATAAATGTTCAGAGAATTGCGCATGCGGCTGCATCCTCTCTGTGCTAATAGTCCACTGTACTCGATTATTTGAACACCTATATTTCATGAAGAGACTAGACTTCAGGAAAGGGAGAGATAGTGATGGTATACTCGACATGGACTGAAGCTGGGCATATTGGTTTCGCGAACCTCAATGAATTCATTCTTCCAGCGGAGATGTTGTGTATTCAATTTATAGCACCGAATTTTATGGGGGCTTGTGCTACTGTTGGCTATTGCCTTACTAGAAAGATGGATAAGATGAATATTCACTAGCCTCTACATCACCAATTCGCTGGAAACCTATAAAAATCAACGAATTGCCACTATACAATGACGATCTGTAAATGATTATAGAATCTTACAAGCAATAGGAGTGATGGCGCAAGGGATTTGTGTCCTAGCACCAGAATGGTATCTTTGAAGGCGATGACAACTGTTGAAATTATTCAAGTGATGCATATCGAACCACTCACTACATAGACTTCCAAAGAAAGGAATTCCAGAAACGATTTTGCATGCTGCAATTCACCTGATACTTTAGACGAAAGTTATTTTTGAGTGTTATTTGTACCGAGCAGGTGGTATTATCTTTTTGCTTCGACTTTTGTCACCTTTTCACCCATTTTTGCTCGGATTATACATTCAGATGAATTCAAGCTGCATACCAACGATATCCAGTTCGTAGCCTTAATAATAACCAATATAGAAGAACAAGAACGGAAGTAAAGCTCAATCTTATTAGCTGGCATTGCAGAAACAGAAAGTTTTATTTACCTTTCGATATCACTAATTAGCAGGCCGTTAAATAGCAAAGAGTTCAAGATTCATGAGTCTAAAAATGTAACATCGAAAGTCACATGGAATATTTTGTCTTTCCTCCACTTTTTCATCTTTGTGTCGACCTTTTACATGATGGAAATTATTACTTACCTAAGTAGCAGGCAAAGCTGCACCAAATGTTACTTTCAGTCTATAAAAGAATGCGGAATCGCTTTCTGATTTTTGATTTTGACTTTCGACGAGTCCTGTACCATAAAAACAGGCTTTAGTTCTGGACCTACCAGTTGTGTATCTCTCAAAGTTTGTTCTTGTAAGCCAGCTCTGTGGCGTATGACTTTTCTTCCACTCCCCTCCAGCCATCTCTCAAACAATCGTGCTTATCACTGAAGTTAATGTATTTTTGCCATCATTTTTCTTATTCTCTTGCTGTGGTCGCCTTACATGAAGTTCCAATCACAGTTGATAGTTCATAGTTGGTAGTTAAAGTACCTTCAAAACAACAATTCGATAGAAGAAGATGTCCTTGAGAACATAAGAATAAGATAATGAAGGTACCACAGAAATCAAAATCACCAGAGTTATAACTCATTTAGGTTTCCAATTTCCACTTTGTCGTCGATAGTCCAAGAGCTCTAGAGATTTTATAAGCAATGAGGTTAAATTGCCGGGAGATTGAGATATGATAGATTCACGTACCTGGGTCTCTGACCCCGCCTTTGCATTTACTGATCTGAATATTTAGCCTAGGAAGATAATTTGGAAAGTTGGAGGCTGGTACATATAGGGAATACAAGAGCTAAGGCTCCTGCTCATTCCCAAAAGCTTCAGCGCAACGCGCCTCCTAGTACTGTCTATTTAAGCATCCACAACTACAAAAATTCTTAAATGATGTTGTATCCCTTGCAAATACATAGTCAGACTCCCACTGCTAATCTCGCATCTCCAATTACCATTACCATCACCTACACCTGTCATCATTGTCATTTTCCACAATAATAGCAAACATTTAGACCATAATTAATTTCTGCTTAACTAATGAAATTATTTAACGATACACAGATACAACTTGACAATTCCAAAGTCGACACTGCTGAACTTATTCTAGTAACAAGATTCTAATGAGCTTAGATAGTCAAGAAAGTTCATGAATTATCCCCTTTTAAGTAAGTCCCATGCAGCAGAAATGACGAGTAGATAATTCACTAATCTTAACCATCAACTTCCTGCTGGATTTCCCCGCTCAGTTTCCTCATCACAGATCCATTTTTCGGCCTATACTCTCTTGCTTCCTAATCATTTACCCTTCAAAATAGACCTTCCGTATCAAAGAACCGTAGTATTCACCATCTATATTGAATCTGAAAAACCCACCCTATCCACATCTGAGGATGGCTTCCGGCGAGGAATCTACGAATATATAACTACCTATATAAACCTACAACTCTACCAAAAGTAAGGACAAACCACAGAACAAATGAAGTCTTGTCACAAGGAGGATATATAGCATAACTCAGCAAGCACTCTGCTCCAAATATCCAACTATCATCCATCAAGTTTTTAATTCCCAAATCATCAAGCACAAAGAAAAAACACTTCTCATTTCTTTTATGTAAACCCATTATCACTAAATATTATCACTGTTCCTATAAAATCAATAATCGCTATTCTTCTCACTTCTTATTGTCACATTTCAAATTCTTCATATATTTTCCATACCCCATCTTCCATACATAACAAACTTCCCCACCCATCTCAGCCCCTATCCAACTTCCCTCTTCAAAAATAACCTCACAACCTCAATCTTACAACCACAACAGATCTTCTCTTCCACTTCACTAATTAGCAATAAAAGCGTTTTTCCCTAGCGTTTAAAGGACTTCTATTTTCCGAATCTGATATAAACTAGAATATTGCAACCCCTTAAATAACCATCCCTTCACATCTCTGCATCTCCACATTTATTCCTCAAACCCGAATCCCAATCCATCTATATAAATATCAAAAGGAATCAAAACATATTTCCCCGCTCCATCTCCGTTAAAATTATAACACCCAAATATCAACTATCAACTCATAATCTCATTACTAGCAACTACTCTCAAACTTGGAAGTAATTACAATACTAAATTAAATATACATCTACACAATCAACATAATACAATCAAAATAATTCACCAACATTAATATATTATTCTCAAACTTTTAATTAATTAATCAATTATATTAATTTTTTTTAAAAAAGTTATAGTATAAAAGTTTTAAAATCTATTTATTCATTATATATATACATTAAATATAATTATATCAAAATTAATGACTTTTTTTTTACCTTTTTAGATTTTTATTATTTAAATAGATAGAAATTAAAATAATTTATAAAAATCAAAATAGTATTCATTATCCAAAGAATAACATGATACAAATCTGACATCACATCAACGAGGAATTGTAGAATCTGCACAAGTTTAGCAAAGAAGCTTTATCATTCACATACTGAACTAAGCAAGCGCAAGCTATGCATGCATGGATCGAATATTTGCGTAATCACGAACAAAATCGCAGCATAGGATATCCGCTTTTACAGTTACACACGCTTTTGCATAATCCCTCACATACCAAATCTTTCCTTCTTTACTCCTTCAAATCCTTCTCTACCTGCTCTCTACAAATTGGATGGTAGAAATCTTTGTTCTTCTCAAAAGTTTCCTCTGCCAATTTTCTATCCACCACTAGCAATTTTCTGTATAGTGTTCTCACGAACTTCATCCTACCAACCTTGCCCAATAACTCAGCAGTGGGAAGATATACGGATTCATCTTTTGCAGCCAGACCGACGCCGAAATAGCGGGAGCTAAGTTCGACGTTTTGAGTGTCGACGAGAGAATAGGCTTTACCCATTGCTTGACTTTGGGATGGGGTGAGGGGAGTGGTGAAGAGTTGGACTTGTTGGAGGAAGACGACCACTTGGTTCGCGGACCAACCTTCGATATCCGATGGTGAAGGTACGAAGTCCTAGGATTAATTAGTTTTCTGTGTCAGAAGGTTGATGTAACTGATGAATTACCTTTGACTCCCATTTCTTGGCTAGAGCATAGCATTTGTCAACCAAGCTTGTGTCAAATTCTGGCTTTGGTGGAAGACCTGGCTTGTAAAACCATGAGTCCCAGTCAACCGACTCAAGAGCTTTAGAAGCAGCCTCATCAGAAGCGAAGAAATCAAGAAGAGTAGCTTTGAACTCATAAGAGTCAAGAGACTTTTTCTTCCATGTTGTGAAATAATGCGGAATGAATTTATCCCAGGTTGGTTTACCAACAAGTCTCTCGAGATAGTAGAGGAAGTGAAAACCCTAGTTTTATTAGACATTTATTTTGAAGTTTGATCATCGATTGCACCCACCTTTTCATAAGGGACACTGCTGAAAGCATCATCCGGGTCTTTACCCTTAAGGTCAACAACTAATTTGGTGAACTCATGATCTTCGCCAAATAGCTTTACGGAATCCTCTGTGTACAAATATTAGCTTCAGAAATATACGTACAAAAGCGAGGGCTTACCAAGAGCTTTCCATCCAATAATCGAGGAAAAGTCTCTATATGCTTCTCCATGAACAGCAGCGATAATTCGTCTCTCTAGATACACCGTCCATCCCTCGTTTAACCAGCTATGAAAAGTTAGTCAACTAGATCTACGACAACACTTATTTGTGCAAGGTTTGCATCGATTGAGAAGGTATTCGAAATTCTCAAGACCTACAAATGTTCCCAACTAGCATTAGATACTAAGTTGCCACTCCAGCTATGAGCCAATTCATGAGCAATCACATCAACGTTCTCTCTATCTCCACTAATGATAGTGGGTGTAGCAAAAGTAAACACTGGATTCTCCATACCACCATACGGGAAACTTGGAGGTAAGACCAGAACATTGTATTGAGTCCATTCATAAGGATAGACGATTTTCTCAATAGTCTCAATGAACTTCTCGGTATCTCTCTCGAGTTCCCACTTGGCTCCTAAGAGCTCCTCTGGTCCAGTGGAAACGAGAGAACGTGATCCGATAGATGCAGTAGCTATATCACCTGATGAAAGAGCAAAGAGATAAGATGGCATAGGAATCTCCTGGTAAAAGGAGTAGAGAAGAGTACCAGATTCTCCATTTTCACCATGAACAAACGATGCTGCACCACGAGGCAAGCCACTTGCGAGAACGGGAAGAGGAGAACGAATTCGGAAATCATATGTGCTCTTCACATCAGGAGTATCCTGACACGGGAAGATAGAGCGGTTATGAATGGCTTGGCATTGAGAGAACATGTATGGGAACTTTTTGTTCGAGGTCTGAGCGGGAGTAAGCCATTGAAGAGCTGTGCATTTGTCGGTAGTGGAAATGGTGATGTCGAGTGCAATAATGGTACCCTTTGCTGCTCCACCTGGGATCTTCACAGAAAGAGGGCTGCCGTATGGTTCATTGCGTTCCTTGAGAACCCATTCTTCGGTTTTACTTCCGTCAACAGCAATCTTTTGCACATCAACGAAGCTAGTATCAAGGATGATCTCTTCAGATTCCTTGTCCGTAATGGATTCAAGCTGTAGTGTAACTGTGCCATGAACCCGTTGTTTCTTGAAATCAATAGCTAAATCGGCGATCGTATGCTTGGTTCTCCAATTGTTGTAATTCGACAAGGTGTTTGGATCACGAGGCATATTGATGGTAGACACCGTGGCCATCGTGCGAACTGTGACGATAGTCTGACGAGCTGATACTAGTCGAGGTGCAAATGTGATGATACTGCGTCCGATAGAGAGCAGGGAATTCATATAACGGGGAGCCCAATTGGATGGAACGAACTAATTCAGCTGCCAGACCAAATCCGAGCTTACAGATGATGATCAGTGAAGGTCAAAGATTTCCAAGCTGATGTTGTAATCTTATTTTGGTCGTGAAGGGTGGGGTGAGAAGGAGGGGTAGAATGATAATTGGCCTAAGGCCTCAGTGGCAAGGACAACCTAACATTTCATGAAATCACATGATATCCGCATGCTCCTTATCTGGTTAGTGAATCCCGATAATTCCGTCTGTTTTCTTCCCCTGGCTCTGGAAGCACAAATCTTCGATCCAGACGATATAGCCGGTACGTACAGCGTTTGACCAACCGAGAGATGCATAGATCTGTTCTCAGATCTATAAGGGTTTGGAAACCAGCCAGAAGGATCTTTCTGTCGCGGATTCAAATTGATTGAAGTTTAACCCCTAACGGCACTGTTTCATGGCGCTCAATTGCTCCAGTGGGAGGGGGTTTGGATATTTCTATATGGTAGATGATTAGGTACGAAGGTATGGTGCTGCTGTACACACACTCAAATCGAATACCTCGAATACATGAAAACCATTTACGGAAGGTCTTATCCGAATACAACCGTGGACTATACTTTAGCATCGATTGTATGTACAATTATCACATACAGAAGAGTTTTACAGGGAAGAACGCGGTCTAGATTGCCTGACCTGCAGTCTGCAAAATACATGCTGCAACTGGTCACATCATAGTGGCCTGCCGAACTTGTTCGTGCGTTCAAATTCTTCTGTGTGGTAGCCATGGGATAGGAAAATCAGGTACGGTAAAAGTAGCAAGGGTTGCTGCCAGCCCATGAATCAAGTCATCTCGTCGAAAGTCTCCACCCCCAGCTTTGTAGCTACTCAATCCGAATCGGGTCACTCCTCGGAGGTATGAACTGCAATCGGATTTATTTGAAATTGTTGATGATGATAAAACAAGCTTAAGATGAAAACATCCGTAGCCTAAAGTTTTAGACAATGGCAAATGTCAATGTGTAGTGTGAATCCTGGGCGGTGCTCTTCATCTCAAGGCAAGGTACAGGCACAATAAGGACGAACTTGACTGAAACTTGGGATTCCCGTGGGAAAATCCTGGTGAGAATTCAATTGCGATAGCACTCAGGGAAAATAGTTTGATGCGATGATGTAATACTGTACCAGAAGTATATGGATGAATAGCTGCAGTGTTATAAGGAACTACGAGGTACTGATTTGAAAGGGACTCTACTCGAGCCTCTTCGAAGTCCCAGGAAGCATTTCAAAGAAATTAACAATCTCCAACGACACGTACAATTAGGGATTGTCATCCGTAAAATTGCCAACGCCTGAAAGCAAATAGAAAGCAGATCGGTATATAAGCACAGATGAAGTGCCATTCTTGGCATACACGGCAACGGCCCTCACCCATGCTTCCTTTACGTCTCGCACAGACATCAATCGTGATATATTCAAAAATTTCCCAATTTTATGCTTGACAACCATTCTTCACTTCCTTCACTCCGTACTGCCGTTAGCCATTCTCTCTTCCCTGTACCTGAAAACCCACGTTTTAAAACATCTAATCATGAAAACAAGCTCACAAGGGCCCATATTTGAGGTTTTGTTCCTGCTTAGTTCTCCACTATCGCCATGCTTCAGATATGCACTGGGTCACCACTGGCGTGGTATCGAATATTCAAAAGTGTCTAATTTATTATACCAGTCCGTTTCGAACCACGGCCTTGGCACCACTGAATATCCCATGTTGACCACGGCTTTCGGAGCACGGGATTAGGCTCGTTACAGGCTGGTTGGTTTCGTTCTTGCATTTTATTCATCCTGGATTTTTTTACCATCTTTTATTCGGGTGCTGTTAGAACTTAGTACTATAGGGCCTGGTGGGCCATAAGTCCAGGGCTCAACACCGGGGGTAAGGTTCACGCTCCGGAAATCGACCGAAATGGTTATATGTCGCTTGATGGTATCTGTCTAGAACTGCAGTTCTTCCCAAGGAAGCATTCTGCGCACGGAGGGGGCGGGGAAAGTTTTCCTATCTGCAAAAGGTCAAGAGTGTGATAAAATCGTACGATGGAGATAAATCGAGATACTTAATTCTTCACATATTTCCTAAAAGCTCGACAGTTTGGAGTGAAGAATTTTAGATTCGTGGTGTTGCACAACTTTGGGAAACTTTTTGTGCATGACATTCGTTGACATCAACATGCCTAGCAATTGGTGTTTCTAAGGAAAAGCTAGCGTAGAGGCTACACCTTCAAGCTACGGAGAATTAATGAGGAATTACTAGTTAACATTATGCCATCTTAATTTGGAATATATGTTGGTTACAATTGGTCGAAGGAAGAAATAGAATAGAGCCTCATTCCATGATGCTATTACTCGAGTTTTCACTGCGAGACAAATTTGCAGAGAATAGATACGAAAGGAGGATCTGATGGCATGCACCTTCGACATTTCATGGTATGACGGACGGGCCGTTGTTTTTGTTACAGATGCCATGTGCTGATGGATACCTTTGTGAGCCAAATATAGAAATTCAATTCCGTCGGAAGAACCATTGAGCTAGAGCCGATCATGATAGTGAGATTGTATTGAAGAAAGACGATGTAAACTCGATTGAACAAGTGATTCCGGGGAAGAAAGACGAACGGAAACTTGTTGAGGATCAGGATTTCTTCGTAATCAATCATGAGGATGAATTGAAACCAAACCTGGAGGTAAGTTCCGCTCCTTCGTTCCTTGTTTTACTAAAGGTGGTATTGAATCATGAGAATTGAGGTTATTCGCTAAATATCAATGCGAAGCATATATGAAATGAGGCATGAATGCCTGTGTGTTATCACCTGCTCCAATGGCTTGAATATCTTCACTCTATTTGAAATGAGGTGGTAGACTTTCTGCATGCCTCTGACTCGCAAAACCGTTCTCGTTTGGTTTCTAGGATCATACCCTTTTTATGCATTAGAACTGTAGTGTAATGCTGCACGCAGCATAAGACGAAAGATGAGATGAAAATGTGAAGATTTAAGTAAAGGGAAAAGAAAGATAGTTTCTGGTACATAGGAAATTTGCCTAAGTTTTCATGTGCATGTAATGAAAAATGCATGAAAGTGCATTGCTGCTCCTACTACAGTCACACAACTTCGCCGTTCTTCTCACTGTGTATTGTGTCTTCCAAGTTATCACGGAGTCGCGGATGTCGGAAATGATGAGATAGGAAATATTGGATGAAACAAGCACCTCTGAGATCAATCAAGTTGTCGAAGAAATACTTGTTTGCACCTACTACCTAGGTATAACATAATTACTCGTTCATATCACAATAATTTTAACTGCTATATTCTATGTGCTGTATTATATACCCAAACATTGAATCAGAACATCTCCTGTCTATAATATAGGCATTATTGACAAGCCCAGGGAGTTAAGACCCCCTAATTGGCAGCCGTTATACGTACGAACTTGTGGGGAATACATGAACTATGATTTTGAAAAGATGCAACCTTTCGTTTGACATATCATGGTCTATTCAGTGGCAATCATTGACTTGAGGTCATCTATTTTCGCTATCTTTATCAAGGTTCTAAACTAAATGATCATTGACTGATTAGAGAGATTTTAGAATGACTTTTAATCACATTTCCGCGTGGGCTCCTAGAAAGGAATATAAAGTATATGTTTAGCATTGAGATCATCCAAATTCTCCACAATTGCAAGCTTCGGCAACCCTAGCTGCTTGCTCCTCCTCATGGCAGAAGGATGGAAAGTCAGAATACCTCTATCCAAAGCGATGTTTGCGAAAATGGTTTTCAAGGAGGATTGTCCCAACAAAGGTAGAATGTCCGGATGAACAACAAGGACATGGCCGTCCATTTGTAAGAATATCAAGGAGTTCGGGATAGATATGGAAATGATATGTGAAGAGATTCAACAATTCCAAGTCCACTGTGACTGGCTGATGAACCGGACTTGTGCCGAAAATATTTACTTTTGTGCTGTGTAGATTTTTTTTCGTATCAAGGGGGTTTGAGAGTTCTTCTCCACATTAGTCTAGAGCTCGAGACCGCACAGACTACATAGTTTGAAAAAGACATCGGAAAAGAGCTGAACTCTTTGCCGATATCTAGCACTCATCGATGTGATTGAACATGTAATGTAAGCTTTGCGGTAATTTGGCTGGCACCTTTCATTGAAATCATTGAAGTTGATAGAGATTAGATACGTTAATCCAAATCTCCGCTATATCTTTGTAGTCTGTAAAGCATTGAAATAGCTCTCACTTGTGACCAATGAAAATATGATATGCGAGTCATAAGGATAAAATTAGCTTCCCTCGTTCGATTAGTGCTATGTTTAGATGGCGAAAGTCTCTTCTTCTAGAAACAAAAGTAGTCTCATATACTCATATACTCGAATATATAAAATTTAAAATCAGGCTACACTTTGTTGATAGCCGCGGTATAGTCAATGTTTCTCTGCAAGAAGGGCAAAGCAACGAAACTTAGTATATATGATGTTATTGTAATAGCCGCAACAGCAGGGAATATTTTCCATCTTCCAGAATCAAATTATCCTCCAGATATAGTGTTTTGATTTAGAGTTCTCGTCAGTTCGTTTTCAGCATCTGTTATGGAGCCTATACAGACAGTATTCCTTTAGGGGTTTATATCTGTTGTTAGGGCGTTAGAACAAACTTTCAGGCTTTAATCTAATGCGGACATCTCCACAATGACCCCTAAAGCGCAAGAATGATCCACTAATCGCGAATCAAGATTGTTTGGGTTTGCCCCCTTCTCAACCCAAAATCGACGTCTGCAGAAAAACATCACCCACCGACTGATACGAAGCTTTCTTTTCATTTTCCCCGATGCTGATCATCAAGGCTAGCTATCTTGGTCAACGGAAGCTATAGTAGGATGAAGATTGTATGGGATCTCACCAAGACAATGGACAACGATACTGGTACAACCTTCCATTAGCTTCAAACCGACATAAAGTCATCATTCATCATAGAAACATCATGAACCTCGAATTCCTGATCCTGAATCAGCCACCTCCTCTAGTAAGCAGGTACACATTCCGTACATCACGACTCTGATGATCACCACCACAAGGCTAGTCGGTCCATGTCCATAATCCCCTCTCCCTTCTCTACCTACCTGACTAGTAAGAAGCTATTAATGCTTCTTACGCACCAACAAAAAGCCCTTGTATGTAAATCCCACGACCCTTGCACAGTCTCATGCAGTCAACGACTTTTCTTTCCTAGATCCCTATGTATTCCCAGTTTTGCATACAGTTACATGGCTGCCATGAATGCGCACGGGGCAGCACGGACCCTTGATTGATTCCGTAGATGGTAAGGTGGTAAGCGAATTTCTTCTATCCTGTCAGAAGCTCCAAGCGGTTTCATTTCATCAACCACCCTTGTTTTCTCACTAACAACCTTCAAACACTTGCACCTCATTCACCTAGACATTCAAATTTCTGCCCTCTGCACAGTGCATTGGTACGGCATCAGCAAGTGAATGAGGCAAATAGGTAACTCCGAGGTTTACACATACACTATTCTCTAGCATCCTACATTCCTTGACACATGGTCAAGTGCTTACTATCCCCTTCTTGTCATTTTCACTGTACCTGTCTCAGACGCTAAAACCATCGGTGTTCACTCTCAAGTAGGAGAAAAGAAAAAGGGCACTAATGGACCCTGCTGCACGTTACTTTATAGACTGGGGATGAATATGTTGAGAATATTACATATCTCCACTTGAATCCTCGCTGGGTCGGTCCAAGTGTCTGGCACTCTTTGAGTATATCTTAATCCTGTCTTTTCCGCCTCTACACCTCACCAAGTGGATCGAGTCCCTTTATATATTTCTAACGCCAATATACTAATATATATGTTACATTTCTTCCCCAACGATTGAGTGGCAATCTATCTTACTACTTCATTGAAACGCACATTCGAGCCGGGAGCTTCGAAACGTATCGGTATATAATATGGCTCATATCGCCGACAGCATAGCCAATGCGGCGAGCACTGTTGGCTTAAATAACTTAATAGCTCGTGAATTGAGTGTATCCCCTTTAGCTCAGGATCTTGTATGTCATTCTCTTCATGATCAAGCTGGTTCTTGCTCACACTGTATTCAGCGTTCAGAATCCCCAGTTACGGAAGAGAAAGAAAAACACATTTGGCGAATGCATCAACCTAGCGAAGCACCACGAAAATATAGTATATTTCCATTTAAAGAGAAGTTATCGATTAGCTCAAATCGACATAATCCAAGTACAGAATCAGCTTCGACATCGGTATCGGGAGAGAAGCATAATACTCAAAAGTCAAAAGATCCGAGTAAACGAAGGAAACCAAGCATCACCGAATTAGGACCCATGACCACTGTACATGAAGCCGCGATGGATTCTCGTGAGTATTCCAATCATTTGAAAGCATGCATAGGACTAACACTGAATAGCTACTATTCCAGGACGACCTCCTTTACACGAAAGATCCTTTAGTGCACCAGGTGGCAAATGGAGGCAACATACATATGGTGAATCCTTAGCTTCATGTATTGAAGGACCAACTTTAGATGAGGGTGCAGAGATCGATAGCCATTTTAATGAAGTCAACAATTTTAAGAAACAACGATCAAATTCTAAAAGCCGCTCACGTTCACCCTATCAACCTCTTTCGCCAAAATCTTTGGCCCCTCTTGTCATCCCATCTAGAAATGCGCCAATGCCACAAAGAGTGCGTACTAAATCCTCACCAAGTACACTTAGATCACCAACACCACCACAAGTTCCACCAAAGTCGGCTAGAATGATGGAGCAATCCCCACATCATAAATGTTCTCCTTTCACCCCTTCATCCTCGATGAGCCTTTCTACTACAGCAACCACACCAAGTTCAGAACTAGAAGGACGTTCATCTCCAAAGCCTTGGATCAACACCGGTCGATCATCCCCAAAACCATGGATGATGAATTTTTTCTCCGGACGATCCTCGCCCAAACTCGGGAAAAATGGCTCAAGCATCATGCAACAACAAAGTGTGAATTCCAGCATAACCACTCTTCCTCTCCCAACCCCACGGCGACGCTCTCCAGGCCATTCCCGCAACCAATCCGAAACAATTCCTACGCAGCAGCAACGATCCGAATCTTTCTCCAACGGTGCATCTCATCGACGCCGAGAATCTGAATCCAGCACTTCGATAATGGATCGAGGAAGACCAAAGAAACGTTCGGATGGATCACCTATCAAGGCTACATCTTCCAAGCGAGCTCCCACTTTGGAGGAACAATTAGCCTTTGAACATTTACCTCAGGGAGTGAAGGCTGCTCAAGCGAGCTCCAAATTAACGCAAACGGAAATGGAGACGCTTAGATGTCAGGCTATTGGACAAGTGTGTAGATTTGAAGTTCTCAATTCAAAAGACGTGGATGATCTTTCAAGGGTATGTTTTTCTTCCTTCCCATTAAATCTCACTCACTAACATACGAAAAGGAACTCCGCGCCCTAGACGAACGCTGTCTTTACCTCCGCAAAACGCACCGTTCTCTACGAGCCGGTCGTCGCAACCTTCACGATCGCATCTGTACCTATCTCCGCTCCCCACGCACTGCCAAATTCTCCCACGATTCCATTCTCAAACAAGAAGAAGCGCTCGCAGAACTGGACTCCTCAATCGACGACTGGGTATCCAAACTCGACCAAGCCGAAAACAGACGTACACGCGTGCGACAAAAGTTACTCGAACATGTCGCCGCTGCAGTATTCATGCCCATAACCGATCCTAGTAACACCATAGCCAGAGAATCCACGAATATAAATACCATCACCCCACCACGAAGTCCGCCTCGAAGCCCCATCAAGGGAATTATCACACCTATTTTAGAAACACACCCCGAAGTCGATATCGAAGCTGAACCTGAAGTGGAACGACGACTCTCCGAAGCAGAAATTAGACAGAAAAAAGAACATCGTCATAAAGCTGTAGAATCTATTCGTATCTATGCAGATTCAGATGTTTTTGCACTGTTGGCTGATGTAGAAGATGAGATTAATAGGATGGGTGATTCGCCTTCTTCTGAGGATGTCCCGTCTATTCTAGAAGAGAAGATTGCAGTATCTTCTGATGCGCATTCTCCTCGTAGGGAAAAATCTCCTCAGGATTCCACACCTGATCCGCGTTTTTCGTCTGTGGTCGCTCCTATGTCGCCGTTTTTACTTCGGCCAATGGTTTTTACTATGCCTTCTGGAAAATCAGGTGTTAAAGTTTAGAAAATACGCTTAATTTTGACTTTTTTCCATTTTCGTTTCTGTTTTGTTGGCGTTCTTTCTCTACTTGTTACATTGGCGTTTTACCTCTCCGTGTAAAAATGTTTTAACGACTTTCACGATTCTAAATTACTTGCTATGACTAGCTGTTTTGTTTTTTCTTTTGTTTCCTCTTGTTGTTTATCTGGGCTAGCTATATGTTTGCTGCTTTTCTTATATACTCTATTCTATGATACCAGTTTTATTTTAATATTAAAAGGGGGGTTTGGTTTGGAGGTTTATGAGAGGAGGGGGGCGGGATGTACTCCGTATAACATACTATATTGTCTGTTTTTTTGGGTTTCTTTCGTTGTGTGGGGCGGCTGGATGGGTGGATTATGGATGAAGAGGGAGGATGTTCATGATACTTGTGGTTTATGGGAGGACTTTTGACGGAAGGGAACGAAAAGGGATGTGTAGGCTCTACAGAGATTAGCTATTAAAAAGAATTAGATAGCAGGTAGATAGATATGAGTTTTAGAATGAGACGAAATAAGAATAAACAAATTCCTAATCTATATATTAAAATTGCTCTATTACCAAACATGAATTATGAATATCAATCAAGAAATATCTTTTCTACCATCCACCCAACCTTCTCAACCCAATATTACTCAAAGTCCTCCCACCACTTCCCTCCACAACTCCACTCCCTTCCAACTTCTCCCCATCACCCAACATCAACTCCGTCACCACCTTTCCAAACTCCTTCGTCGGCGTATACATATTCCTACTACACATTCTCACCACAGGAAACAAACCCAATTCCATCAATCTCAACATTCCTTTTCTCTGCGGTATAAATTCTTTAATTTCTTCATGTGCAGAAGCATCTACAGCGCCCGGTCTCACATTATACACTTTAAGATTCTCGCAATCTTTTTCTTTTGCAGGAAGAGCCAAGAGATCAGCCTCCGTCTGTCCTTTTACAACCCCAAACATGGGGGTTAGAATGCCCGGGGATGTAGTTGCGCCTTCGCCGGATATATAGAGGAATTTAAATGGTTTCGGGGAATTGAGTGGTGAGAAAGCTCGAGCGGCGGAGAGGGTATAGGTTTGTGTTATTTCGGTGTATTTTCTACGCGTTAATCATTAGCATATATCCTTTCATCCCCTCTTCCCCAAGGAAATAAGAAAAACTCACTCCCTATCAACCCCCGAGCTACTCGTCCCTAAAGCCCATACACAACCATCCGCACCTTTCAATTGTTCCAACACATTCTCAGGATATTTTTTAAAATCGGAATGGAGAATAACAGTGGCTTTTTCATGATTGGGGTGGGTTTCGGCGAGAGAAACGGGGTTTCGTGATAGTATGGATAGTTTGGTTATGGAGGGGTTGGTGAGCATTGTTTGGAGGATACCGGAGCCGACAAGCCCGGTTGCGCCAGTTAGGATGAGGTGCATTGTTTTGGTTTTCTTTGGTGGAGAGTTATGGTGAATGAAGATGTAGAGTATAGGAAAATCGAACTGAGAGAGAGGACATTGCTAGATGGGAGGAGTGAGTAGATGATGTATATATTCGAGATATTTTCTACAGTTGATGAAGGTAAGACCAAAGCTGACAAGGCTACACAGATGGGATAATCTGAAGCCCTGGCTATTGATGATAAGAAGAGGGCTATAATTGGTTGATTGGGATACGCTAGCGGGCGCGATATGCAGCTTGCTGACATGACCAATCAATTCTCAATATCAAAATGCAACTTGCTGACCTAAATCAATTTTTGTCATCAGCAGCGTGAAATCAATCCGATACTCAGAAAGCCCCAGTGATAGATCAAAGGGGTTACTGAAGGCGGTTCAATACATCAATCACAGCCGTAGAGTTTGCGACAGTTGGTATGCCAAAGTCCTACAGGTTGTCACTTATTGCCAGGCTAAGCTAACTTTTGGTTGTAAGATAGATGAGTGCGACGCGCATTTACATCAATGGCACACTAGACGTTCGATTCTATACATTCACAACCCGCAGAAAAACTTGTACGGAAAAACATAACTGGTGATGGGGCGTCACTTCAGCCAAGAGATATTCCCTTAGAGAATGCGATCCATGATGTGATGAAAAATATCCCATTGCCGTACGAAGCAATTTGCAAACAGAGCCAGGCATCAGCATGATACGCCTTTGACGAAACACGCTCCTCGTTATTGCACAAACAAAAGTGTAATGCGGGACGACTACAGGATTGGGGATCATGGTTGATGTATCATGAAGTTCATCTTGAGTTCGTAACAAAGAGACCATACTTCACGCAACCACCATTTCTCGGAACAAACCACAAACATTGGAAAGAAAGAGGATTTATGGGTATTCTTTCAGGAATTTACATCTTCCTAAAATTCTGCAAGAGTGAGTGGGCATGGAGAGGAACGGGTGGGTCGTAGGATGAATTATCCTGGTTGTCATGCATCCTTAAATTTATATTCAGATACATGCCTCCTTGATTGCAGGGTAAGAAGACGTTTCAACCCCTACTGGAAGTATGTCGTTTCTTCATCTGAAGAAGGTGTACTCAGGTGAGTACCATTTGTCTCAGTCAGCTATCCCATGTATCGTCATCTTACTAGTTACTGGCAAGCTTATTTTGTTGCGATTTCTACCCGTTTATGTTAGATGGGCTCCTAGAAGTCTCAGGATGTTGCAATTGGGATCACAAATAGGCTTGTCTGCCTTAGTCACCTATCGCGCCTCCATTTCTTAATTTTCTGTGTTACCGCCATTTAATCTCGTCAACTCGTCAAAAATTGGTTTGTTCAACGAAGGATCCTCCAACGTCCTACCCCACGACCAAGATTAAAGTTGTGGCGGGGTAGTAAGACACCCTCAATTTCCAGTCAGATATACCAAGCTGGATCTTTCCAGGCCTTTGTAAGGCCTATGAACCCACTTGAACAGGACATCTCAGCGCCTACTGTGCTGGAGAAAGTGGAAATGAATGGGTCGGCGATTTGAGTTCAAGCACCTAAATAGGTGTTTCTGACAATATTCACGACATAGCACACCTAATCGCTTTACATTGGAGATAGGCTACTTATGACGCATCTTTAGATAGCATTCTTCAATTATTGAGATTGTTCGATGACCAGCCGCATTTCTAGCCTAGTAGGGAGATCAATGGCAACTCCCCTTGGGCAATTGCTTCCGAGCCGTTTTCGATATTTTCCGAGGTGTGGGTGGTTTCACCATGCACATACATGTAAAACGAAAGAGACAACCATCACATACGAATATATCCAAAACTTCCTGCATCTTCTCTTCAACAGTTTGTGAAACTATTGGAGCGTTCACGTTTAATAACGATATATGAGACGGCAGAAAATTGACAGCAACTCCCTTGAAAATCGCACGATACTCAAGAGTCAATACAGCATACGTGGGTGGGTACCTTAGATGCGGCCTATCTTCGCTCCGGCATGATGGCTTATGCTATGCTAGTTATGGTCAATATCCGATGGTTTGTGATGGGACAGTCGCAAGATTAAGTAGGCGGATTCTTGACGGTAAATGGTAGATTGGTTGGAGTCAAGCCTAGCTGATGCCGGAAATTCTGTGTACTAGGAGGTCAACGCTGGATTATCTTGAATTTGTAATCGAGATGCTAGATGTGAGGCGAGTAGTTTGAGAACGGAATATTGAGTCCACTTAGGTAATATGGGACAAGAAAAAATAACTGAAATGGCCATACAATCACTGCACGATAGGACAACTTGTTTGTCATCCTATTCAGGATAATGCGTGTAGTGCTTTTTGCTTAAAATCAATACTCCGGGTACTCGATGAGTATCTCGGTCCATTCAAATATGAAGTTCGAAATCTTTACTTTATAATAAATAGTACTATATTTGCACCCATAGAATAATAGTGCCTCAAAAACCAGCTTGATCCACAGTAATCCTTACTTCCCCAGGATTTGCTTAGTCAGCTCTCTACGCCGGTCCACCTTGGTCGACAATGTTCATACCTAGCTCTCCACATCATAATTTATATTCTAACGTTTCGCGAAGTCTTGTACTTGTCCCGATTGAATGGATATATGCAATATACTGCTAGCTAATTCCTATATTTTTATTTCAAATTCGCCCTTCCTGCTGTTCTTGATCAAGAGCAGTATGTTGCTTGCACTGATATTTGCCACTGAATCCGAATGCTGAGAGGACATCAAACTCTCTCATTCGCGCCTTAAATCACATTCAAACTTGCGGATCGAGCCCTTCTGCACGTGCCCAGTCAGGTGGTGTTTACCACTTACAATACTACCATGATTCGACGTTACTGTCTATGGCCACATACGACGTTAAGGGCATCTTCAATTTCTCCCAGTCGTCTTAGCCATCGCTTGCCAAATTTATATTCGTCAAGCGCGTCGTCATGGTCACTTTTTGATCAGCAGACCCATTCACGTAGCACTATAGGCCTCTTCTCCAGAGGACTGGCGCGGGTCGCGGCTGTAGCAGAGAAAAGTCTTCCAGATGAGACGATTGATGCGGTTAGGGGTATTGGTCCACCCAAGACTTTGTTGCCACCATCTCCTGAACAGCAGGTGGCTATTGATACGCTTTTATATACCAAAAAGAACGTGATTGTTGATGCCTGTGCTGGATCGGGAAAAACAACAACCATTCTGCATCTTGCAAAATCTGCACCTGGTACCAAATTTTTAGTATTGGTCTACAACCGGCGTCTGATGTTAGAGACACAACAGAGAGTCGAAGATTTAGGTCTCACCAACGTGACTGTACAGAACTACCACACGCTTGGTGCGAGATACTACACGTCAGAATGTGCTACCGATCAAGGTCTCAAGCGAGTTGTTGAAGATGACATGAATGTTCTCAGTGGCATGGAACTTCCTGAATTTTCCGTCTTGATCTTGGATGAGCAACAGGACATGACTCCAATATTGAAACGATTTGTGGATAAGGTCATCCGCGACAAAGGATTTATCGGGCCTGACCGCCAGCCCAAAACAGAAGAACCGCTGAGAGTCGTCGTTTTGGGCGACCGACGTCAAGAAGTTTATGGATTTAACAATGCTGACTCACGCTTCTTGTCTATGGCTGATCGTCCTGAGGTATTCGGCTACATTAATCGCGAAGACTGGATCCTGGCTGATCAGACAGCCACGAATCGTATGACCAAATCTAACGTCGACTTTATCAACCAACAACTTCTTCTTAAGGATCCACATGGGAAACCTATGCGGGCTGTCAAATATAATGATGCATCAGGTCAACCATATCCTCAACCACGCTATATCATGTGTAATCCATATGAGGATTTGGTGCATGAGGTACAACGACTCCTGGAACTTCCTGATATATCACCAAACGATATAATAGTTCTTTCTCCGTCAGTGCGTGGAGTCTCACCTGCAATCTATCTTGCCAATGATCTCGCGCTTCGTGAAATCCCGGTGTTTAGATCGGATTCTGACATCTCAGAAATCGCACCTGAAGTCGCTCATGGTAAGGTATTGATCTGCACTTATCATCAGGCGAAGGGTATCGAACGCAAGGCTTCGATTGTACTTGGTTTTGATCAAGGATACCATAATTTTTATAATAAAGTCGCGGAAGACCCCGTTGCTGTCACAAATCCACAATACGTCGCCGCCACGCGGGCTCTTGAACATCTTGTTCTCATTCATGCGCATACAAACTCTCCACTGCCTTTCGTAGACCTGGATACCGTGGGACAAACATGCGATTTAGTCATGACTCGCAAGCACAAAATTGAACCTTTTGCCCCTGGACGGCAAATACCTACATTCAAGGTCACCGCGCTTTGCCGAAACCTTTCAGAGACTCTTATAACAGACTGTCTTCGTCGTCTCAATTTCCAAATGCTTGCCGAACCTGCTTATGGAAGCTCCCCACCACCGTCTGAAATTCGCGACAAGTATGGTCTTGTCGAGGCTGTAGCAGGTATTACGGGAACGGCTATCCCTGCTATTTTTGAATGGTATCTTAAAAGAAGGTTATCCATAATCGCAGCGCCCCTACGACTTCTCTCACCACTCAAAAGACCGACGAAGCGAAGAGATCCATTAAGAGAGCTTCCTGAAGCTTATTATGAGAAAATTCAGTCTATAAAAGACGGTTATGATATCGGGATGATCACACCCGGGGACATATTGTATTTGTCAAATGTCAATATGGCATTAAAAGATAAGGACATTACCAAGTTATTGAGTATTCCTCTGACGGGATATACGTGGCTGACAGAGAAATACTGTACATATATTAATTATGTACTCAATACATTAGCAGGCATCGCCAAGGTACCTGTGCGAGGTATTTTTTTCGAACGTATCGCTTTTCACAAATATCTTGAAATTACTCGTGGGGGCGGACCTACAAGGCCGGAAAAGAAAGAAGGTGTCCTTGTGAGCGGAGCTATGGATATATGTCGTCCAAAAAAAGGCAAAGCCATCGTATGGGAAATCAAACATTCAGATTCCCTCTCACCAGAACATCTACTACAAGTCGCATTATACATGTTACTTCTCGGAGAATCAGCCTTGGGTTTTCTCGTATCAGCACGCACGGGTCAAACCGTACAAGTTCTTCCCAAGACGTCGGATTCCCTGTTGGAAATTCTGCAATTGCTGGTAGATGCTAAATCGGGAGGTGCACAGTCGAGATTATTAAATACGTATTCGGATGAGGAGTTTTTGGGGGAATGTAGGAGTGATTTTAAGGGTTTGGTGGGGAAATGTGCGTTGCCTGCTTGGTTTGCTATGAGGCCTACAGAGTCGAGGTTTAAAAAGGAAGGGAGGAGGAAGAAGGGTGAGATGGATGATGTTGTGGGTGATGGGGTTGGATCTGAGGCTGCGCAGGAGATTTGAGCCACAAATTGATTATGGGTGGATGGATGCTGATTGGGTTGTGGTAGGTGTTAGAGAGGGGTTGATGTGTGGTTGGTATAGTTTAGATGTTAGATGCTAGATTCTAAAGATCTAGAGTGTACATAGTAGATAATAGATCTATAACATCCAACTTCAATTCAGATAATTAACCCCCCTCCCTTTCTTTCCCATTCAAGATCCTAAAATCTTTTTGAATAACAAGAAAACATACACAAATCCACTAAAAGAGACATAACAACATTTATTCATATCCATTCTTCTCAAAAAAAATCAAAAAAAAATCCCACACAGCAGCGCCGCGAGCGCAAGTGCAATATAAACCTGAATTCCAACCAACCATCTATCCATCTATCTACCCCCTATATATTCATATAAATAATACCCTCATCCATTATCAACCATCACCCACTTAATAAGACTACCTACCCCCTATCCCACCTCTCCTCATTCTCACCCTCATCCCCTCGATCCCGATGCCGAATTAAATCATAAGAATATTCTAAAAGCGGAAGAGGGGGCCATGCTTCTTCATTACGATATCTCCATGCTTCCCAATCTATGAAATAACTTTTTTTTTGGTGGTTAGTGGATTTTTATTGGGAGGGAGGAAGTGAGGAAGGGAGGTGAGTAGGGTAGCATAGGTTGGGTGGAATAATATGGAATAAAAAGAATAAAAAACTAACCATTTACCATTCTCCCGATCGTACAATAAATTCCTCATTGCTTTGTCGCGGTTTTCTATTCCTAGTTTTTGGAATATTCTGAATTAAAATGAGAAGGAATTAGTATATCAATAACATCAATAACATCAATAACATCAATAACATCACACTCCCTCCCAATACAAAAATAAACAAAACCAAAAAAAAACCATACAAAACCCCCACCCCAAAAGCCCCCCTAAACCTATCCCGTTCACATCTATCCCAACCCCCCCAAAACACACCCGGATAAATACATTCACCGGGTAATTTTTCCATAACGAGATATACGAGATATCCCCCCTCGAGTGGAAAATTACGTCGTTGTTTGTATTTTGCTAGACCTATTGCGTAGGGGAAGGGTTTATAGGTGTCAGATGGGATTTTGGATTTTTCTTGTGCGCTAGTGTTGGTGGTATTGGGGATATTGGGGGTGTGGTGGAGAGTGGTGTAGGATTTGTTGAGGAGGTTTAGACAGGTTAGTTCGGAGTCCCAGGGTTCTGGGTAATTGGGAGGGTTTATGAGGTTGGTTGTGTTAGGGTTGGGGTTGGAGTTGCTGTTGCTGTTGCTGGGCGATTGGGAATTTAAGGCTGGAATTGGATGAGTGGCGGAATTGATATCTGAATTGTAGGTAGAATTTGAATGGGTATTTGAATTTGGATGATTGGTGATATCTGAATGGCCATCCGAATCCGATTTATCAGCGGGATTGGAATGCCCGGCGAAATTAGAATCACTAGCAATATCCGAATTGCCAGCTGAAACGAATTGTTCAGGAGAGCCCATATGACTAGCAATATCGATATCCGGGTCTCCAGCTGTATCCAAATTCTCCGCTAAATACAAATCATACAATTCGCTAGCATAAAACCAATCTTCATAAGTATTTATTTCCGGAGTCCTTAAACAAATATTAATAACTTCCTACTTACACGAAACAAGTTCAAAAAGAATAAAGACATCCATGAGTGTACACTGTATACCTAGAAACTTGCACTTACTGCATCCATATCTTAACAACAGCAGGGGATTTAATCTCTTCTCCCCCTCTCTCGTCTACAAGTTTGCATTCATATACTGCTCTGGAGAAATCTTCATATTCGGCTTCATTAATTGGATTTCCGGAAAGTTCCCAGATGTTATTGCCGATTTTGAATTTATGCCCTGGTTTTAAATACCTTGCGATCCAGTTTTTGGTTATCCAGGACATTGTTTGGATTCTTTATAATTTGTTAGATGGTGGTTGTGAAGGATGCTAGGTGATTATTATGATTGAAGGATGTGTGAGTAGGTGGTGGTATATATGCTGCTATGTTCAGAATGATTTGTTTCATCAGCTAGGCAGCAGCTAGGCAGCAGTGAGGGGTCAACCGGGTACGGAAAAAAAACCAAAAGTCGGTCTGCTGGATATGATGCGAATGTAGTTATAAACAAGCGGAATTTCAGATTAAGATATACATAGGATAACTTCTTACCCAATGCATGAATAGTAAGTAAGTAGGTGATGTCGAGGAAAGGGTATCAAGCGAAGTGTGGAGCAAAAATAAAAAAACTCCAAAAAATAACATACAACAGTGGGGATTCGCTGGTGGTCACCCACCCAACTACTAATCCACCGATCTGAAGCTTGTGTATGGCAGAGCGGACGGGATGCCCAATTCTCTTCAGTCTATGGTCGTATGTGTTAGGAAGCGGTTTAAGTAAGCTTATGTAGACAGCTTTGATGCGAGTAGGTTGAAGTGAAGGGGCATCATACACGTGGAATTTTGTATGGAATTGTGTCTTTGGAGATTTTGGAGGATTTGTATTAAGATGGAACTGGAGTTGGATTGAGCATATATTCCAATAGCTTTAGTTCGACACATAAATGATGGGATGGGATCATGAAGGCAGAGTTCACCAGTGCACTTTTATATAGGTCAACCCTTAAAGGTTACCGCACTTGCGATGTCGGGCTTCTGGCAATCGTACATAATGCAAGTAATATTGATATGATTCTCGGGTCGAAAACTAGTAATAAAAGTCCCCATACAAATTCTCGTTTCATATTCATAAGTCACAATGCAAGGTCAGAAGTTCCAAGTTGTCCGGATCAAGTCTTACGATGGAAGGTCCTTGATCTATTTGATTAATTTCATACAATGAAATTGTTCAAAACAAAACATAAGCCTTATAAGTATCATGGAATCTCCGAAGATTTCAACTGCGTGTAAGAAAACCTCGTCAAGTTTGAAGCTCAGTGCGGTCCATCACATCTTCTGCCTAAGACTGCACCAAAGGACTTTGATGCTAGGAATACTTAAAGATATGTTCCATGCCATCAAGATCACCTATCTATAACTGACGTCAGACACAACTATAATGCTGAAGCTCCCCGGAAGCTAAGATCCAAGAACAGGATTGATTGAAGATGGTTGCAATTCGGAATTCGTCTATTTCCCGGAAGAAAATAGAAACACTGGCAAAAAATTCGTATCTTCTGTTCATTCTTCGCAAGAAATACCTCTCGAAATCGGAAGCCCCAAGCATGAGTCTTAAATAGGGTTTCAACACTAGTGTGACCTTCCAAGTTGCTCATTCTTTCCAACTTGAATCTGAACGAATGATATACAACAAACCTTTGATCTAAGCTTCGTATCAATTTCAAACCGTTCAAATAGACAGCAAAACTAGAAATTCGGCGACAGAAATTATTTTGAATAGAGTCCCCAATCAATCGGAAGGTACCGAGTAATCAGATGTGCAACAGAAGAACGACTCCCCGCTAAGGAAAAGATTTCTTAGATGGTTACAAAAATAAAGTTCCCAGCAGATAGGTTTCGAATAAAAGGCGCAGAATAAGGGGATATGAAATGGAAAAGTGAAATTTACTAGCAGTAACAAAGAAAGATTCGGAACCTTCTCGAGTGATAACTAAATGTGCAGCAAATTTGCCTAGAATGGTGAAAATTGCAAATATCAATCCTATGGCCATTGAATATGAATTTATGTAAGAGCATGGAACTTGTAGCCATTCAGTTTGTGCTTTTCTAAATCGTGTATTCAAAGATTGGTTGAGAAAAAGAAAGAAAGACAGAGGCGCGAAGGGGGATAACTTGAAGTGGAGGAAATGGAATTATGGATAAAAAATGATGATGATAATATGGTCGACAACGTCAACGAGATAATATATGACTGTAAAATATTATGTGTAACCATACTGACTGAAGATGCACAGAGTTTTACCGATGATACAAATTAAAAACCATCTAAGCATCAAGGACATGTACACCGAGCGCACAACATAGCCACACCTTCTTTCCACAATACCTTTTCCGGGAGCAACTTCCCCTACATCCTTATCTGTTTCCATGATACTCTATCCCAGAAACTTTCACTATTAAGAAAAAAAAACCCCCTTCAAAATAAAACACCATTAATCATGGAACATCCATCTCCCACTCCCCACCAAAAAAAAAAAAAAAAAAAAGATACAAAACAACCCCGCCAATACCCCACTACCCCCTCGCTTAAATTTTCTCCCAGAAAAATTTTCACGAAGCTCTTTAAGGTTACAGAAATTTTCATGCTCAATCCCGCAAATATATTTCTTAATAAAATTTTAAGCCATCAATAAACCATCAAGCAAAGCCTGCCCGGCTAGCTCAATCGGTAGAGCGTGTGACTCTTAATCACAAGGTTGGGGGTTCGACCCCCCCGTTGGGCTCAATCCCCATCAATTCAGCTTGAATTTTTGGTGTTTTTTAAGTTTTTTGGTGAAAAGTGACTTTTTGGGGGGCTCGTTTGGATGACTTTATTTATTTTTTATATGTTCTAGGAGGGAGGGGTAATAGATATCAAGGATGAAAGAGGAAAATATTAACTGAAGTACATACAGTCAGTGTTACTGCTGTTTGTTGAATGAACGTCTAATCTCGCTTGCGAGCGGAGAAATCTTTTTTGGGTACCTTGCGCAGTGCCCCTCCGTTTACATAACTTTCATTTAAACAATTAATGCAATGACAAACTTGAATATATCGGCCTTTTGCTCGGTCTTCTTCAACAATGACTAGCAATCTGCAAGCGTTTGTGGTTTAGTGGTAAAATCCATCGTTGCCATCATCTTCTCTTCATCGGAAGAGATCTTGAAATAACATCGATGGGCCCCGGGTTCGATTCCCGGCGAACGCATTTTTTCTTGTTTAATAATCTCTATACTTTTGTTTCTTTACTGATTTTATCAAGTGGATTAATTATGATTAGAATAAATATTTCTTATCTTATATCACTAAAGTATTATAATACATCTTTTAATTTCTATTTAAAATAATATATTATTTATAAATTCTTGAACTTACTTTCCAAATCCTTTTATTCTTTTATAATTTTTATTTTTAATAAAATCATATTTTTTTCTATTTCAGAGGATTATATTATCTTTTTTAAAATTCTCCTTAATCATTTAACACAAAGTATTGAAAATCTCGAATTTGAAGAATCTTTTATTATTGTATAAATTAGGGTTATTTCCGAAAGTGGGTGGGTGAACTTTGGTGGTGAAAAACCTTCTCGGCTAATACAAGTAGTCTAGTGCAATGGATCTTCTACATCTGAAAATATATTTCCACAAAGCGCCTTGTTCATCCATCAATAACCCACAATAATAACTAGCGCCTGTGGTTTAGTGGTAAAATCCATCGTTGCCATTAGCAGTTCTTAATCAAAAGATACGTTAACCAACATCGATGGGCCCCGGATTCGATTTCCGGCGGGCGCAGGAGAATCCTTTTTTGCTCTGATTCCGCCCTTTGTAAGGGGAATGGATGAATGATGGCTGTTTTGAGATATTTCTGAAATTTTGGCTGACTGGATGGAGAAGGAGTGATTTCTCTTTTCGAGGGCGTTTTTTCATTTTATAACGGGTTGTCATGATAATGTATGGGATCTAAAAGTTTGAGGGAGTCATAGAAGAGTCTATTACACATGCCGAGGAAAACCCAATAACATCAGACTGCTGTGAGAAGGACCTACCCAGATCTTCGAGGACATTAGATTTCGAGATTGACAGAGGCTACCTGTAGATAGGGTGGGAGCCAACCATGAAACATGGACCGAGGAAGAACCGAAGAAGGTAGTTTAGAGTGGATTATTGTTCGTTTTTTGGGTTGATATTTCACCTTGACTGATGGCGAGGAGGGCTGAGCGGTGATAACAAGACTAAGATCCGGGAGAGAGACAACGAAGGATATGAACCAAGAAAGGAGATGAAAGATCGGACCGTCTATCCATTGAATCAAAATATAAAGACGAGATTATCGAAGCAGCAGCGTCAAGGACTTTGCACCTCCTGGATTTCTCTGGCTTTTCTTCGTTGCTTGTAGAGCATATCTTCCAAACAATACATCTGCAGATGGATTACCTTCTTGATCAAGCTCCAGTATGGAGTTAGTGAGCTACTTATTGTAGTAGCTTTCGGATCCGAGAAGGAACATTCCACTTACCATCTGTTTCATGTCTGAGAAGTTAACAATAAGCACAATGGATATCCATCAGAAGCGGGATTGGCTTCGAAACTATTGCGGAAGTTGATGGAAGTGAATGATAAATTATTTCCAGCATCTCCCATCCTTTTAACTCCCCCTTGGTCCAATATGAAGACTAGTGGTCTTCTTCATAGTGATATATAAGAATTCACAATACACTTTCGAAAGGTCATCAATCATATAGAGGATATGGAATGGTTTACGAAAAAACACTTTCGCCGTGCCCGAATGCTATATCAATAGTATGTACTCTTATACTTGTGCTAGGCTAAAACTTCCAAAGGTAATGGGAGAAATGAATTTAATTCCGCGGTAAAGATTCTGGATATTCGACAACAATCAACTAGAATCTCGTGATTGACAATGAGAGTTTAGGAGCGCGGAGAAATTGAGATACAGAGATTATATGGTATTTGACTGAAAGGAATATCTGGATTGGAACGAATTATGGTGCAATGTTTTAGGTGAGAAAGTCGACAAGAGATGTGGCGGATGCGAGGCCATTCCGACCTCATACGCGTTTGATGCCTGTGAATAATTTGGTTTATAAATATCAGCCAAAGCCATCTACGAAGTTAAATAGTGTAGAAGATGCACCGGAGAGGTGATGTTGACCTCCTGGGATCTTGGCAGCATATGCATATATATTGCATGATGCATATAAGGAGCAAACAAAACTCAACTTTAATTCGTTCTTTCCTTTTTGGTATACTGTTTGTTTGCTTTCAATATTTTGATTTCAAAGCACTTTAATTCTGAAGGCTGAATACCTAACCTTATTCCTTCATTTTTTGAATAGATACTCGCAGCTTAACTGCTTAGCTAGAGAATCAATCAATTCAATCTGATGCTCTTTCTGGTCTCAAGAAACCCAATAGGTGATGACGATGACAGTAGTTGGATAGGTCCAATTCAAGCTGAAACTCCACGTACCCCTCACTAGATCCAAGTATCGTCCACTACCACTTTCCAATCCACAGCCAATAGTTCCGACAAAATCGATTATCTAAATCATCTAACCAGCATAAAAAGATCTTACATAGCCTTCAAAGCCACTTCAAGCTGATGAAAAATGCATGTACAGACATCCAATTGGAGATGTATGCTGTGAAGTAGGTTTCGCGGAGTATTTGAATGATTTTCATTATTTGTTCTCTGAACCGGAATCAGCTGTTCTTGAGTACTTAATAAGAACGTAGATATTTAAAGTATAATGATGATGTGAGCGGGTGGCAGGTATGGAAAGGGGATGATTGTGATAATTTGGGAACGGGATGCAGAAAGGATAAGCTGTAATATATTAAATAATTACACTAGGATTTTCAATAGTCCAACTAATTACCATTTGAACTATCTGAGTGCTGAAGGCGACAATATATCAATGACAAAATAAACGATATAACGAAACAAGTCTCAGGCGAGAAAGATTCTTCGTACGTCAGTGATTGAATATCATAATCATTGCAAGCTTCTAAAATAACGGAACCTAGTTGCCAGAAGCAGAAATCCATGTGTTTGGTTTTTTCCTGGCTTTCTTGTGTATTAAAGTACGATAGAAACTACAGCAATTATATAAATAGAAAAACACTCATATCCTTTATCAAAACTCCTCAATAATCCACAGGCCATATCTATTTCGACAAGATCCTCCACCGAAGCTCAAAGAACTTCCATATTGGAGCCTTCTCAAACTTCCAGATTTGTGTTGCTACAAAGCCATTGGAAGTAAGTCCCAGAGGAGATCATTAGAAAACCTTGAATCTTGAAATCTTTTGGGGCTTCTTAAGGAATAGAATGGTAGAGGTGGATGAAGATGGTCGTGAAAAGAAGGAGGGGAATGAGATGAGATGAGACGATAAAAATGATGATGATGATGATGATGATGATGGATAGAAAATGATGTAACTGAGAGTTTGAGACCAAAAATAAATAAAGATCTTCCGGCGGCGAAGATAGGAAATAAAATAAGCGGAAAGCACTTACAGAATAACATATTTTCCATTAGCAAGGAAAAGACTCCATCTAAGAAGTTGAATTATAAAACCATGGATAGCCATACTGACTTTATATATAACATTCGCTATAAATTCATCAAGTCAACAAATACTCTTAATACTTTAGCAAGACGTGAAATCTCATTGACTTGAATAGATGAGAGAACATAGCATCCACTTATGAACATCTCCTCAGATTTTTTGTACAGACACCCCCTCCTCAATATAAAAGTAATATCTCTATTCCTTAAATCTACTCAAATATTTTAAAGGTGCGAGCTCTAACGATTGTAGGAAAACATCTTCGTAATGAAGTGTTTTGATAGTATTAAAGCTCTATAGAGAATAAATGAAGGTGAGATAGACGATGATAAAGAGAATGCTGACAAGTGTGTAGTTGACGGCGCTAATGAGGAGGAAGATAATGGTGATGAAGAAAAGAGTATAGGATTTATTAGATATGAATATAAAATATACCAATAATAACAATAACAACAAAAACCTGTTATAGGGAAGTGGAAATGTGCCTTCAAATTAAATCTCTCTGTATATTTGGTAATTGCTAAATATAGGAAATATAATCGAGAGCTGGCTGAGAGAAGCACATTTTGATTCTTGAAAGATAACTTTCGATACTATTGCAAGAAAGACATCTCGGTGACTTAAATAGACAACTATCTAGACTTTCGAGTTTCAATTTACCCATGCTGAAATAATATATCTACATAGACCACTATCCGCTCACTCTAACCCTGAATTCCCACCAGTTTTCTCCAGTAGAGTGAAGTGGAACCTATTTTCACCACCATAACCCCATGATCACATGCAAAACCTATCAATCCATCAAGGAAGCGAATCCAAACTAACTATATATCAGAGCGATCGCTCTTTCAAATCGAAAGAGCGTATTATATTCACATAGAATCCTGGATTCAATTCAAGGGTGAGGAGACTTTTAATTCGAATGTGGTCTCCTTTGTCCATTTTGAAAAGGGGGGAAAGAGGAAAGTGGAAAGAAAATTCGAAGGTGGTGATGAATTAATATTCGAAGTAATGTAGTATCATCTTGAATGCGATCGTTATAGGTTGCTGACGACAACATGATTAACTTCACGTAAAAGATGATATTGATAGATATACTCTGCGACAATAATGACAAAGAGTTAAAGACGCAAGAGAATTAAGGAAAGAGAGGAATATTCACATCCAAAAACATATGGGTTATGATGATTGATCTGAGCATAGCTATAACTCGATTTATAAAACTATGTTATACTTTTCACAATATTTGTTTTGTCTTTACCCTTAATGAGTTCGCAACTTAGCGGGTTTTATATATAGACTGGTCTACGAATAACTACCTAGTACGACTCTTTATTTAGAACTTCAATCCGCCACCACAAATTCACTTACATATTCCCTAGTAGTACCTATATAGAATTCGAATCATATCCATTTTCTATCATTAATCTAATGTATCCACTAATCACCTATCTATTCTTTAAATATTCACCCCGCAAGAGAATTAAACCCCTCTCCTAAACATCAATCACCCCTCTACACACCTGAAAATTAACCGAGAACAAAGGCTTAGATTCTCAAAAAATGTCTACATAAACATCCAACGAGCTCAGAAAGAAACTGCAAGTTACTCTGATCTATTCTTGAAGCTATCAAGGTCTCTATTCTGGTACGGGTAAAGAGAAATTCTAGGTGTGGGTTCGGCAGTAAAAGTATAGAGTTGCTGGTGGGGGATATGGATTCCTCTAAAAGATATTAGATTATTAAATGAAAAAGTATAAAAAATAAAAAATTGATAAAGAAAAATTAAGTTGATTATATTGAATTCGACAATAATAATTCCAGATTCGATAAGGATAATATATTATTCTTAACCATCCTCTACTGAAAACCCTAACTTCTCCGTACTTGTTGTCACACTCAAGAATACTGGGTAAAGTATCTTGTATTAGAAAATACTAAGCTAAGGAGAAAAGAAGAAGGAAAACAAGAGTAGCGAGTTTTCCTGTGATTAAATACAAACGGGGCATGCCACGTGACCCGAAGGTGTGAGGCGTCACACTTGTTGTTCCTTTGATCAATCTCAGAAATTCTACCAAATACTTACAAAGAAGGTAGTTGTGTAATATAAATATTGATATTTTGAGATATCTATGATTATACTTGTTTTATTGAATTGGAATATATTCTTATCGTATCTCTTTTTGACAGATACAAATCTAGTGTTACGACGGGTAACATATTTCCGTATCACATGACTAATCACAGGATCAGAGCTATCATGTGACCGGCTCTAATCAATCTAGTTAGAGCCACTAGAGCCAGAACACGAAGGTCTATATAATCAAGATGGATTTCCTTTGTATAGAGCTTCGTGCTTAAGATCAATCATTTTAGTATACTCTACTATTAGTTACGAATTGCATATCATCATTGTCATTACTTTAAGTCCTGTTACGAGGTTTGCCGTCTAGATCACGTGGAAGTGCTCTAGGCTCTCGAGGTGGTTTATAACTAGGCGTCAAGCAGGGACTTAAAGTAATGACAATGATGATATGCAATTCGTAACTAATAGTAGAGTATACTAAATGATTGATCTTGATCTTGAGCACGAAGCTCTATACAAAGGGAATCCATCTTGATTATATAGACCTTCGTGCCTCCTTAAAAAACCGATGGCTATGAGCCCGACAAATCGATCACCGCAAAGCCGATCTCGATTTGTCGGTTTCTTGATCATGTGATCAAGAACGTGACCTATGTTACTGTCCGACGTAACAGATATATTTAATAAATTCAATCTAAATTCAATCCAATCCCTATTCTAATTTCAAACCAATATAAAGATAAGATGATATATACTATACTCCCCCAGATAAATACCTGTTCGCTCGCTCGCTCACTCGCTTTCCTCGCTAATACAAATTTTCATTCATTAAATTCCATCCATCATCTCATCTCATCAACATCATCAATCATGAACACATTCCATTCCACACACACATCATCCACCACATCATCCACCGCACTACCCATCATACAAAAAAGTCCACCTCCTAAACCTCACCCCAAGCACCCATTCCCCCTCCACCAGCACCTCCCACAACTACACTTCCCCTAGTAGAACTTCCAATACTTCCCCCAATATCCCAATAATGTCTACTACTCCCACTACCAATCCTTAAACTTTTGAGTGTGCCACCAATAGGTACACCTCCACTTCCTAATCCTAATCCACTTCCACCAATTCCTTTACCTAACCCTCCTAATCCTAAACCGACACCACTTTCACTAGATCCTCTTCTTCCCACTCTCTTCCTCACCCCTCCATTATTCGCTTTAAGGTTGACTAAAGGATGATGAGCTCTCACTCTCGCTGCCCGCGCCAACGAATCGGGTGTATTCTCTATCGCAAGATTCTCCCTCGTACTTTTCGATAGTACCGAACCTGAACCTGAACCCGCCGTCGAACTCTGTACATTCTCACCCCTACTCGTAAATCTACTTTTCAAATATCGAAAGACCATTGTGATATCCAAATCTCTTTCCCATTCCTCTTTCGTTATAGGAGCACTATATGACTGTGTTGATGTGGAATCATCTTTTGATTCCTGTACTTGACCAATAATGCTTGAATTTGGTATTGAAACTGGTCGAGTGATGGTAGGATGGAATTCTAAATCGGCATCTGTAGTTAGAGTCGAGGTAAGAGGTTCTATCTCTTCTTGTTCCAAATCAGGAAGTGGAATATCCGTTGTCATATTCATATTATTACTCGAAACTGACTCGGGAATTACAGGTAACCCTGCATAAGGAAGAGGTATTTGTTGAGTTTGAAGATATGTAGTAAAAGCACCTGGATGATCGGAAAGTTGATTGACCAGCAATCCTAATTCGCGAGCAATTCGTTCAAGAAGTCTGTATTCCCATGAACTCTTATCAGGTTTAGTGACGGTAGGAATGGATATCGGTCTTCCTGGTATTTTGGATAAATCGTCTTCCATCGGTAGAGATTCGCCAAAGATGATTGAGAGAAGATCATCATCTATACCCATGAGATCCCGTATTACTCTTCGAGTGAGTCGATTCCATAAACTTTCATTTTCGCGTATAGTTGCTGGTGTTGGTTCCGCCTCGACATGATTTAATGTAGCCAAATCCTCTTGTGTCTTATCCTCCATGACAACACTCCTCTTTTCACTCGACATAGATTGCTTCCTTCTTCTCGTCTCCCTTTGTATTTCATCCACCAAAGCTTTACTCTGCTCCATCCTCCACAATTCAATCCTCCTCGTTCTCTCCATTTCTGCCGCTCTCTCATTCTCCAAAGCCATATCCCCAATCTCCAAACTTTCCCTCCTCCTCTTCACCCTCCTAGGATTATACATTTCAAATGCATATAAATGTTGTTGAGCATCCTCTCCAATCCCATCCACCCTAAAACTCCCTAGCCCATCATGTTTTGGCAACACTGGCCCTTCCCCATCTTCCCTATTCCCATAAACACTTGGTTCCGTCCTAAATTCATGTAAATGACTATCCAATGAATCCAATTCCGCATCATCATTATCTTCTTCTGTCTGTGCATCTCCATCTTCATCAACATCATCAACATCATGATCATCATAAATCCCATAACTTCTGGCGGCAGTTTCTAAACTTCCAAAATCACTAACCCTCGAATGACCCGCTGTTCGTGTCCCTCTAGTCCTTCCTGTACTAGTCGTATATGTTCCCTCTGTAAAAGTCGGCGCCACCGGTGTAAATAATACCCATTCTTGACTTTCTTCTACCCTATTATCTCTCTCTTGTATATTTTGTTCTGTCTGCGTCTGCGAGTTTGCATCTTGACTTGTTTGTGTAAATATTCGGGGAGTTTGATATGTGGGTTGTCTAAAGGCCATCTTTCCGCGTATTACTTATCGTTGTACAGATATATGTGATATCAATACAATCTTCGTTTTAAATCTGTTCGCGTCTTTGTGATAGAATCTTGGTAAGTCGTAACGATATCGAAGATAAAATAGGCTATCAATGAGATTGTTTGAACGGTTCGTGTATAGTATAACGTAGCAAATTCGAGGGGCTCGAGTTTCGTATGACGTTGATCGAGGATGATGTTGTACGACGAAAGACTTGAGGTGATGTACCGAGTACCAAAAGCTCTAATGAGATGAGATGATTTCTTCCTGATGTCGTATATTCTCAACCTATAAATATCTCTTGAACGCTCAACTTGGGATCTGACTTGATCTAATTCGACTTGATTTGACAAACAAGTTCCACAAAGATTAAATAAATGCATGCAGATTCCCTGTCCCTCTTTGACGATTAATCCAATACTCTACGCAGTAAACCCTTTAAAAAAGCAAGGGAAAAGAAAAACCAAAGTAAAAATCTTCATTCCTCGAATCAAATAGCAAATAAAGTTCTCTGGTATATGTAAATACGTAGCTATGTTCAAAGATCTCGAGATCAGCGGTTAATCTCACTGGCGTGACTGGATAACTACTAGCTGGTTTACAGCACGCATACACGTGGACTGGTGGATAAGACTTTGTTTATGGATAAGGGGGTGGGGGGTTTCCATATCAATGTTTCTGATTCATTGTGATGAAAGAGTGGATGGATGAGGGATGAGGGTGTGATGTATGAGCAATTGATGTATGAGTGTGAATATGAGTAATTAAAGAAAAGATTGTACAGGAAGAGAGAAAAGAAAGGGATAATTCGGGTTCATCGATAAATTGAAGATAATTAATTGTTGGGCTGAAGGTTGGAGGTTGGTGAGCTGACTGATACTAAGGATATCCATACTAGTAATACCTACCTACCTAATAAATGATTATCTGCATATCTTATCTCAAATCCCTTACTCGTACTCTACTCCGTGAACCATTTTATCGATATTAAACAATACCTACATAGGTACATACATACATATCCCATTATCCCACCATCCCTAAATACCTCATTCACCTGATCCTATAATCCATCATCCATAATCCATCATCCATAATCCATCATCCATAATCCATCACCCATCAAACAAACAATCACATCATCCCTTCTATAAACTCACCATTCATCTCACCATTCATTTCCTATGCTATTCATCATCATCTTATCTCATCATCTCTTACCCTCCCTCTTGCTTTCAATCCCTCTCCTCCTACCAAACATCCCTCCTTACTAGGTATCCATCTTCATAGATCACAACCGCCTCATTTCCATCTCCATCATTATCATCCATATCCATCCATCTACATAAAACATCACCACAATGAAACACTTTTTGAAAAACCCCATCCACCTACCCAATCCATCCAACCACACAACCACACAATCTCTAATCACTAAAATCACTATCCTATTCTCACTATCCCACTAATCTCCATATCCCACTAATAACCTCCAAACTCCAAAGCCTCAAAAACTCTCAAACATTCTCAATCTAAAATGGTTGGCTGGCAGAACTAAGGTAGATCCCTAGAAACTTTCAACTACTCTGTACATTGCCACGACCACCAGACTTTGCTGATCTGATAAAAGAGCCAAGGAGATGCTTGTGTCATGATTTTCATATTGCATGTTGCTTTGGTTGAATCACGAATCAAGCTACATTTCGAGGCGTTCAAGTCTACCTCTTCCTGCCTTGGCTTAGCAATCCATGTACATATACTCAGTATAGTAAGCGGACATGATCTACTGTTTCTTTCGCCCTACTCGGGCCTCCAATGTTAGACTTGTCAGATATAATTCCAAATCCAAAAACACCAATAATCACATCAACACGTCAGATATGTAAATTAACATAATGAGTTTGAAAGTCGTAGAATCAATTCCTTTAGGTACAATGATTAGGATTTGTGTCTGCCACTTCATGTGACACCTTGCTAATCCAGCCATTGCAAATGTACGCCTTTCTGATCATACCCCGAATTTCCCCTTTGATATCAACAACTCAATTTATGCCTCAGTCTCGAAAGCAGCTGGGAAACGTCTAATGTTATCGGCCAACTTTCCGTGGTTGGACAAGAATTGAACGTATGCACCATCGACCAAAACCTTTCCACTTTGCTTCTTCTCCATGTACTCCTCACGACGGAGAGGAGTGAAACCCCAGTTCTTGGAAACAATGATCTTCTGACGACCTGGGAACTTGTATTGAGATCTGCGGAGGGCCTCGAGAGCGTTGGGGCGGACTAAAATGTATGTTAGATATTGTAAATAGATCAAGATTTGAATGTAAACTTACAAGAGTCACGAGTTCTGATGGACAAGATAATTTGACCAATGTTGACACGGGCAACAGTTCCGTTTGGCTTACCCCAAGCACCACGCATACCAGTTTGCAATCTATCGGCACCAGCACAAGACAACATCTTGTTGATACGGACGACGTGGTATGGGTGAGCACGGACACGGAGATGGAAGGCTTCCTTTCCTGCGGACTTAACCATGTACCTGTTGAAAGAATTATTAGTTTCAAACTCGATAATCCTACTTTATCCTTCCGATATCCATTTTCCGTAATCCGATCTCCACTTTGAACAAAATCCTCCCTTCGACGTCATTGTTTCGGGTTGAACTCACTTGTTGGCGCAAATACGGGCGGCTTCCAAAGCCTCGGAACTCAATTGTTCATACTCGTTAGAGACCAAGTGAATGCAGAGAGGGAACTCGTCGACATTTGCCTTCTTACGACCGAGATCGAAGATACGAATCTTTGGGTCGGGAACACCACGGTTGAAACGAGACTTAGGATAAGGCTATTGAAAAAAAAAATTGATCAGTTTCTAATTCTTTCTGATTATGGTAATTCTGCGTATCGTAGGTTTGCGCCGTTCAAGTACGTTCGAAATTGTTGATAGAAAGTGGCGAGCGATCAAATTGTCGATTTGTCGGCTATCCCTCAAATCCATCTCGCACATTTCGACATAACTTCTGCTATTTCTGCTGGTTTAAAAGGAAATGTACGTACCTTGTTCTTGCAGTAACGGTAACATCTCGCTGGGCGACGGGCCATCTTGAATGATTTCTAGAGGGACTCTTTGGTGTTGTTGTCGATGGTTTGTTCAAGGGATTATGGGGGCTTCAAAAGAGACTTTGAAAGTTGGATTGATTGATCAGCAAAATGGCGCTAGTCCCGTAATGGATATTTAAGCGAAAAAGAATTTAGGGCAAACTTGGAATTTCCCGAATGGGACGTCAGGAGTTTCGGAGATGTGAATAGTGGCAATTCTGTATTTGAAATCAAGTAGAAATCAAATCAAGAAGGAAAGGTACTACTGTATGTCTCAAAGTGAAATCACTTGGGCTTTATATATCATTTGATGTCACCATTAATTGTCAGCATTAAAGTTCTCAGCACACGGTATCCGGCTCTTTACAAAGTCCGAAGTCGAAATGAAATCCTTCAAGGAATCGACGGGCCGGTGAGTCACTTTGACATTCAATCGGGTTACAAGCATATCAAGATATAACCATATAAATCCATCACTCAAAAAGTGGAAGTAAACCAAAATTCTAGAATCAAGATATGTCATTTCGTGATGCTATGAAGCTGTGCAGAATATGCACAATGATACATATCAAAATCAATCACGATTGATTTTGAACCTTCATCTAGAATTTCTCCACCTCGACAACCAATACTGAATGATTGATAACCCTAATCTATGCAGATTGGCTAGAGAGGATATCGGAATCACCAGCATCCAAAACAGCCATGGTAGAACATCTGAAGAGCTTACCGCAAGCAGTACCGAGCTCAATCTATAAAAGGATAAAATAGTAAGCAACTGAATACCCTCCAAAGTCTAGAGAGACTTTATCGCTGGGTAATGTCCTCCCAGACCTAAAAAGGTTCTGATCGATAGACGGATATGTAACAAATGAAATATTCATGTACGTACGTTGTTACCGGAGAAGTGGTGAACTTGAGTCTTGGACAACATGGAGTAGTACTCGAGCTCAGACTTGCGGAGAGGAGGGGTGTTTCCGGCGATGATGACGAGCTTGGCCTTGCCAGATCGGAGTTGCTTGAGAGTAGACTTGTATCCGAGGGTGACTGTGAATTAAAAATTAGTATTGTATCGAATTGCACGTCGAGGAAAATTGATTTTTCGCATACCCTTTCCGGACTTCATCACAAGAGCCAAACGACTGTTGATAGAGTCGGCGGTCTTCTTAGCCTTCTTAGTTGCTGGTGCCATCTCTGCGGTTTTGAAATTGAATAATGCGCTCCGGCTGTATTGGAATGTAAGTTTGGTGTTGTCGTTGGGGTTGAAGGGGAAGCTTTTGAAAATATCGAAAAGTTCTGTATATTTTCAAAGTGCGGGACGCTAAGGATCGATTACGCTAAGACCAAAATCGACTAGACTATGGGATGTAAAACGTGACTACCTACCCTTTGATGAAAGTACACACGTGACATGACTTGGATCTGCTCTACATGATACAGGAGGAATTTCTTGCCGTCTGGACTTTTCTAGGTTTATGGAGGTATCCAAAATATAAAACGGTCCTGCATGTTTCGCAGATGTTGTGCTCAGATGTGTACCGTGTATGCTCAAGATTAAAGGAATGATGATCCCAGATTCTAACCCGGAGTTCCCATGTTCGATCAAAGTATTCATGTCATGTTTAACAAATCGCAGCTCGCAAATCGTAACTCCTTCAATGTTGCGGGATCAATCAACCTTTATGAAAATGTCGAACGCTAGATCTAAATCCCACATCACCATCTGACTTCGGTCATGATTGATGAAATTCCCGGAGTCCACTAGCAAAAAGGTCATGTTCATGTTCTTTTTCATATAAAACCGAAAACGAATAAAAGGAAGCTGTTCCCTTTTAAATACTGGGTACCTTGTTCCTCGTAGGGAAGTGTGGCAAGTGATCGCAGTACCTGGGTAGTCTCCTATGAAAACGGTGAAGACGGAGATTTGAAAGATCAATTCATGCATTCATCAAAACGCATGGTCCACTGTGGGGATTCTGGATGGATAATTCTTTGCGAACTTTGATCATAGGGAATTTAGATAACAGCCAGTCATTTCCAGTCTTTCAATATCGGGGTCATATCAAGGTACCGGTAATGGGTTAATGATGGATATCGAAGCCGGTCTTTGTATATTAAAGGAAAAGGAGTACCAGTATAGGAGTTAGTAGAGGAATTAGTATTTATTTATTTATTATTCATTTCTATACACCTTTTGTCCCTTCCTGAGAACAATAAATCAATATAAAGCAATATAAGATACAAATAAAATGACAATATCATATATATAATCATATATAGGTAATCAATACCAATAACAAGGGGGTTGGACACGTATGTGTAAAAGGGAAACAACTCCCTCCTTTTTTGAAATGCTCATCCATGGATTCATCCCTTCATCCATCCCTTCACTACATCCCTCAGTGCATCCCTCAGTCCCATCCTCAGTCCATCCCTCACTCACTACATCCCTCGCTACATCCGTCACTACTTCATAGTCTTCCGCTTTGTATCTCCTGATCAAAAAATAGATGCAAGCCCATTTGTACTTTGATACTTTTGACCAACGATACGCAGGATTTTTGTTTTCAACCGCATCAAGCGTATCAACCGTTTACATTTAGGGCGGTTACTTGGTAGTTACTTGGTTACTTGGTTACTTTACTCCATACGGTACATGTTGATCAAAAGATACCTACTACCTACATAACAAAATCTTATCGCATCGCATCTTACCTTGTCCTTACCCTCACCTCACTCACTACCGTAAATCAGCAGACATCCATCACACATCACATCCACTTACCGCAAATCTTACCAACCAACCAACCAGCCAACCAGCTAACCAGCTAACCAGCCAATCTCACCTACGAATCTTATTATTACTGCCCTCCCCTACCTCTCATTCACGCGACTTACGAAAATTACGATAAAACGCTTCTATATTTACTTTCTAAGCTGAAGCGGCCGATTGTAAACAGCAACTGAAAAACAAAGCCACTGCCCCAACAACCAAAATTCACTGCCTCCTTATTACTGGATTAACTTGAGGCAACTTTTGGCAACTTTTACTACCACCAAATCTCCAAGAATAGCTCAATCCGCAACACTTCAAATTATTCAATCATTTAGCGTTCATGCAACAATCACCATAATCTAAAATCCATAAGATTATTGTTTTTATTCCCATATTGCTACAATCACTACACATTCTATTCTTTATTACTGCCACGATTCCACGTTTCACATTTGTTTTTCATCACGACTTCACGCTTTCGTTTTGCTTTAGTTTTATACCCTTCTTCAGGATACAATCCAAGTAATCACAATGTCAGCAGTTACAAAAAGACCCCCTGTGACTCCAGGACCTGCTCGCAGAACATCATCAGATACTTCAAGTATCAGTTCTCCATCAAGAACTGCAACACGTTCACCAACAAAAGACTCTTCACCTGCTACAAACGGAGCACACGCACGAACTCGTTCAATACGCGGTGGGAACGTAATATCCGCACGATCTGCCATGCAACGACCAGGCACTGGTACTTCCAACCTCAGTACAACTAGTGTGTCATCTGTAGCAGATGATGAGGCCAGGGCTGAGAGTGTTGCTCTTTTGGATGATTTGAAAGAGAGGCTTCGTAAGACTGAAACTATATCGGAGCAATTTCAGAAACAAGCTCAAGTTCTTCAATCAAGGTTGGATGAAGCTTTACAAGATCAAGGGAAGTTGGAGGATCGTCTACATGAGAACGAAGAGAAATTAGAGACTTTACAAAAATGAAAAAAGGGATGCTCTCCGACAAAAGAGGGAGATGGAATCCATTTATGAAGCCGAGCCAAGTTTCCATGACAAAAGAAAGGGAAGAAATGGCAAATCGAGAGGAAGAGATGCAGACAATCATTCAGCGATTAAAGGATTCTTTATCGCAAAGATCTTCGTCAGATGAAGAATCACGACTGTCTAGGCGCTGTAAGTTGTCACATTATCCTATAAACAATGCATTGTGCTAACTTTTGAAGCAAATAATACTTCACCGAATGTCGAAAATGGACAATTCGCTCCTCCATCCGGATTAAATCGCAGCGATTCTCGCAACAATTCCAAATTACTTTTACAAAAAGATAGACTAATTGAATCCTTGCGACTAGAATTGGCAGAAGCTCAGATCAAATTGGTGGAATCCGAAAACATGGGAGGTGGACGAATGCAAGAGGTTGAAAAATTACTTTTGGAAGCACGAATGACGAATGCAAGATTGATGGAAGATAATGAGAGTTTCCAATTACTTTTACAAGAAAAGACGTTGAACGGCGATTTCTCGAAAGAGCATTTCGAATACATGGGCGCATCTTCAAACGCTGACGCGCTGAATGCTCTTGAGGGGCGATCACCAGGAGCTTCTCTTGCAGACGAGCTTTCTAAACTTAACGACAATGAAGGCGAGAATGATCAATCCCGTCCACCGGTGAAGGCGAGTTGAAATCTGCCAAGGACC